GCATGCCAGGCGAGCGCGCTACCGCTTGAGCCACATCCCCAGCCCCTCTCTATATTCTTGTAATCTATAAAGGTTTCAGAAATTTAAAACAGATGTTAGGAAAATATAGTGTCATGGGGGAAAAATGGTCTAGGTAGAGGGCAAAGTATGTAGTCCTGGTACAGAAAAGTTTGGTATGTTTCACATTCCCAGAGATGGAATTTAGGATGTAAAGAAAGAGCCCAATTCACCTGGAGGGGCCAAGTTAGGTTTTCTTCCAAATGATCCATTGTCTCTCTTTATTTCTCCAACCCAACCTCCTTTGAGGACTCCTCCCCAGTCTGATTCATCAGATGGGTCTAAAATGGACAGACTCTAATTGTGTCTGAAGTCTTTTTTCATGGGACCCTCCAAACAATTCAAGTGATGTGTATGAACACTTACGCGTCCCAAATGTTCCTGGCACTGGGCAGGACATTTGAAGGCCGATGCCTAGAGGACCTCTATGTTACTTACTCTCCTGCATCAGCAATTTCACTTTCCTGCTTTAGTTGTACCACTTTATTATTTTTTTAAAATTTATTTTTTTAGTTGTAGTTGGACACAATACCTTTATTTATTTATTTTTATGTGGTGCTGAGAATCGAACCCAGAGCCTCACATGTGCTACGTAAGCGCTCTACCACTGAGCCACAACCCCAGCCCCATTTATATTATGTTTTAGTACAATTTCCAACTTACGGATAATACATTGTATCATTATTCAATCATAGAACATACTATATGTTCAAGAGATGTTTCTGGGTAAAAGAATAAATAAGGGAATGAATTAATCCCCCTTTACAAAGATCAAAGATTACCATTTGATTTTGATCCCCTTCTAGTTCATTTACCCCTTTATTGGTATGTTTTGGTAGTCTGAAGCCTAGGTTTACTCCTCATAGTTGTAACATATTGTCTTTTTTGGGGATGGATTTTATGTTATTAAAATTTTTAAGACTTAGGTTGACTTGATTCATTCAGTCAACGAATAACATTCAATTTAGCACCCACCAAGTGTCAGATTATGTGTTGAATCCTAGAAAGAAGTCAGGGACTCTTGACCTCATAAAGCTTAAATTTCAGAGGTGGGGAGAAGATAATAGGTAAACAAATAAAATAAGTAGAAAGTGCTATGTAAGAAACAGACAACTATGATGGAAAATATAGGATAAGTTTTACTTTGGATAGCATGGTAAGGGAAGACTTAACTTAGGAAATATTTTTAAAAATGAGACAGGAAAAAGGAGAAGGTACCAGCTGAGCCAAGAGCTGGGGGAAAGTGGTCTAGATAGAGGGCAAAGTACTGCAAAAAGTCCTGGTACAGAAAATTTGGTATGTTTCACATTTATGCAGTTTTGTTTTTCTCCATGCCAAGTAGTGTGGCCGGGAATATTCCTGTACAGAGCTTGTTGTGGAATTATTTCCCTAGGGTGGCTTCTCACCACTGATTCTTTCCATCTTTTTCTGCCCAATACCTGGAGATATTTCTTCTTCCCTCTCCAGAAACTGCTTTTCCAAATCAGTGTCCTCACTTTCCTATCTCCTTTCACTCCACTTTCTCTTTATTGCAAAGTAGATATTAAGAAGTTCTTACACAAGAGAAATAAAATGTAGCTCCTAACACAGTGTTCTCCCAGGTTCTCTTTGTCTTAACCAGAGGCCTATTGCCTATTTCACTTTTGCTACTCATTAATTCACTCAACACTTAATGAGCATCTATTTCATCCAGGCTTTGTGCTGTGTGTTGGAAGCAGAAATGGCCAAAAAATAATCTTTATCCTCAAGGAGCTCACAATCTCCTGAAGCGCTACCCAAAATGTGTACCTAATACATCGGAATCACATGGGGGTATTCTCTAAAACGCAGATTCCTGATTCCCCCATTGGTTTGCTGAATGTTAAGGGGTAGAAATTTCTCAGCTTTTTTGTTTTCAATCTCTACTAAAAATTGAGAACCACTTAATGGAAGAGATAGATAAAGGGAATATTAATTCTAAGAAAGTGTATTGAGGGCTGGGGATGCGGCTCAAGCGGTAGCGGCTCGCCTGGCATGCGTGTGGCCCAGGTTCGATCCTCAGCACCACATACCAACAAAGATGTTGTGCCCGCCAAAAACTAAAAAATAAAAGATTAAAATTCTCTCTCTTAAAAAAAAAAGTGCATTGATATTTGATACACAAAATGCCTTGAGAATAACACCGCAGTCCCAGGGGGAAAATTTAGGGGAATCTTGATTACGTAGAAAATGAGACCAACTCTATGTAGCTCTTTGGTCACATTTAGGCCATTCAGGCAAAGGTAACACTGTGCAAAGGTATGTAGAGGGCTGAGTGTTCCAAATAACACTAAGTCATTCTGCTGCAACTGTTGTATTGCTTAGGGCTGCCCGGACCGTCGGGGTTCGAAAGCAAGAAGGAAGACCAGGGTTGCAAGTTTTACAGCTCCTTTCTCACGCAGTTGGTATTCTACGCGGTTTGTAAGTAGAGCGATGCGCAGGCGCATCTCGAACCAAGTGAATTTTTTTATTACGCATGCGCGTTACGTAACGCCGAAGCCAACAGGGGGATAATTGAGGCAAGATTTTTCTGTTCTTGAAATGTCCTTTGCTGTAATCCAAAAGCTCTGGCTGTCTCCATTTCTGGCAAGGGATCCTATGTCTCCATATAACCCTCACTTTCCTTCTGGATGTCTCGAGTAAGCCTGACGTCAGTACCCAACATGGTGGAGATCCGCCCCCGGCGCTGTCGGCCTATAGGCGCGCTACACTGTGGGGCGGGCCCTCCCAAAGGGCGGGAGTTTGGGGGCGGGGTTTGAGCGCGAGCCCGGAGGGCTCCCGCCCCCGGCCCGGCCTCTCGGCGGCTGCGGCCGCTCCTTTGCTGAGCAGCGCTCCAGGAATCTGCCCGAGCTGATCGCGGTGAGGTGGGGCTCAGGAGCAGGCGGGAGGTGCCCGGGTTAACGGTCCGAGGCCCTGGGACCGGCCCGCCTGGGGCGCCCGCGGGAATCCCATTTGGACAGCGGCCTCCCGTTTCCCAGGAGGACCCGAGGCCCAGAGACGGACTGGAACTTATCCTAGGGCCCCTGGCCTGCCAGTCTCACCTTCCTGCTGCCGGCACCACTCTGGGTTCCAGTACGCGCAGAAAGAACTTCCAACCTTGGTATCCAACCGCCGGCAACCCCGGGCTGTTTGGGTACGCACTGCGCTCTCCCGCCCTTCTCCCTGCGTCCCCGGGCTTTGCACGTGATCTGTCCGAAAGCCCAGTCCCACCCACTGCCCTGGCGCGCGACCCTGGAACTCTGTTCTTCGGGACCCAACTCAATAGCAGTTCTTTGAAGCCTTTCCCAGCCGTCTTCGGCAGGCGCAGCTAACCTCGCTTTGTGGCTTTTTGTGCATTTTCACAAATCGCTTTTTCTGCCTTTTCACACTTTGAGCTCGGTCTTTGGACGTTATGTTTGCCTTTTTGGTCTCTGTATTCAAGGATCTTGCACATGATGATGGTAAGAGCTAATATTTACCGAGCAGTCGAAAAGTGTCAGATTTTCCTAAATGCATTACGTGTAAAGTCTATTTAATCTTCACAGAGACCTGGAGGTGTGTTTTGTATCTTCACATTTTGCATATGAAGAAACTGAGGCACTCACGGATGGAGTAATATTCCTGAGTCTCACAACTAATAAGTGAGTAGAGCTGGAAACTGTCCCCAGGGCATGTGATAACTTTACTCCATTGCCTTTGGGTTTAGTAAATGACTATTGAATTGATTTTCATATTAGCCCCTTGAGTTACGAAGGCCAGGATTATGATTCCCATTTTACTGACATGTCTTTAAAAGAAGAATTGATGTTCTCAAATTGATAGAGTGAGTTCATGACAAAACCAAGGATAAAACTGGGGTTGACCCTGTATAACTATATTCTGTCCATCATATTCTACCTTTTATTGCTCTTTTTCCCTCAGAAAGCTTCAGGCGTAGATGTCATTATTTCACACCCTTTAAGAAATGACCCTTAGAATTGTGGCTTCCTAGTCTATAAGTTAGGAGGCAGGTAATGTAATGGAGAGTGCATACAATTTGAAATCAGATTGGTGTTTAGTCTCTGCTTTGCCACTGACCAGTTATGTCCTTTTTTTTTTTTTGAGCCTAAGTTTTCTCTCTCTCTCTCTCTCTCTCTCTCTTTCTCTCTCTCTCTCTCTCTCTCTCTCTCTCTCTCTCTCTCTCTCTCTCTGTCTCACCAGGATTTAATCCAGGGGTGCTTTACCACTGAGCTACATCCCCAGCCCTTTTAATTTTTTATTTTGGGACAGGGTCTTGCTAAGTTGCTGAAGCTGACTTTGAACTTGCAGTCCTGCCTCAACCTCCCAAGTCCCTGGGATCACATGAGCCATCACTCCTGCCCACTGAACCTTAGTTTTCTTGATTATAAAATGAGGACCATAATCTCATCTCTAAATTGTGTTGTACCAGGGGTTGGACCCAAGGGCACGTAACCACTGATCCACATCCCCAGCCCTTTTTATTTTTTTATTTTTAGACAATCTCACTAGGTTGTTTACAGACTCACTAAATTGCCGAGGCTGGCTTTGAACTTGTCTCAGCCTCCCGAGCTGCTGGAATGATAAGTGTGCATCACCTTGCATGGCTATGAGAGGTTTTTTTTTTTTTTTTTTTTTTTAATTAATGAAGATTGCAAGTTATTATTGTGAAAGTAAAGTGCTGTACAAACTGTATAAGCTTTGAGTTTTGCTTTTAGAGTGGCAATAGAACTGTCAGCATTTTGTAAAATTATGAAGGATAATGTAGATCATGTTACCTAATGTTGTTGTATCAGTTAGTTGAATATGTAATAGGCACCTGTTACATACCAGGCATTGTTTTAGGGGCTGAGAGTACAAGTATCCAATAAAATAATGTTTTGTACTGGTAGAATTTACATTCTAGTAGGTTATTATATAATAATAATTAGACAAGAACAAATAAGTAAATAGTAAGGTGAGTAGAAATACCAGCATTTGTGGAGGAGTGATGGTATTTTATATGGTTAGGGAACCATTTACTGAGCAGTGACATTTGAACAGAGACCTAGGTGAAGGCGGTAAGGATGCAAATCATGAAGATAACTAGGGAAGAGGCCATGAAATGGGTTGGGTTTGGTGTGTTCCAAGCATGCACAGCAGGGAGACCAGTGTAGTTGGAGGTTTGGGAACAAAGGGGAAAGGAATAGAAAGTAGAATTAAAACAAATGAGTCTGGGATCAAATAATTATGATCCTGAAGACCATTGTGAGGATTTTGGTAGAGAGTTCTGAGTGGCTTCATCTGTTATATTTTAAAAGGATTATGACTACTCTGTTGAGAAATAATAAAATTTAGGAGTCATCACTACCATCTAGAAATCTTTTGTAGTAATCCAGATGTATTAATTATCAGTTGCTGTGCAATAAACTTACCCCAAAAGTAAGCAGTTTAAAATAACAGTCATTTATTGTCTCTCATATTTCTTGTGTATCAAAAATCCTCGTGTGGATTAGCTGGCTGTTTCTGGCTTAGGATCTCTAGGCTGCAGTCAGACTGACAACTTGAGCTGCAGTGATTTGAAGGCTTCAGCAGGGGCTGGAAGATGTGCTTCCAAGATGGCTCACTCACAGCACTTTTGGCAGAAGGCCCAGTTCCTTACCTCTGGGCCTCTTCACAGGTGCCTTTGTATCCTCAGTTCAGAATAGTTGGCTTCCCCCAGAGAGACTGATCAGAGACAGAGAGAAAGACAGTAAGCAAACAAGGAGCCATAGTACCATGTATGACCTTGTCTCAGAAATCATTTCTACTTCAGTCCAGCCCACACTCAAGGGGAGAGAATTAAGCGTTACCTCTTGAGGGAGAAGTATCAAAGAGTTTGTAGGCATGTCTCAAAGTCATCACACCAGGATGGTGGCAGTGGGGGTCTGGTATGAACAGCAGAATTTGCTGATGTGGAGGTTATAGGGCATGGCCGGGTGGAATAAATCTGACTGTAAGGCTTTTGACTTGAGCAGCTAGAAGTATGGCAGTGCCATTTACTAAAGTAGGGAAGATTGGAGCAGCAGCAGTTTACTTTTGGAGTAAATTGAGATAGATGCCTACTCGACATCTACTTGGAAAAGTTAAATAGATGTTTGATTATGGTATAGCAGGACAGAGTTCCAGAGGAAGGTGTGGGCTAGAGAGTAACCCTGAGGCTTATGGGTGTGTAGGTGCTATTTGAAGCTGTGAAACAGGGTGCAATTTTCCTAGGAAATGAATGTAGGAGAAGAGGCCTGATGCCTGAGCCCTGGGCCCCCAATATTCAGATATCATGGAGATAAAGAAGGGCCAGCAACAAAGATTGAGTGGGAGAGACCATAAGTGAGAAGAGAACACAGAAACATCCCACTTGTGTGACTTATATAAGGAATTTCATGCTAACTCCCTGCACCTCCACAAGAAGCAGAAATGGAGCCAGATGCAGTGGTGCACACCTATAATTCCAGCGACTCAGGAAGCTGAGGTAGGAGGATTGTGAGTTTAAAGCCAGCTTCAGCAGCTTAGTGCAGCGCTAAGCAACTCAGACCCTGTCTCTAAATAAAGATACAAAAAAATGGCTGGGGATGTGGCTCAGTGGTTAAGCATTCCTGGGTTCTGTCCCTGGTACAAAAAAAAAAAAAGAAAAGAAAAGAGAAAGAAGCAGCAGCAGCAGCAGAAATGGTGTCTGTACACAAAATGTCTCTATAGTGTTTACTCAGGAAATAAAATGTGTCCTTAAGTGCTTTTTCTTTTTTGCCATAAATGCCAAATTATATTTAATAATGCCAGTCTGGTTCTTAGTCCTTGTAGTATTTATACCTCTACTCCAAGTTTATGTGGAGTTGTTCCTCTTTTAAACTTTATTTAAAGACTCCTTTTAAAATATGTTGGATGAGAGCAGACTAAATACATTATTCATATCACTATTCTGCTACCTTCTACCTTAAGTCCACAGGTGGCTCTTGGTCTTGAGTTTGCTGCCCTTCTCAATCTGATTCTTTTTTTTTTTAATATATTTTTTTAGTTGTTGATAGACCTTTATTTTATTTATTTATATGTGGTGCTGAGAATCGAACCCAGTGCCTCACACATGCCAGGCAAGTGCGTTACCGATGAGCCCCAGCCCCAGCCCTCAATCTGATTCTTGACAAAAGCAGGAAGTAGGTCCTGCTATTTCTGTACAACAGTGGCAGACTTGAATTCCTGTTTGAATTCCTGAGTATTTATGGGATAAACTAATGCATAAAGAAAGTGAATCTGTTCCCTTTTCCTGCAGTAATCATAAATCCTATTCAGTGGCTTACAGTTTACAGGCTACCTGGATGTTCATTATCTCATTTGAATGCAATCTAATCTGTTACCATTTGCCAGCTACTGACCTTTTCCTTTTCTGGGGGACATGGAAACCTACCTTTCCTTTGGAGCTCTGCTAGTGTATCTAAAGTGTTAATAAAAGGGTGCTGAGCTATCTCCAGGAAGCTCAGAACAAAGTCTCAATTTTAGAAAGTTCCCTTATGTGATTTTTCTGTCTCTTCCTTTTTATTCTGATTTTAGTGAATTTCAGATTTACAGTTTTTTGTTTTTTGTTTGGTACCAGGGATTGAATCCAGAGATACCTTACCACTGAGCCACATCCCCAACCCTTTTTATTTTTTATTTTGAGACGGGGTCTTACTTAGTTGCTTAGCGCTTCACTAAGTTGCTGAGGCTGGCCTTGAACATGTGATCCTTCTACTTCATACTCTCAAATCATTGTGATTGCAGGTGTGTGCCACCAAACCTGGCCTTTTTTTGTTTGTTTAATCATAACACTTCAAGTCCTTTTTTAAAATGAACTTTATTTATTTATTTTTTAGGGGGGATTCCAGGGATTGAACTCAGGGGCCCTCAATCACTGAGCCACATCCCAACCCCATTTTATATGTATTTTTTTAGAGACAGGGTCTCACTGAGTTTCTTAGTGCCTCAGTGTTGCTGAGGCTGGCTTTGAACTCGCCATCTCCTGTCTCAGCCTCTGGGATTACAAGCATGCGCCACCACGTCCATGCTTAAATTTAGAGCAATTTTAGATTTATGGAAAAATTGCATAGTACACAGGGTTTCTATTTACCCAGTTTCTGCTGTTAGTGATATCTACATTATTATGGTATATTTGCTATACTTTTCAATCATTTTTTTGAGATAAGTGGACATATAAACAAAATATGAGTAAAATAAACTTATTTCATCTTTATAAACCTGTTTCCTTATCTGTAAAAAGAGAAGGTTATACTAAACTTTTAAACAGCACTACAATTTTTTAATTATCTGCAATTTTATGTTTTTAAAATTATTTTATTTCTTTGTTGAAATATTACTGATATTATCTTCCCAAATAATATTTGCATGTTACTGGCAACCTTATCCTAAAAGAGGATTAAATGAGAATTCTTGGAACTGTGACAAGGCTGTATATAGAGACATTAGGTTGAACTACAGGAAAGTGCCATTTCTGTAGGTTAAAAAATAAGGAGCGAATATCAGCAGTTTCCTATGGTTCAATCTGGTAATTTGGGATAGAGATTCAAAGGAGGGCAAGGGAGCCTTTGGTCCACTGAAGCTGCATGTGGAAAAGCCTGGCTCAACCCTCGAAGTATTAGGAGAGAAAAGGCACTTCAGTTCCTTTGAAGCAACTCAGATCTGCTCTTATTGTTGGTAGAGTGTTGGCAGAAATCCTGGGGTAAGCGAGCAGTTTTCTGGAAGGTCTGCCTCCACCCAGCAGAGAGGGATTGCACTCCATCAAACTCTGAAGAGCCAGCACTTCCTGGTGCAATGGTTAGTTGGTTTTGCAGCCCTGGTGGAAAGGAAGGGCAGAAAAGGAAGATGTTTGTAATTTGGGGAAGGCTGAATTACTTCGGCCTGGGTTATTGGTATCACCAGACCTTCACTGGTGCCACACTACTGTCACTACTTTATTTATTTCTACTTTTGTCTTTTTCTTTTTTTTTTTTTGAACTAGGGATTAAACCCAGGGCTTTACAAATGCAAGGCAGGTGCTTTGATATCCCAGCCCTCATTGTTTTATTCTTTACTGCCCAGGAAAGGTTCTGAAGACTCAGGTGACTTCAGTTGTTCAGGATAAATTAGTAAACTGAGGGCTGGGGATGTGGCTCAAGCGGTAGCGCGCTCGCCTAGCATGCGTGCGGCCCGGGTTCGATCCTCAGCAGCACCACATACCAACAAAGATGTTGTGTCCGCCGAGAACTAAGAAAAAAATAAATAAATGTTAAAAATTCTCTCTCTCTCTCTCTGTCCCCCTCTCTCACTCTCTCTAAAAAAAAAAAAAAAAAAAAAAAAAGAGAATTTAAAAAAAAAAATTAGTAAACTGAATTTTTCTCTATAACTCTAAGAAAAACAATAGCACAAGTACAATGATAAATGAGAACTGAAATCTGTTGTCAGTGTGAGGGAGAGAATAGTCATGGGACAGAGGAACTTTGGTGAACTAGAGAGTATATGCCCTATCCAAAGGGGACAGGCACTATTCAACTGCAACTTGGGTCATTTCATTGTGGGAATATGGCTCAAAGGTCATTGTACTCTAATTTTCCAAAAGAGTCAGAAATAAGGGTTTTTGTTTTTCTAATATTTTTAGTAATAGACACAACACTTTTAATTAATTTATTTTTTATGTGGTACTACGAATCAAACCCAGTGCCTTATACATGCAAGGCAAGTGCTCCACCACTGAGCTACAACCCTAGCCCAGTAATAACAGTTTTTAGTGTGTATTCTCCTAATTATAAATGTTGAAACCTAACTTGAATTTTTAATATCATTGTATGTAGCCGGGTAGGGCAGTGACACCTTATATCCCAGCTACTTGGGTGGCTGAGGCAGGAGGATCACAAGTTCAAGACCAGCCTTAACAATTTAGCAAGACCTTGTCTCAAAAAACAAAATAAAAAGGTTAAAGTGATAGCCTAGCTATCACTAGAGACCCTGGTTTTAATCCTTAGTGCCACCACCAAAAAAAAAAAAAAAATCATTGTGTGGTCCACCCACAGTGATTGAAAAGAGCCAGCAAACCCCACTGATCTGCAATATCTGGCCTATGGTTTAGATCTGTTGGAGATCTGTGATATATTCTTACATATTTCTTTATTTCTTTCTTTCTTTTTTTTTTTTTTGTGATGCGTGAGGATTGAACCCAGGGCCTTATGCATGCGAGATGAGCACTCTACCGACTGAGCTATATCCCTAGCCCCTCACATATTTCTTTATTATTACAGATAACTAAAATGATTTAGACAACTTCTGCCTTTGAGGGACTCACAGATTAGAAGGTGGACAAATAATGAAGATAAAATACATATATATTCTAGAATATATATGTATTTGAGAGAGTGAGTGAGTGTGTATGTGTGTATAGCTATGAAAGTGGTAACTTCCTTCTGGGACCATATGATAGGAGGTGGCATTTGAGTCAGAATGTAAAAGATTTGCAGTTTGGTGCATGAAAGCATTTGAGGCTCCTAAAACTTCTAGTGTATGTAAATGCTAGATTTTCATTTGCTGGAAATACAGATACTCCTTAACCCTGCTGATGGGAGTCTTAGCGTTAATAACATGAAGGAACGCCCTGATTTCTCCTACACAGGTTGTAGAATAATTGTCAGTTTTAGAGACTTAACAAATTCAGAGGTCATAGAGCTGGATGCCCTCATTTTTGGACAAGGGGACTGAAAGGGAAGTGGCACGCTTGAGGTCATAGCCCCTCATAATTTTTCTTTGCTACAATGCCTCCCCCTTTCTTGGGTATATCCAAAGGTCACTGTTAGGCTGGCTGCCTCTGCTGCAGGTGGCCCATTGTCCTATTTTAGCCCAGGTAGGTGAGAATGGTTTACTATCCTGGTGTAACTGGTTTATTTTGTTTTTTTGTTTGTTTGTTTGTTTTCTTTCTCTCTCTTCATTATTGGGGTTTGAACCCATGGTGCTTTATCACCAAGCTGCTTTCCCAGCACATCCCCTGCATTTTTTTTGAGCTAGGGTCTTACTAAATTGCCTAGGCTGGACTTGAACTTGTGATCCTCCTGCCTCAGCCTCCTGATTTGCTGGGATAATAGGCATGCACCGTTTCACCCAGCCCACCCTTCTCTTTCTCTTTGGATCCCTTACCTGAAACATCAGCAACCCCTTTTCTTTGTCAGGGAGTCAGCTGTGTAACCTGGTACAAGTTGCTTGATCTTTCTAAGCCTCCGTTTCTTCATCCATGTATAAAGAGCTAGAATAGCACATGTGGTGAAGGGAGGTAGGAAGGTCTTGGAAGATTTCAAGATTCTTACGTAGACACAATGATATAATGCATGTAAAGCACTAAAGCAACTGACCTGAATAATGATGATTCACATAATTCACAGCCCCCCAAGCTAGGTGAAATGCCTTCTTTTTTTTTTTTTTTCTCTCCATGCTAACCTGCACTCTTGTTGCATATGCTTCATTTTGTTGTAATTATTTGTGTCTGTTTCCCTTGCCAAACTAACAGCACGTTCAGTAATTCCTTCAACAAATGTCTTCATGGCTATGGTAGATATGAGGGATGCAGTAGTAAACCAGGAGCCCTTGGTTTCGTCAGAGTTCCAAAGGCATGCCAGGAAATGGTATTCCTGTGAGCTTGTCTCATGATCCATTAAATTTGGGGAATGATCCTCATCAGAACCCCATCTTAGAGATTAGGGTCTATCTTAAATTTTTTTTTTTAATGGAGTCTTGCTATGTTGGCCGAATTGGCCTTGAACTCCTGGGCTCAAACAATCCTCCCAACTCAACCTCCCAAGTAGCTGGGATTATAAGCGCTTACCATTTTTCCTGGATCTATCTTATTATGTTAGAGGTTCTGAGGAGTCCTGTAGTAGAGGAGCCTGTTTACTTTGTCCAACCAAGTTTTGCCATATACAAGTTTGTTGAATAAATTTGGGTCATCTGGACTGTTTTTTTTCAATTTCAGTTGTGCTTTGGTCTCAGCTCAAGAAGAAGTAGAAGTGGTACAGAAATGGTTAGAGAACCCTGCAGGGAGCAAACAGCCTCTGGATGCATAGGGACCTGTGGACTTGCTGTCTGATGCCCCCATGGAGACAGGAAGCACCAGGTTGAACGACATGAAGCCCCAGTCTCTGCAGTTGGTGCTGGAGGAGCAAGTGCTGGCTCTTCAGCAGCAGATGGCGGAGAACCAGGCAGTCTCCTGGCGGAAATTGAAGAGCTTCCAGGAGGCACAGCAAAGGCAAGCTGCCCTTGTGAGGAAGCTGCAGGCCAAGGTGAGCAGGGTAGCAGCTGGAAGAGGCAGAGCCAGGTGGGGAGGATGGCTCACACCTAGCTTGGTGAGCTGAGGATCTGCATTGTTCAGCTTTCAAATATAGTTTCTTTGATCCTCACTACTACTTGACAAGGTCTGGATTGTGTCCCTTTTAAAAATGAATTTCACACAGTGGCACATGCCTGTAATCCCAGCAGCTTGGGAGGCTGAGGCAGGAGGATTGCAAGTTCAAAGCCAGTTCAGCAACAGCAAGGTACTAAGAAACTCAGTGAAACCCTGTCTCTAAATAAAATATAAAATAGGACTGGGGATGTATCTCAGTGGTTAAGCACTCCTGGGTTCAATCCCTGGTACAATAAATATTTAAAATAAATGACTTTCTAAGGAAGCTGGGCATGGTGGTTCATACCTGTAATCCCAGCTAGTTGGGAGGATGAGTTAGGAGTATCACAAGTTTGAGGCCAGCCTAGGCAACTTACAAGGTCATATCTCAAAATGAAAAATAAAAAGAGCTGGAGGTATAACTCAGTGGTAGATCACCCCTGGGTTCAATCCCCAGTACCAGGAGACAAAAAAGGTGGCATTTACAAGGGTTAAATTAGTTGCCCAGGGGCTGGGGTTGTTCCTCAGTGGTAGAGCACTTGCCTAGCATGTGTGAGGCCCTGGTTCGATCCTCAGCTCCACATAAAGATAAATAAATAAAATAAAGATATTGTGTTTATCTATAACTAAAAAAAAAAAAATTTTTAATTAGTTGCCCAGGAGCTGGGGATATATAGCTCAGTTGGTAGAGTGCTTGCCTCGCATATACAAGACCCTGAGTTCTATCCCCAGCAACACACACACACATACACACACACACACACACACACACACACACACATATATACAAAATTAGTTGTCCTGGCTTGTTCTTGTCTAGAGCTGAGATCTGACCCTAAGATTTATGGTTTTGTTTTTCTGATGTAAGAGGCATATTGAAAATATTCTTTTTATATCCAAATAGACAAATAGAAACCACCATCACCACCCAGTTCTCCTGTTCATTGCAGGTTGCCCAAATTATGAGGGAACTTTGGTTTGGGTTTTTTGTACCAGCTATGTCCATTGTGCTGTCTTTGCTTTAGGTTTTGCAGTACCGGAGCTGGTGCCAAGAACTGGAGAAGCGACTGGAAGACACTGGAGTAAGTGAGGCTGAGTTCCATGTTCCCTTGAGCCCTCAGTAAATGTACTTGTTAGGCTTTATTTTCTGAGGGTGGCCAGGGTATGATAAGGGGTGTATGCTAGAAGTCTCTCTTCAGCCTCTGAAAGTTCTGTCAACAGCAATCTTCCTTGGACCTTGCTATGGCTGGTCTATGAGAGTCCATCCCTTGGTTTTCTAAGGACCAATGCAATATCAGGGGACTTAGCCCAGTGGGTGAGTGGAACTAAAGGGAGGAAATGCATCCTTCATCCAGTAGGTGTCATTGTTTTTCTGTGGTAGGAGAGGTGTTCCTCTAAGACCTACAACACATGTCTACACTAGAGGGATCTATTTGTATCTTGGCTGGGCATAATTGGCTTTAAAAGACCCATTTATCTTAGTTCCAGCTCCCTCAGGCACCTGATCACATTCTCCTCAGAAAAGTTCTATTGCAGGAAGGAAAGAACCAAAACATATTGAGTACCTTCTTTGCAGGTAGGGCAAAGATTGTGGTATAATTATGTCACTTAGTCTACAAAAGAACTTTCTGAGAAGAGTGTTATTACTTTCATTTTGTAGCTGAAGACACTGCAGCACCAAGAAGTTAAGTGACTTTACAAGGTCCAAAAATTATTATAGTAAAAATCAAGGCCATTAATGAACAATAATCTTATGCTTCTTAGGTTCAAGGTTCTTTTTAAAACCAAATGCCATCTTTCAGAAGAGGTTATTGGTTCATTTTTGGAAAGAGGGATGCAGTGGATTTGCTTCCAGGACATAGTGACTGAGAAAAGAAAGGAAATTGCTATCGCGGGAGAAAGAATAAAAAGAAAGTGTGCTGCTATGGAAAGAGGCCTCAGGGAATTGGCTTGAGTGATGTTCTCTTTGGAAATGAATAAGGCTTGTTTCTGTCTGGCAAAGGGGCTGATTCCTCCGCCTTGGGAAAGTGTGGAAGAGCCAAACCTGGAACAGCTGCTAATCCGATTGGACGAGGAGCAACAGAGGTGATGGACCCCATATTTTCTGACCTGAGTGTTTGGCCAGTGGGTGGAGAAGTCTGATGAAAAAACTGTCCTGAGGGCTAATATGGATTAGAACCATCCTGGCAATGGAAAATTCCAGTCATTGTCATCTCACTCTCAAGAGGTCTAAGGGGTGGCACAGGCCTTTATTTTGCGTTTGCTCTTTCCCCTCCCCAGTGCAGGTGTGAGAGTCTAGCAGAAGTGAATACTCAGCTTCGACTACACGTGGAAAAAGCTGACGTGGTGAATAAAGCCCTTCGGGAAGACATGGAAAAATTGACAGTGGACTGGAGTCGGGCCCGGGATGAGCTAATAAGGAAGGAGAGCCAGTGGCGGATGGAGCAGGAGGTAGGAAGGACAGAGAGCAGAACTGAGAGAAGAGGGCTGTGCATTCTGAGTGCTGCCCTGGTCAGTGCTGGAAAGGATTAACTTCAGAAAATGGATGGAAACTACACTGTTGTCGTTAAAGCCCATGCAGACGGCTTTGCCCATGCTAGCCAGGCCTGTGCTAGCAGCTCTGCTCTGTTAGGCTTTCTTAGTTCTGCATTACCTACCTAGTCTAGGTCTTGCTGGTGGCATGACACTCAAAGCACTCTCTTCTTGCAGAAATGACTAGCTTTGATTTCAAATGGATCTGAAGGTTTACTGGTCCCCTTCAGCTGGAGATCTGCATAGCTAGATGCCATGAAGGTGGTTACTAAGTTGCATGAAAAAGAAAAGACAGTTAGAGATCCTGAAGAATTTTCAGGTTCCAGCTAAAGGAAACCAATGTTTCTTGAGCCCTTGCTCTATGCAAGGTGACTTACATATGTTAGATCACTTACTTCTCCTTATAAGTTTATGATAATAGCCCCCATCTAAGAAGCCACTGCATCTCCTTTTCTAAACTAGCTGAGGGAAAGACTGCTTACCATCCAATGTCGTTTGTCCTTAAAGTCCCTTCTTTCACCCTAGTAGTCAGGAGTAATTCAAGACTCTTCTTATACTGGCAAAAGATAGTCCTCTGCCCTTGGGTATGACCCAGGTTTCTGAACACACAGTTCTTCAAGGGCTATCTGAAGGGGGAACATGGTCGCCTTCTCAATCTATGGCGGGAGGTAGTGACCTTCCGACGCCACTTCCTGGAAATGAAGTCAGCAACTGACAGGTCAGTGTGGGAATAAGAAGGGAGGAGGTTTGCCCCTATTGATTCTGAACTTAAGGCAGTGGGCTGCTGTAGAAGGGGAATCAGGCGGAGATGGGGGGGTGCTATTGTTCATTTCAGGTGATTTTTTTCACATACCTGCCCCTCAGGCTTATTGGGCCTGATCTCCAAGTTCCCTTGGTTCCTATTGGAGTCTGCTCTTTTCCTTGCTTGTGCTCAGAGATCTGACAGAGCTAAAGGCTGAACACGCGAGGCTTTCAGGGTCCCTGCTGACCTGTTGTCTGCGCTTGACCGTGGGAACACAGTCTCGGGAATCCAGTGGATCTGGAAGAGCGGACAGGAGTGAGCCACCCCAGTTGCTGCTCCTACTAGCCAAGACTCAGGAGCTAGAGAAGGAAGCCCATGAGAAGAGCCAGGAGTTAATACAACTCAAGAGCCAAGGGGATCTGGAGAAAGCTGAACTTCAGGATCGGTGAGATGGCCTGAGGTCCCAGGAAAGGCTCCCTGAGGGAAAACTGACTCACTAGAGAGTTATGGAAAGGCAGGAGAGAAACCAAGAGTGTTCCTACCATGAGAGGGAAAATAGATGTGCTGGGATAGTCTAGTTTGAAACCCAGTGCCATAGTTGGGGCTTTCACTGACCTCTGCCCTCAGGTTACCTTGTAGCTCAGTTTTTCTCGTGTAGATTTGTATAGCTACCTGTGACTCTGTCCTCTATCAATACCAAACTATTTGCCATACCCAGAATTACCAGTTCTTCCATGTTTCTCTGCCTTTGTATATGTTGACCTTGGCCTGGAATGCCACCCTCCCTTCCCCTCTGCTTTATCCTCTAAAGCATAGATCACATGTCACCTCTTCTACAAAACCTTCTGTGAATTCTAGTCTGTTATGTTACTTTGTCCCTGTGGTCTTTTGGCCTGCTTGTTACAGCATTGATCTCATTGTATTCCATTAATTATTTAGTTTCTTGCTGATTTTTTATTTTTGTGGTGCCTGGGGATTGAACCCACGGCCTTTTTGTGTGTTAGGCAAGTGCTTTAACATAATAACACGAGTATTTTAATTCTGGGTTTATAATGAAATGGGATTTTTATTTTTTTTTTGGTATTGAGTATTGAATTCAAGGACATTCTATCACTGAGACACATCCCCAGCCCTATTTTTTATACTTTATTTATACGCAGGATCTCACTGAGTTGCCTAGTGCCTCGCTTTTTGCTAAGGCTGGCTTTGAACTCTCTATCCTCCTGCCTTAGCCTCCCTAGCAGGCAGAATTACAGGCGTGTGCCACCATGCCAGGCATGAAATGGGATTTTTAAATGATGATAAGAAGAGCAAAGACAAAAGCAGAGAGTCCCATTGAAATTTGAAGCAAAGTTTATATCCTATACTTAGGATTGATGATATATATAAATATACAAAATGCAGGATTATTTTGTTTGGTTTTTACTTTTGGAGACACTGAGAAGCACAAAGACAACGACCATGTAAGTTAATTTTATGTCTCTAGTGCTTTGCACTTATCTCCATATAGTAGACACTAAATAAATGTTTGTTGAATGATACAATAATTAAACGAATGACCATGTGGTGAGTTGGGCTCTTGGAATTGGTACATGATATAATTATTAAGATTTTTTATAAAAATATTTAAACCCCTGAATAATATTCACTTAAGAAATACTTGTGGACGGGTGCAGTGGCTCATGCCTGTAGTTCCAGCAGCTTGGGAGACTGAGGCAGAAGGATCACTAGTTCAAAGCCAGCCTCAGCAATTTAGCAAGGCACTAAGCAACTCAGTGAGACCTCTAAATAAAATACAAAATAATGGTTGGGGATGTGGCTCAATGGTTAAGTGCCCCTGAGTTCCATCCCAGTACACCCCATCCCCACCCCCTGGCAAAAAAAAGAAAGAAATACTTGTTTAGCCACCCACATGATGCCAGGCACTAAGCTCCATGATATAGTGTTAACCAATAAAGATGTCACTGACTTTAGAGTAATATCAGGGAGATTGACCGTATTCTATCCGAATCACCCCTCCTTTTTCCCTATCAGAGTCAGAACCTTGGGCTGGAGGGACTTGGGACTATCCCATGTGTCAATTTTGATATTCTTATTGGCTTCAGGGTGCTTGACTTCAAGATCAAGCGAGGCCTGGAAGGGCCTGGGCCAGGGCTTTCCTTCAGCTCTTGGCCCCCAAACACGAGTTCCAGCCTTGAGATGTGGTAAATCCCTGCATGTGTTTGAGTGGCTTTTGGCTTCCTGCTCCCAGTTCAAAGCTAGTAGCTTCACATGGTATTCAGGGAGTGCCCAAGGGATTCTGGGGGGCTGCAATGGAAGTGTCTTTGGGGCTGGGGTGTGCTGCATAGTAGCTTTACCTGCTCCATGAGATGCCTAAGTGATAGTGCTGTGCTCTTCTCGTTAGAGTGACGGAGCTCTCTGCTTTGCTGGCCCATTCTCAGAAGCAAAATGAAGAGTATGAAAAAATGCTAAAGGCTCTGAGAGAGACAATGGAGATCCTGGTACATAATCCTTTGTTCTGGAAAAGAATTGGGAGTGGGCTTGTAGGTTCCTTCCTCCTTTATAAACAGGTAGTATAGAATACCACTAAATGTTTCTTAATGAAGTTCTCCAAAGCCAAAAAAATAGATTTTGATTGAATCTGACAATAAACCCATGAATTTATTCATTCAAAAAATATTATTAACTGTTCACTATCTCAACTGTTTTCCTGGGAAAATTATAATGGCATATGGATACCATGTGTTCTTTTCAGAGAGAAGTAGCATTTACTTTAAGAGACACAATGTCAAATTAGCAGGTTACCTGGGAAATAAATGAGGAATATGGCAATTTTTAGCCTGGAACAAAAGGACTTGAAGAAGTCAGGGTGTCTGTCTTTGCACATGGAAGTCTGACATTGGGGAAAAAAGATTGATGCATTTAATGTTTTCCAGGACAAAACCAATATCAGAGGTTAGATATCATAGGGTAGGAGGTTTAGCTCACAGCTAGAACTACTTGAATGGTCTGTCTTTTTTTTTTTTAATATTTTTTTAGTTGTTGACAGACCTTTATTTTCTTCATTTTCTTATACGTGGTGCTGAGAATCAAACCCAGTGCCTCATACATATCAGGCAAGCGCTCTACCACTGAACCACAATCCCAACCCCATTGAATGGTCTGTCTTATTAAAGGAGCAAAGCTTTGATTACTGACTTAACATGTGACAGGGATGTTATTAAAGAAGTTCTTTAAAGTTGCATGTTAGAACCTCTGGCTTGATTCCATATTTTCCTTTATTTCTATGAATTTTCAGATTTCTGATTTTAAGCAGCTCCTGAACCCCTATCTATATTCACACCCCTAATTTTTTCATCCAGACTGGGGTCACCTGGGAGCTGGACTTGTTTTGTGTTTTCTTGATTTCTTTCTTTTTTTTTTTAATATTTTTTTTAGTTGTCAATGGACCTTTATTTTATTTATTTATATGCGGTGTTGAGACTCGAACCCAGGCAAGCCCTCTACTGCTGAGCCATAACCCCAGCCCTCTTGATTTCTTTTTGTCAAGAATTTGCCAGTTCAGACATCCATGGGGCTTAGAAGTAAGTGAATGAAATGGATGAGTTGCAATACTTCTTATTTTCCAATGCTATCTTGTTTAGTTTTCAGTAAAGCAGGGGAAACTTGAGTTCAGTACTAAGGAAACAGTGAGGAATGGCAAGGAATGAAAGACCCCAAATAAATGTCTCATCTTGAGGAGGTATCCGTTGTTCAACTTCAATAAATAATTACCATCTAAGAATGGGGGCTGGGTGTAGCTCATTTTTAACTTTTTTGAGAGAAGCCAGAACTTCAGACTTTTTGTAAAGTCTCTCCCTTTTTGATTGAATGTTGATTCAAATTTTGGCTAAATAAAACATCACTACAGGTCTGTGTTTTCAAGCCTAACATAAGTGCAGTAGGAAGAGAGGAAATTTGAGTCTTCAAGATTATTACTAGCTTTGGGGCTAGAGCTGGTTTATAGCCATGGTTCTCAGGTATCGATTTACTATTTGGAGGCAGCGGCCATCCCCCATCCAATAATAGCTGACATCTGTTGAGTGTTTGCTTTGTATCGGCACGATGTTGTAGAATTTATGTGCAGCTTTTAATTTAAGACTCCAAAAAAACTTATGAAATAGTTGCTGTTAATTATTCTTATTTTTAAGAGAAAAGTTCAAAGAAGGAATTGCTGAAAGTTACCAACCTAGTAAGTGATAGAGCAAGAACCCTAACCTAGGCAGGCTAATTTGGAGCTTTTAATCACTTCATCTGAACTTTTTATCATCACGTTGCATTGTCTTCGGACTTCTTGGAAAAGTGGGGTTGACAGAATGAGCAGAATAAGACTTTGGTTGATTTGGGGTCTGTAATTACAAATTATTTTTTGAGAGTTTGGCTCTTAGGCTCTATTCTTTTTTTATATTTTTTATTTTAATTTTTTTAGTTGTAGATGGACACAATATCTTTAATTTTATTTATTTGTTTATTTATTTTTATGTGGTGCTGAGGATCAAACCCAGGGCCTCACACGTGCAAGACAAGCACTCTACCACAGAGCTACAGCCCCAGCCCTCTATTCTATTCTTTATGCAGGAGTCAAATCACACAGAATTAATGGAACATGAGGCATCTCTTAGTAGGAATGCCCAAGAGGAGAAGTTGTCTTTACAGCTGGTGATCAAGGAGATAACACAGGTACTGGTAAGCCTGCTGTCATGGTACCTAGGTAATGCTTCATTCCTCTCCCCAGTCTTCCATGTTCTCTCACATGCCTAGATTTCCAGTCTCTGAGGTTTGGACTTAGGGTCTTGTGGGATGAATGCTCTGTATTTGAAGATGAGATCCTTAAAGGATAGGTAAGCATTCATATCCTGGCACTATGTGGTGGGACAGGACCTCTTTCCTGTCACCAGCTGCAATTCTCAAGCCAGAGAATGGATTCTGGTCTTTTGTCACTTCAATAGCCTCTTCTTCCTTTGTTCCCTTATTTATTATTATCTCAGAGAATGTTCTGGCCTTGTTGCTAGTCTTAGATTTGGGTGACCACAGGTGGAGTGTTGAAGAAATGAGCCTTTTTTTCTCTCAGATACCTACTCTAACCCTCAGGGAAAGGACCCGAGAAGGAAAACCTCAGATTCTTCTGGCTGTAGTGTGAGCTAAGCTCCTGCATGGACTCTAGGCTTCAGTCAGTAGGTGGTGACAGTGTTGTGTTGGTTTTCAGGCCTTGGTGGAAGAAGGGGACAACACTGGCCAAGGCTCTGGTCATGAGAGCTCCTTGAAATTGGACTCTAGTGGCTTCTCCTCCCACTTTGATTCCCAGCATCCAGACAAAGCTCTTACTCTGGTGCGTTCAGTGCTGACTCAGAAACACCAGGCTGTACAGGTGAGGCTCCCTAGTGTTCCTCAGTCAATAATGTGGCAGCTAAACTGACAGATGCCCCAAGTACCTCCCTAGCGTGGACTATCCCTTTCAGTGGACCAGTCATGAGGTGTCTATTCAACACCCCAGAGTGCTCCTTAGAATTTCTCCATGTCTGCCCAGTTATACTGTGGGTAACAGGCTGATTCTCCATGCCTGTGGCAACTTCACATTGTACAACAGTGTTTATTACTATGAAAAGAGCTCTGGTAGAGTATGGGTATGAGTTCCCCCAATCTGAGGGACCTAGGCACACTTGCCATCCCCCCATGCCACTGTACTTTTGAAGATGATGAACTCTTTAACACTCTAGAGCTCCAAAAGCAAATAATCCCTTGTCCTCCGACTCAACCAGTCACATCTCTATTCCCAGCTTGCCCTTGTACCAATGCCTAATCTCGTGTCCAAATGGACTTTCAGACTTCTGAAATCCCTCCTTTGCCCTTGCCCTCTTGCTTATCATCTCGTTTCTACTGCTGTCCCTCCACAGGACCTAAGGCAGCAGCTTTCAGGCTGCCAGGAAGCAATGAGCTTCTTGAAGCAGCAACATGATCAGTGGGAGGAAGAGGGCAAAGCCCTGAGGCAGCGGCTGCAGAAGCTCTCTGGGGAGCGGGATGCTCTGGCAGGGCAGACTGTGGGCCTCCAGGGCGAGGTGGACACTCTCAGCAAGTGAGCAGATGGGCTGTTCATCCCTACTCCCATGTCTGGTTTCTGTCTTCATCCACACCCATTTACCAGTACCCATTATATCTTTGGTCAGCTCCTCCTGACATCCCTGAGATCCAGGGCTGCTTTGCTTTGTGTTCTATTTAACAAGCTTTTGGGTTTTTGTGTTTTGAAATGATTAAAAAACAGTTTCCTGCTCAAAAGGAAAGATGGAATGTTCTCCTTTGACCTTGTGATGTCTGCTTCCAGCAAGGATTTTAGGTCCCAAGATCTGCTCATTTCTGGTCTCTTCGTTCCAGGGAGCGAGAGCTCCTGCAGAAGGCCAGGGAAGAGCTGCAGCAGCAACTAGAGGTGCTGGAACAGGAAGCATGGCGGCTCCGAAGGGCAAATATGGAGCTGCAGCTGCAGGGTGACTCTGCCCAGGGGGAGAAGGAGGAGCAGCAGGAAGAGTTGCACCTGGCTGTTCGGGAGAGGGAGCGTCTGTAAGTGTGACCAGTCTCGTCCTCTCTGGCTTTCTTTTGGTTCCACACTCCCCCACCTGCTCCTCTATTTTAGAAAGTGGACTGTCTAGAAGCCTAGCACAGAATGGGTAAGATTAGCTTACTACTTTCCTTTGCAAAGTTCATCTAGACTTTGTTGAGCACCCATAGAGATGAGGCACTGTGAGGAATATAAAAATGAATAACAGATAGACCTCATCTCAAGAAACTTGCAATAATGGAGAAGACACAAGTAAACAATTGTGAAATGAGAGTAGATGAAGTATAAGCTAAATAGGCATTCGAGCCTGTTCCTTTCGTAGTATAAGAGTAACAGTAAATTATTGAGAACCAGGAAGAGCTTTAAGGAGTAGGAGATGGTTTGAGTAGGACCTTGACCTATTTTGATAGTGAATAGGAGAGAGGATAAAGGAACAGAATAGCAAAGAAAAGGAAGCAAGAATGTTCGTGGCATGTTCGGAATAGGCTGGGATGCTAACAGATGAGACAGGGAAGTAATGGGAAATAAACTCTGCTTTCAAGAAGGGAATTTGAGAGTCAATATTAAATCTATGAATTCTCTTATATGATGTTGCACAAGGAACAGGGACTTTAGAGCTGAATGAAAGCTTGGTTTAGATTCTGGATCTGCCATGGGCAGATTATTTGTAAAATGGGGATAAGACTATTTACCTTGAAGAATTAATGGAAAGAAGTGTTTTAGAAAATGTCAGCATAGAGCCTGGCATACAGTAGGTCTTGAATAACTGGTAGCAGGGTTATCTTTTCTTTTCTTTTTTTAAAGAGAGAGTGAGAGAAGAGAGAGAGAGAGAGAATTTTAATATTTATTTTTTTAGTTCTTGGCGGACACAACATCTTTGTTGGTATGTGGTGCTGAGGATCGAACGCGGGCCGCACGCATGCCAGGCTAGCGCGCTACCGCTTGAGCCACATCCCCAGCCCCAGGGTTATCTTTCCTTCACCCTTGGTATATTCCCCTCCTCTTCTGTACCATGCATCTAGTGGGCATGAAGAGGATAAACTTGAAAGACTGCCAAAAGGGTCATGCCCTGTCCTAGGAAGGATCTCCCCTGCACCAGGTAGAAGGCAGACAATCTGCAAATAGTTATATTTTTAAAACTTTTCTTACCTGACTTGATGACATAATTATATGATTCAAAAGGAATTTTAAAAGATTCACAAAAGATAGACATATGAAGTCTTACTTCCATCTTTGCTTTCTACATCCTGTTTCCCTTCCTCCTCTAAACTATTTAAATTAATTTCTTGTTTATCTTTCCCATGCTACTTCATGCAAACATAAGCATAGATTCTTCTTTCTCTCACTTTTTTTGCATAAATAAATGTATACATTTGCTTATATATATATATTATATAAAAAATGCATATGTGCCAGGCACAGTGGCACACACCTGTAATCCCAGCGGCTTGAGAGGCTGAGCAGGAGGATTGCATGTTCAAAGCCAGCCTCAGCATTGGCAAGGCACTTAGCAACTCAGTAAGACCCTGTCTTTAAATACAATACAAAATAGGACTGGGGATGTGGCTCAGTGGTTGAGTGCCCCTGAGTTCAACCCCCAGTACCCTCCCAAAAAAAACGCACATGTGTACTATTCTTCATTGGACATTTTTCACTTAGCATATTAGAGATCATTTCTTATCAGTTTTTGGAGATTTTTCTCATTCTTTTGCATAGAAAATGTAATTATATTCATGTTACCTTTTGAGTGACCACTTCCAAAGACTTACTCTAGCCCCATCTTCTTCGTTTCTCAGTCAGGAAACACTGGTGGGCTTAGAAGCCAAGCAATCAGAATCACTCAGTGAGCTAATCACACTTCGGGAAGCTTTGGAGTCAAGTCGCCTGGAGGGGGAGTTACTGAAGCAAGAGCAAGTGGAAATGTCAGCAGCACTGGCCAGGGTGTGTAGGCCTCCTCTTTACTTACTGGGTGGATGGCTTAGGAAGTTGGGTTCCCAGAAAAAGGGCATGTAGCCGCCTCATTCTCTTTGCCCTTTAAGCTGTGACCCTTGGGTTTCTTTCCTCCATTCCTAGCCTGCTTCTGGGTTCTCTCCCTCTGAATGTACCCTCTATGTTGGAATTAGATGATGGTTATGTCAGTCTCTTAAAACCATTCAGTGGCTTCCCAGCTCTGGAGCTGCATTCAAAGACTTTTGTCATCTGCCTCAAACTGTGTATCTAGCCTCCCTGTCCACTCCAAACCCACCCTAACCCCTGTTGTCCTTTGTTCCATGTAGCATTAGTTGCATTCTCAGTTTTGTTATGTTCCTTCTTGACTCTAGTACTCTGCATATGCTTTTTCCTCTGCCTGGACTGCTTCTTTCCTTCCCCTTTAACCAGGAACTGTTCCTCATCTCTCAATACCCAACTTAATTTTTAACTCCTCTACCAAGCATTTTTGACTCTTCCAAATTGAATGAATGACTTCTTTGAGTTCCCCAGAGCACTTTGGGTCTATATTTCTATAGTGTCCTCACAATTGTGCTTGTTCATTATGTCTGTGCCTCTATGCTGTGAGTTACTGTCTTATTCCTCAATGAAGGAATAAATGGGCAAAGGGAAAACTTGTTTAGAATATAGGGGAAGGGATGGAGTGCTAACTGATATTTGCACCAAAAGCAACAGGTGTTGGGAATGTGAACTGTTTACAGTTTTAAGAAAACTAGGAATGGGAAACGCTTTAACCCTCTGATTTGTAGGCAGAACAATCCATTGCAGAGCTTTCAAGTTCTGAGAACAGCTTGAAGGCAGAGGTTGCCGATCTTCGGGCTGCAACTGTCAAGCTCAGTGCCTTAAATGAGGCTTTGGCCTTAGATAAAGTTGGACTGAACCAACAGCTTCTCCAGGTGAGCAGAGATTTGTCTGATCTCCATGCAGGGCTGGAACCTGACTGAGATGCCAGTGACAAGCAAAGCTGATGCCCATATTAGGGCAGACTCCTTAAGGGATTAGCTCCCAAATGTAGTTTTGTTTCTTTTTTCTTTTTCTTTTCTTTTCTTTCTTTTTTTTTTTTTTTTTTTTCTGGTACTGGGGCACTCTACCACAGATCTATACCCCCAGCCTTTTTTATTTTGAGACAGGTTCTTGATAAATTGCTGAGACTGACCTCAAACTTGAGATCCTCCTGCCTCAGCCTCCCTAGTAGCTGGGATTATAGATGTGCACCTCCATGCCTGGCATCAAACAGTTCTGAAATGAACAAAAGGAACATTTACTGTACACTGGAGAGCAAAGAATTAGATTTGAGAATTAGAAATACTCCTGTCCCACACTTCTAGCAGAATCACCTTTGTATAGGCTTTAGGGAGAGTCATCAGAACTGGGAAGGGATTGATGTCCTCTGGAAGCAAGACCAGGTTTTTAATCCTATTAGGTGAAATATTGGCAATCACCAGAAAATAATCCACCAAAGAGCCTAAGTCCTCCAAAATCTCTATAGGTTATAAATTTAACCTATAATTTTAGCAAAGGACCGTACTTACTCCCCCTGTTCTCTTGAGCTCCAGAAATATTCTGTTCTATTATTCTGAATTATTTGAGAACAGAATTTTGCCTTTTTTAAATCTCCATCCCCAGCATCCAGCCTGTCCTGTACTTAAAATACAAGCACCAGATCAAATGAATGGATTTCCCCCCATCTTCATTTTTGGAGAATAGATTCACATCTCACTTGGATTTTGGTTTTTAGCACTTGAGACCCGTTAGGGAAACTTTAACCACTTGTCTTTAATGACCTGTACCCCCTTTCCTTTTTGGCCAGTAGTTGGAGCATGACAACCAGTCTGTGTGCAGCAGAGTAGAGTTGGCAGAGCAGGCGAGAAGTGCTTTGCAGGTGGACCTGGCAGAGGTAGAGAGGAGCAAGGAAGCACTGTGGGAAAAGAAAACTCACCTGGAGGCTCAGCTGCAGAAAGCTACAGAGACTGGAGCTGAGCTGCAGGCAGAGCTCAGGAGCATCCAAGAAGAAAAGGAAGAAATTAAAGAGAAATTAAATGAGGTGAGAAGACAGTTATACAGTGGACACCATTAATTAAGATACTACTCATTGTAAAAAAATAAAACATGATGAAAATGACTCAGGGAAAGTCTTATTTCCTAGAAATGACCAATGTTACTTGTTTGTGGTCTATCTTCCTATTTTTTAAAGTAATTCCTACAAGAATCTGCTGATTCCTTACTTCTTCCTACCCACCAGTTTGAATTAGATGCTTCTCCTATATGCTCTGCCAACACCTCATGCTTATTTCAACATCTGCACCATTCATTCTACAGTTATCTGTTTCCATGTCCGTCAGGCAAGGCTGTGTCTTATTATTGAATTCCTTTGGCTGTTAACTCAGTGCTGAACACATAACAAGGCTAACCAGTACATTTATTTCTTGAACCAATGAATGACCTGGCCCAAAGGTCATCGTTTCCCTTCACCAAGCCTCTCATAATAATTATACATAATCTTCCATTTCAGAATCCCTTCCTCAGGTCACTGGTCACTTTCTTCCTGGTATTATATGCATCTTATTTCTGAAAATTAAAAGTTCTTATGTGCAGGTCTTCTGTCCCCAGCAGAGAGTCTTGCTCATAGAAGAGCATACTTTCAGGGCTGGGGTTCTCTGGGTTGCTCAGGGAAACAGATAAATGCCAGTGCTATTAAATGAGCAACATTCAGATTTACAGTGCTGGGCCCAGAATCTCTGAAGTGCCAATGGCCCTAACCTGGTATTAGCAGACCAGGGGAATTTTGCCTCTACTCTATATCTCACCAATTTCTTCCCCTCAGGCACTTTACCAGCAGGAGGCAGCTACAGTTCAGCTTGAACAGCTGCATCAGGAAGCAAAGCGACAGGAGGAAATCCTTTCCAGGGCAGTCCAGGAGAAAGAGTCTCTAGTAAGAGAGAAGGCTGCTCTAGAGGTGCGGCTGCAGGCTGTGGAGAGAGACCGCCAGGACCTTGTTGAACAACTTATGGGGCTTAGGTAAGGCTTTGATCCAGTTCAGCCAAGCTTAGAGAGCTTCACAAGGCAAAGGGTAGCCCTAAGTATATGACTTCCAAATGAATTATGAATTTATAATTGCCCCTGCAACTTCTCCTGGTAGCCAGTACTTAGAACTCCACTCCTTTTAAGGAAAGGTAAGGGCATTGATGGGTAAGATCTCTTCCTGTTTCCTAAACTTCACAGCTCGGCCAAGGAACAGCTGGAGAACAATCTGTTTGAGGCCCAACAACAAAATTCTGTTATAGAGGTCACCAAGGGACAGCTAGAGGTCCAGATTCAAACTGTCACTCAAGCCAAGGAAGTAGTCCAAGGTGAGAACCCAAATGGGATGGGGCGTGCTCTATCCATGGGGATGGTGAAAGTCAGGAATGCAGTGGGATGCTATTAGAGCTTTTCTGCAGCCAATGCAGGGCCTCTGAGATGGGAGTTGCTCATAAGGTTCATGGGGAGCAGAAGAATATTATTAGGTAAAAGGATCAGGGACAGAGGCTCAGAGAGCTGATCCTCTTTCTGGAATCCTAGGGGAAGTGAGGTGCTTGAAGCTAGAACTGGAAACTGAACGGAGCCAAGCAGAGCAGGAGCGGGAGAGAGCAGCCAGAAAGTTGGCCCAGGCTGAGCAAGATGGGCAGATGGCCCTGGAGCAGCAGAAGGTGGCCCATGAGGAGGAGGTCAAACAGCTTCAGGAGAAATGGGTAGGTGGTGAATGTGGCTGGGGTTGGGAGAGGCAGACGTGATTTCCCTTCTGTGAATGTGCACCACCTGCTGACTCTTGGTCCAGGTGTTCTGCTTACAAGAGTGGTTTGGACAGCATGGTATAAAAAACTTCTAGATATTAAATGAGTTAATAGCTGGGCACGGTGGAACATACCTATAATCCCAGCAAGTTGGAAGGCTGAGGTGGGAGGATCATGAGTTCAAAGCCAGCCTCCCAACTTGGGTGGGCCCACCAGCATGCTGAGCATAGTGCCCACTGTATTTACCAGCTTTTGATGAAAGAAGTGGTCACTTGCCTGGCTCTTACCTACCCTCTGAACTCATTCAAGACAAACCTGCCAGGTGCACTCCTAGAAATTATAGACTGCCCACAGCCTGCACAGCGTCAGTAGCTTGCTAGCATTGCCTACTGCACCTGCAGGACTCGGAATCTTGGCTACATAAGGCTGGCAGGGGACATAGTGGGGCAGTGCACAATGTTGCCACAACCTTGAGATCTCTCCTCACCTCACAAACTCTTCTCACCCTGGACCTTCCCCCTACTGTGATCCCTCACCTGACCCTGTGCTCTATCCTCATGCCACACCAGCATTGTTTTCTTGATACTTACCTTCCCTAGCCATGACACCTTTCCCCACATCCTTTCTCACCTTATTTGATTTTTTTTTAAGAGAATTTTTAATATTTATTTTTTAGTTCTCGGCAGACACAGCATCTTTGTTGGTATGTGGTGCTGAGGATCGAACCCGGGCCGCACGCATGCCAGGCGAGCACGCTACTACTTGAGCCACATCCCCAGCCCCTTGATTTTTTTTAATAAATCTCATTTGACTGCAAAAATTTAGTGAGACAGATAAGGCAGATTATTAAGCATTACTTTAAGTTGAGGAAACAGGCTTAGCGGGGTATCGGGCTCACGTAGCTAGTAGTAGAGAGATTGTACTTTCAAACCAGTTCTTTTGCCTCCTCTTCCCACCCATTCGGTTCTAACAGCATTTCCTTTGCATGGCCAGGAGAAAGAGCACTTCCGGCTTCAGAAGGAGCTGAATAAGGCCCTGGAGAGCCTAGAGAGAGAAAGAATGGAGCTGGAAATAAGGCTGAGGGAGAAACAAACAGAAACTGAAGCCATCCAGGCACAGAGGGAAGAGGAACGGACCCAAGCAGAGAGTGCCCTCTGCCAGGTGGGAAGCTAGGACAACTGGAGTGGCACATCCATTACCATTAGTGACCCCAACTATTTTCTTTTCCTGTCCTTAGAGCAAGCTATAGAAGGGCTTCCAGAAGAGAATGTAGTACCCACTTAGTTGCCAGCGAGCGGGGTGTTCTACACCGTTAGCTGCAGGGCTTCAGTATGTCGTACTTCCTGAAGGAGGGCTGACATTTACCACATCCTGTCAGCTTGCAAACCAGTGGCTACCTTCGTACTTCCTGGTTCTCAGTCAGTGGGCTCAGACCTTCCTTTGCCATCAGCCCCCACCCCATTTTCTGGAGGGGCCCTAGAGCAGCAGCTGGGCTGTGCTTTTAGCCTCCTGGGTGAGCATGAAAACCCTTGCCCTTTCTACTTCTCCACAGATGCAGCTGGAAACAGAGAAGGAGAGAGTGTCCCTCCTTGAGACACTGCTACGGACCCAGAAGGAGCTGGCAGATGCCAGCCAACAACTGGAACGGCTGAGGCAGGACATGAAGGTTCAGCAGTTAAGAGAGCAGGTATGGAGGGTGGTCTTAGGCGTTCATTCACCCATTCAACAACTAATAGTACTTTAGCACTTCTTATGCACCAAGTACTAGGCTATAGGCTGACGTGAAAAGTACATAAAGGGGTAGCTCAGTGGTCAATGTGATAGACCTGGTCACTGCCCACAAGAAACACTGTGGTGGCAGAGACAGATGTGAAATGAGCAGACACAAAATAAATGATATGATCGTTTTATAATTAGTTTATAATAACTGTTCCAATAGAAATAAAAAGAATGATGTAATTGAGAGTAGTTCAAAGGAGGCCTCTTAGGACAAGGTGGGCAGGGGAGACCTCACTAAGAAAATGACATTTGAGGGCTGGGGTGTGGCTCAGTGGTAGGGCATTCGCCTAGCACGTGCAAGGCCCTGGGTTTGATCCTTAGCACCACATTAAAATAAAGGTGTTGGGTCCAACTACAACTAAAAAATAAATATTAAAGAAAGAAAATGACATTTGAAGGGCTGGGGTTGTAGCTCAGCAGAAGATTGCTCACCTAGCATATGTGAGGCTCTGGGTTCCATCCTCAGCACCACATAAAAATAAATAAATAAAATAAAGGCATTGTGTCCAACTATACCTAAAAAGTAAATATTTTTAAAAAAAGAAGAAGAAAATGACATTTGAGCTGAGACTTAAAGGTTAAAAAGAAGCTAGCCAAGCCAGGCACAGTGGTGCACACCTGTCATCCCAGAGGTTCGGGAGGCTCAGGTAGGAGGATTACAAGTTCAAAGCCAGCCAACTCAGTGAGGTAGGGCTTGGGATGTGACTCAATGTCAAGTGCCACTGAGTTCAATCCTTGGTACCCCTACCCCCCATCAAAAAAAAAAAAAAAAGGAAGCTAGCCAGCAGGGCATGGTGGCATATGCCTGTAATCCCAGCCACTTGGGAGGCGAGGCAGGAGGATCCTAAGTTCCATGCTAGCCTTAGCATCTTAGCAAAGCTCTAAGCAATTTAATGAGACTCTGTCTCAAAAAGAAAAACTAAAAAGGTCTGGGAATGTGACTCAATGGTAAAGTGCCCCTGGGTTAAGTCCCAAGTTAAGTCCCAATTATACCCCAAAAAAAGAAGTTAGATATATGGTATACACAGAAGAACCTCAAAAACATGCCAAATGACAGAAGTGAGACACAAGAGGCCACATTATGTTTCCATTAATATAAAATGTCCAGAGCAGTCAAATCTACAGAGACAGAATGTAGATTAGTGGTCGAGTCAGGGTGGCAAATGGGTAGTGACTGTTAATGGGGTGATGAAAATGTTCTGCACTTAATCGTGGTGATAGTTCAGAATTCTGTATATACTAAAAACTACCAAATTGGCTGGGTATAGTGGTGCATACTTGTAATCCCAGCTTCTCAGGAGGCTGAGGCAGGAGAATCACAAGTTCAAGTCCAGCCTCAATAACTTAGACCCTATCTCAGAATAAAAAAGGTAGAATGCTCTTGGGTTCAATCCTCAGCACCAAAATAAACAAAAACACTGAAATGGCATACTTTTTGTTGTTCTTTTTAGATTTACATGACAGTAGAGTGTATTTTGATTTATTATACATTTATACATACATGGGGTACAAATGTATAATATATCTAATTAGGATCCCATTCAAGCAGTTGAACATGATATTGAATTTCTGAATGGTATACTTTTTGTTATGTGTGGGGGTTTTTTTTTTTTGTTTGTTTTTTGTTGTTGTTATTTTTGGTACCAGGGATTGAACTCAGGGGTACTTGACCACTCACTGAGCCACATCCCCAACCCTATTTTGTATTTTATTTAGAGATAGGGTGTCACTGAGTTACTTAGTGCCTTGCCAGTGCTGAGGCTGGCTTTGAACTTGCAGTCCTCCTGTCTCAGCCTCCCCAGCCACTGGGATTACAGGTATTGAAATGGTATACTTTTTACAAGTTAATTGGATGGTAGGTGAATTTTATCTCAGTAAAGGCTTTAAAAAGAAAAAGAGAAAAGAAAGAAGCCAGACATTTGGAGAATACTTCAGAGGATTTAGCTTTCTGAAGGGCCCTAGGACAGATAGAAAAGGGCTTGGGAAGTTCAAGGACAGAAAGCAGTGTAGCTTCAATGTGATGTCCTCAGGGGCAAGTGGAGAAGTAGGCAGGAACCCTACCTCAGCCAGAGTAGAAGCTTAGGTTTCATTTAAAGGCAGTAGGAAACTGTTGGATGGCAATTAGAAAGCAGGTATGGGGCATGATTTTATATGTGTGTGTATGAGTGTGTACATTTTTTTTTCCTTTTTTCTTTTGCAGTGTTGGGGATTGAACCCAGGGTCTTGAATATGCTAGGCAAGCATTCACCCATCAAGCTACATTGTCAGCTCTAGATACAATTCTCCATTGAGTCAAGTGGAGAAAGAGAATGAAGAGAGAGTATGTGTGTGTGTGTGTGTGCATGTGTGTGTGCGTGTGCGTGTGCATGTGTATGTGTGTGTGTGTGAGAGATAGAGGCATCAAGTGGAAGTAGGGGGATGGTCAGGAGGCTGTTGGTATAGTCTGGGTGATGAAACACTACCAACTCGGGGCCCCTGACTCAGAAACCTGGGTGACCCTGTGCACAGTATGAAGTAGGAGAGCAAATAGGAGGCAAGGAGTTAAGGTGGGAAAGACATGGATTGCTGGAATGACATGGATCTGCCTTAGCTTTTGTCAACCCAACAGAAAAAAACAAAACGTCTGTATGTATCCAATGCAGGTTTCAGGACAAAGGCTCAAGTATACGTCACACTCCCTGATGTATTCTCCCTCTGCAGGAGACCACTGGGATGCTGCAGACCCAGCTCCGCGAGGCTCAGTCGGAGCTGAAGGAGGCAGCACAGCAACACAGAGATGACCTTGCTGCTCTCCAGGAGGAGGGTAGCACCCTGCTGCAGGACAAACTAGATCTACAGAAGCAGGTCCCTGCTCTTCTCCATCCTGCTGCTGAGCTCAGGAGCACAGGGATAGGCCACAGTACCAAGTGGATAGTTGAAGGGTGCTCAGAGCTAAGCATGTGTCTCTCGGTGCCCTGGAGTAGTACAAGTGGCCTTCCATATCCATGGGTTCCACATGTTTGGGAAAAAATTGCATCTGTATCACATGTGCACAGACCTCTTTCTCTAAACAGAGTATAACAACTATTTACATTGTATTAGGGATGATAAGTCATCTAAAGATGATTTAAATGTTACGAGAGGGTGTGCCTAGGTTATATTCAAAAACATGGTGCAATTTATATAAGGGACTTGAACATCTGCAAATTTTGGTGTCTATTAATTCTAGGATGCTAAGTAACCACTGTAACTCTTTCTTTGAAGTGATCTAAACAAAGCTAGGTTTTTCTCAGGCCGTCCCAGTTCTGATTGTTCTTCCCATTCTCATCCTGAATCCAGTGTTGTTATATATCAGGTTGCTTTTCTTTCTTTCTTTTTTTTATTTTTTATTTTTAAATATATTTATTGTAGAGACTTTCAAAAGATGAGTTACACACAAAAATATCTATAGTTACATTATTATGATATCTTAATTTTTTTAGAATTCTTTTCTTTTTTATTCTAATTTGTTATATATGACAGCAGAATGCATTTCAATTCATGTTACACATACAGAGCACAATTTTTCATGTCTCTGGTTGTACACAGTAGAGTCAACACCATTCGTGTCTTTAAATATGTACTTATGGTGATGATCTCCATCTCATTCTACCATCTTTTTTATACCCATGCCTCCTCCCTTCCCCTCCCACCCCATTGCCCTCTAGAGTTCATCTAATCTTCCCATGCTCCCCCTCCCAACCCCACTATGAATCAGTCTCTTTATATCAATAGAGAAAACATTTGGCATTTGGTTTTTTGGGATTGGCTAACTTCACTTAGCATTATATTCTCCAACTCCATCCATTTACCTGCAAATGCCATGATTTTATTCTGTTTCATTGCTAAGTAATATTCCATTGTGTGTATATACCACATTTTTTTTATCCATTCATCTATTGAGGGGCATCTAGGTTGGTACCAAAGTTTAGCTATTGTGAATTGTGCTGCTATAAACATTGATGTGGCTGTGTCTCTGTAGTATGCTGTTTTTAAAGTCCTTTGGATATGGACCAAGGAGAGGGATAGCTGAGTCAAATGGTGATTCCATTCCCAGCTTTCCAAGGAATCTCCATACTGTTTTCCATAATTGGCTGCACTAATTTGCAGTCTCACCAGAAGTGTATGAATGTGTCTTTTTACCCACCTCCTCACCAACACTTATTGTTTGTGTTTTTTTTTTTTTTAATATTTTTAGGTGTAAATGGACACAATACCTTTATTTTATTTGTTTTTATGTGGTGCTGAGGATCAAACCCAGGGCCTCACACGTACTAGGCAAGCGCTCTACTGCTGAGCCACAACCCCAGCCCTTTGTGTTCTTAATAGCTGCCATTTTGACTGGAGCGAGATGAAATCTTAGAGTAGTTTTGATTTGCGTTTCTCTAATTGCTAGAACTTTGGAACATTTTTTCATATATTTGTTGATTGATATAATCATCTTCTGAGAGGTGTTTGTTCAGTTTCTTGTCCCATTTATTGATTTGGCTATTTGGTTTTTTTGGTGTTTAGCTTTTTGAGTTCTTTATTACCCTAGAGATTAATGCTTTATCTGATGTGCCAGTGGTAAAAATTCGCTCCCAAGCTGTAGGCTCTTTACTCACCTGATTGTTTCTTTTGCTGAGAAGAACCTTTTTAGTTTGAATCCATCCCTTTTGGGGGTTACTTTTCTTATTCAGTCTGATTTTTCTTATCAGAATCCTATATCAAATGATGTTCTGATTGTTTGTTTGTTTAAAAAAATGTAATCACTACACACTTTCCCATAATTTTGCTTTTGCTCTTTAGCCAAGATTTTATTTATATCTGCCTGTGTGCAGCATTTGTGAGCCTGGGAGACAGATGGCCGGTCTGATTGGTACTGGGAAGGGGGTGGCTAAGAATAGTTTAGGAATTGGTTGGAAGAACCTCCAGAGCTTTAGAGATAAGCCACTGAGTGGGTTCTTGCAGGACCCTAAAGCTCTACTAGAAGCATCCTCCCATTGTTCCCCTGCCCTGTCATCTGGTCCATATCCCCTTAATCTTTCAGGTGGAGGACTTGAGGTCTCAGCTGGTGGCCCAGGGTGACTCCCACAGACTAGAGGAGCAGGAGGTTCAGGAGAAGCTGAGAGAAGCCCAGGAGAGTAGCCGAATTCAGAAGGAACTGGAGAGGGAGAAAGCCAGGTAGGCTAGACAGCCATGGAGGTGTTTTTGCTTTTCTGGCTGACAGTTCTGACAGTTCTTTGTGCAGGTCACCTCATCTTCACGTCTCCAGTTCTGAAGGATACAGGTACATGTGGAGAGGACATGTCTCTGTCTTCAAAGCTTACACTTAATTAATTTAGTAAATAGCATCCATTATGCATCAGATACTTTCAGAGTGGGGGATATAGTAATAAGACATTGTGGCCCCTGACCCAATAGAATTTATAGTTTTACGAAGAAGACTTTAATCAAATAATTCTCCAAACACATTAGTGCAGATTATGACATACAGTGTAGAGGAAAGAAATACGGTGTTGAAATGGAAGTGAGAGAGGGGAGACCCACTGTAGAAAGTTGTTAGTGAAGGCAACAGTGTCTCATGACACTATTTAAATCAAGCACTGAAGGATGAAATGGAGCTATCTGTGCCAAAGGATAAAGGAAAGTTCTATACGGTAGGAATAGAAATTATGCTCAGAGACCCTGAGCAGATGAAAACTTAAAATGTTTGGTGAAACTCAGAGTATGGTATAATGAGCATAGTGAACAAGGAGAGTGGGATAAGTCCTTATCATTCAGGAAGCTGTAGGCCATGGCAAGGAATTGGTAGATTATATCTAGTAGGAAACCACTGGAAGATTTCAAGTAGGGAAGTTGATATAATTCAGCTTATGAGGTATTAGAAGAGACAGTTAATGGCATGAAACAGCAGGCGACAGAATGGAGAGCGACATACATTCTCAGTGCTGCAGGAGTTTGAGAAAGGACAGATCTTTTGGTGAATACAGTGTCGGGTAGAAGACAAGTCAGGAGGCTGGTATAGGTGTCCAGATGAGAGATACTGATGCTGAGCTGAGGCAGGTAGAGGAGAAGGGAAGGGAGGAAGGGGTTCAAGGGATGTAGAGTTAGAATCAATTATATATAGTCACAGATTGAATGTGGGCAGGATGAAAGAGAGTTCTGCTGTGGTCGTGGTTTCTATGTTGGGACACTGAGGATGAAGGTACCACTTCTGAGCTAGGAAACATGGTAGGAGATGAGTGGGGAGTTGAAGGTACACAGGGGATGAAGATTAGTCATGTTGAATTTGAAGTACATGCATAGGTACATGTAGAATGTAGCATAGAATAACCTGTGAAGTTGAAATGAGGTGTCATGCATGAAGTGATGCTTAGTAGGTGCTCAGTAAATGGTAGCATGTATTGCGACACTATACTCATTATCATTAGTATTTCTATTTTAATTATTTATGCTATGTTTAGAACAGTACAGTAAGAAGGTAGTTTCTTCTCCTTGAGAGTATGACAGCCCTGTGACCCTTTTCTTCTTAGCCTGACTCTGTCACTGGTGGAAAAGGAACAAAAACTCCTTGTTTTACAAGAAGCTGACTCTGTTCGACAGCAAGAGCTGAACTCCCTGCACCGTGACATGCAAGAGGCTCAAGAAAGGCAAAAGGAACTCAGTGCTCAGGTACTCCCCACTGTGGTTATAACCCTGCTTCCTGGGGAGGCCTGTTCCTGAAGTGTTGGGATGAGTGCTCACAGTCCTCTTACACAGGGGTCAGACTGGATCCTCAGTAGCCCTGGCAGAGGGGAAAGCCAGGAATGGGCAGGGTGGAGGCTTGGGAACCTGACCGATGAGAATGGCCTCTGCGGGGAACCTGACAGCCTAGATCACAGTGACCAGAGGGGCAGAGCCCAGGTGGGCCTGGTGGACACACAGCCACTTCCAAGTATACTTGGTCTGGGTGGCAAGACACAGCAGAGGGAACTGAGCGGCAAGAAACACTCCAGGTTAGGTAGTAGCAGCAGGACCTCCCAGGACTAGATCTGCTCATAGCGGGACCCATGACCTGGGTTCAGAGGAGAGAGGACTGGGAGAAGAAGAGTGGGAGTAAGAGCTAGCTAGACAGGTCTGCCTGTTAGTCCTGAGTCTGACTGCTGGCTCTGCTGCTTCCTGGTTGTGTAAGCATCAGTCCCTTCATCCATAAACAGGGATGGTAATTCTGAGCCGTGACGGAAATACATAAAGCATCAGGAACACAGTGAGCATGCAGTAAATGGTAGCCGTTGTTATGAGTGGTCTTAGGCTAGTTGTCAGGATCTCAGGGAAGGTATCATAGGGAGCTGGCACATCAGCTTGGGAAACCAGGGCCAGAGCCCATTAGTATAGATTGGGCGTATGTGTCAGGAGTTGTTAGCCTCTAAGTGTCAGACCTAGGCACTCACTTCAGAGCCCTCCCTACCTGCTTTAGAGTTGAGCCAGCTGAAATCCTCTGTCCTGATCGAGATTTACAAGGGATCGAGCAGGGTCAGGCTTAGAAGGTCTGAGGAGAGGGTATCCACCTGCTGCTTGTAGTGAATGGCTTTCTCTCTGGCAGGTGGAATTACTGAGGCAGGAGGTGAAGGAAAAGGAGGCTGATTTTGTGGCTCAGGAAGCACAACTGCTGGAGGAGCTGGAGGCCTCTCGGATCACAGAGCAACAGCTGCGAGCTTCCTTGTGGGCCCAAGAAGCCAAGGCTGACGAACTTCAGCTGCAACTGCGTAACACAGAAAGCCAGTTGGAGGTGCTGGCTGCTGAGCAGCAGCCTGGGAACCATGCCCAGGCCCAGCTGGCCAGCCTCTACTCTGTTCTGCAGAAGGCTCTGGGGTCTCTATGTGAGAACAGGCCAGAGCTGAAGGGTGGGGGAGACTCTGCTCCCACCCTGTGGGGCCCAGAACCAGGTGAGCTCTTAGTCCTTACCGCAGAAGCCAGGCCTAGCTCCCTGGGGAGAAAGGAGGGGAACGCAGGTCCTCAGGCAATCTTACATTAAAGTTAAGATCACCACTCTAGAATTCACTCAATGTGAGTTTGAACTCCAGCTCTACCATTTTGCTAACTGTGTTGTTGGGCAAGTCCCTAACTTCTGACTTTAAAGTGAGGATATTAAAAGCACCTACCTCAGGATTTTTCTAAGGAGTTAATGTGGTTACAGGTGTAAATAGCCCACAGGGTGCATAACAGATGACAACTAATTACCTGGTACCCACCTTGGTGCCTAGTGCTTATTAGAAAAGCAGAAAGTATGTGATGAATCAACTACCAATCCCAAGGGTGGGCTTCTTTGATGAGAGGAGGGACTAGCAGGAAGGCCAAGGCCACATCTGGGAAGGAAGACTATTTATTTTCATGACAGCAGCCAGGTAAGGAGATTTTCTTCCATTTCTTCAGGCCAAAATGGAGCCAGGAGCCTTTTTAAGAGAGGGTCCCTCCTGACTGCTCTTTCGGCTGAGGCTGTAGAATCTGCTCTCCACAAGCTTCACCAAGACCTGTGGAAAACTCAGCAGGCCCGGGTGTGTATTCTCTGCCCTCCTTCCTTGAGGGTCACTTCCCTGAGAAGACTGAGGCAAAGACTCAAGTAGCTCTGTGGCTTGTTTTATTCCTGAGGTCAAGTTGGAATGAGCTCCTCCCTATCACTTGCCTCCTGGCAGCTGGTGACTAAAGCATTTAGGTTTCCTGGGCCTTGTTTTCACTTGCAAAGGAGGACTGCTAATGTCTGCCCCAGGGGTTGTTGTGAAGATTAAAGGAGTGGGGGTGTAAAGGAGCCCTGTAAACTATAAAACTATAGGTGTACGCTTTGGTTCACATCATTTTCCTCTCAGCCAGGAATTTATTCTTAGACCAAGCCCTCCAAGAGAAAGGGACTACTAAAATTTGAGGTTGCCTTTTATAGGAGCATCCATGCAAATTGCTGGTCACTTACATGCCAGCCACTCTGAGCTGGGATTATCAAAAGGAGAAAGACCTGACCTCTGCCCTCAAGAAATCTCCTGACCAAACTGCATTCTGATAGCAAACAGAACTGACAGAAGTAATTGAATCAGTAATAGACACAGATGATGGACTGGTGGAACTAGTTGGAAGGGGCAGTCCATTCTGGTTCACAAAGGATCCAAGGAAGGAAGAGGTTGCCCTTAGGCAACACTTTGAAGTAGGTATTTGGGAGGGTAGAGATGTTCCCTGGAATAGGGCCTTGAGCAATTATTTCAAAAGACATTAGATGGAGGCAAGTTGGAGTAGAGCCCATCATCACTTCAGGGAGCAAAATGCACACTGAGTTCTGCGGAAGCTATTTGAGAATAGGGCCTTGATGGCAGGCCACCCCAGAGAGGAAGTGAGAATAGAATTTGAGCCCTGGCTGGGACAGCTTTGTGGCAAACAAGGACTCAAGTTCAGCCCTGCCTTCCTTTCCCAGGATGACCTGAGAGATCAGGCCCAGAAGCTGACACAGAGTCTAATTGATGTTGAGGTGGAGAAGAGCCAGATCCACTCCAAGTTTCAGGACCTTCAGAGACAGCTCTCCCAGAGCCAGGAAGGTGAGCTGTGTCAGTGGGCAGATTGGCAGAGAGGACAGGTGGAAAGACCAAAAGTGGCAGGAACAGCCTAGCAGCCACTCTTTCTATTATTTACCCACACCTGGGAGATGATATCTAAGGTACATCCAGAGGGGCAGTGAGCCATTTGAACGATTTGTATGCTTTGCTTGGCCTTTGAGGGCCATCCTGGAAGAAGGGATCAGGAAGAACAGATTTGGGAAACTGACAGAAGGAGCTGGCAGGATTTCCATTTTTCTGTCTCTGCAAGAGTTAAAATCCTGTTTCTTTTGTTATTTATTCATGTTACTTATTTTTTTCATTGCCAACAATGTCCTCAAAATTAGACTTTAGGGCAGAAGGATAAGGACTTATTTGGGAGAAAACAAGGAGAGGAAATCTCAAGGAAACATCTGTACCACAGCTAAGGGTTGGAAAGGGTGATGACTGCTTAGAGAGGAGAGAGAAGGCTCTTGAGGCTCAAGATTCTTCTGTAGAAACGGAAACTTGGATGATGGGTTTTGCTTTTTTGAGGCCATTTGAGGGCTCTTAGAGATCCACACAAATAGAGCTGGGTTCCAGGACACCCTGCAGAAGTGAGGGGCAGCCAGCAGAGCCACCTAGGTCCCTAGGAGCTTCTACAAAATCATGTGATTGGGGTGTGGAAGGAACCTCTGATGTTGCTGGCTCAACCCTCTCTGGAATCCAGGCTTAAGGATCTCTGTGATCAGAATAAAGATGTGTTGGGATGATTGACAGGCAATGCTAGGACTGGCAGCAGACACAGACAGAAGTCTGGGAGCCTCAGGGAGCCTAGATAGATGGGAGCAGCTGGTAGACGGGTGATGTCTTAGGATGCTGAATGTAATTCTCTCCTGGCCTTCTCCTTTGATTATGTTCCCCATCCTCTATCTGCCTCTATACTCCTGTAGTCTCCCACCCCAACCATGGACCTAATTTCAGTATCTCTGCTTTTCCCAAAGAGAAATTCAAGTGGGAAGGAAAACACAGCACCCTAGAATCTGAGCTGAGGGAGCTGCATGAAACTGTGGCATCCTTACAGAGTCGCCTCCGGCAAGCAGAGCTACAGAGAATGGAAGCCCAGGTAAAGTGATACTGATTGGGCCACTGAGTGGTACTCAGGGGCCACAGCTGTAGCTGTCGCTCTCCTTTGCCTATGATAATGTGCCCAGCTTCCTTTTAGCAAGTCTCTCAGTTCCTCTGGTTGTCCCCAAGTCCCTGGAGGCCATTGTTAAGGTCATAATGAATCCTCCTCTAATTACCTTCTCGGAGTTTAGGTTGAGATTTTTGTCCCTTTCCTTGAAGGACCGGGGTCTGGGATGACTCTGCACCATGCAGAGTCTTGGTAGATGGTAGGGATTCCTTTTACAGGATCAGCTTAAGTGTAATTGTTCATTTTTCCCAAGTCTTTGTCATTGTTGATGCCACAAAATAAGGAAGGGAAAGTCCAGTGCCTAAAGTGGTTTTGCCTCTTGTTTTCCAGAGTGAGCGAGAGTTACTTCAGGCAGCCAAAGAGAACTTAACAACCCAGGTTGAACATCTGCAAGCATGTGTCACAGAAGCCAGGGCTCAGGCAAGTGCTGCTGGGGTCCTAGAAGAAGACCTAAGAACGGCTCGCTCTGCACTGAAACTGAAAAACGAAGAGGTGGAGAGTGAGCGGGAGAGAGCCCAGGCTCTACAAGAGCAGGGCGAGCTGAAGTTGGCCCAAGGGAAGGCTTTGCAGGAGAATTTGGCTCTGCTGGCCCAGACTCTATCTGAAAGAGAAGGAGAGGTAGAGACTTTGCAGGGAGAAATCCAGGAACTGGAGAAGCAGCGGGAAATGCAGAAGGCAGCTCTAGAACTGCTGTCTCTGGACCTGAAGAAGAGGAACCAAGAGGTGGATCTGCAACAAGAACAGATTCAGGAGCTGGAGAAGTGTAGGTCTGTCTTAGAGCACCTGCCCATGGCTGTCCAGGAGCGAGAACAGAAGCTGACTGTGCAGAGGGAGCAAATCAAAGAGCTCGAGAAGGATCGGGAGACTCAGAGGAACATTTTGGAGCATCAACTTCTGGAACTTGAGAAGAAATCCCAAGTGATTGAGTCCCAGAGAGGACAGATTCAGGATCTGAAAAAGCAGTTGATGACTCTGGAATGCCTGGCTCTGGAGCTAGAAGAAAGTCATCACAAAGTGGAGGGCCAGCAGAAGGTGATTGAGGAACTGGAGGGCCAGAGAGAAACACAGAGGGTGGCTCTGACCCACCTGACTCTGGACCTGGAAGAAAGAAGTCAGGAGCTGCAGGCACAAAGTAGTCAGATACAGGAGCTGGAGAGCCACAGCACCTTTCTGGCAAGAGAGCTACAGGAAAGGGACGAGGAAGTGAAGTCCCAGCACCAACAAATAGAAGAGCTGCAAAGGCAGAAAGAGCATCTCACTCAGGACCTTGAGAAAAGGGACCAGGAGCTGGTGTTGCAGAAGGAGAGAATTCAGGTTCTGGAAGACCAGAGGATGCTGCAGACCAAGATCCTAGAGGAGGACCTGGAACAGATCAAGCTGTCCTTGAGAGAGCGTGGCCAGGAGCTGGCCTCCCAGAGGCAGCTGATGCAGGAGCGGGCAGAGGAGGGGAAGAGCCCTAGTAAAGCACAGCGTGGGAGCCTGGAGCACATGAAGCTGATCCTGCGTGATAAGGAGAAGGAGGTGGAATGCCAGCTGGAGCATATCCAGGAACTTCAGGAGCATAAGGACCAGCTGGAGCAGCAGCTCCAGGGCCTGCACAGGAAGGTGGGTGACACCAGCCTGCTCCTGACCCAGCGAGAGCAGGAGATAGTAATCCTGCAGCAGCACCTTCAGGAAACCAAGGAACAAGGGGAGCTGAAAGAGCAGGCACTTCAGGGTCAGCTGGAAGAGGTCCAAAGAGCCCTGGCCCAAAGGGACCAAGATCTCGAGGCCCTGCGGCAAGATCAGCGGCAGGCTCTGGCCCAGGAGGAGGAGAAGGCAAGTGCCCTCCAGGCTGCTCTGGAGCAGGCCCATGTGACGCTGAAGAAGTGCCAAGGAGAGCTGGAGGAGCACAGGGAGCAGGTGAGAAGGCTCCAGGAAGAGCTGGCAATGGAGGGACGGCAGGTTCAGGCACTGGAGGAGGTTTTAGGAGACCTGAGGGCCGAGTCTCTGGAGCAGGAGAAGGCTCTGCTGGCCCTTCAGCAACAATGTGCTGAGCAGGCACAGGAGCACGAGGCAGAGGCCAGAGCTCTGCAAGACAGTTGGCTGCAGGCAGAGGCCACACTCAAGGAGCGAGACCAGGAGCTGGAGGCTCTGCTGGCAGAAAGCCAGTCTTCCAGGGATCAGGAAGCCGCTGCACTGGGCCAGGCAGAGGCTCTGCAGGAGGCCCTGAGCAAGGCCCAGGCTGCCCTGAAGGAAAAAGAACAGCATCTCCTTGAGCAGGCAGAATTGAGCCGTGGTCTGGAGGCCAGCACTGCCACTTTGCAAGCTGCACTGGGCACCTGTCAGACACATGCCCAGCAGCTGGAAAAGGCCCTGAGGATGCGAGAAGGCGAGATTCAAGACCAGGATCTTCGACACCAGGAGGATGTGAAGCAACTTCAGCAGGCACTTGCCCAGAGGGATGAAGAGCTAAGGCAGCAGAAGGAACAGGGGCAGCTGTTGGAGAAGTCTTTGGCACAAAGCAATCGAGAGAATAGGATCCAAGAGAAGCAGAGTCTTGGGCAAGAAGAAGAGATGTGGAGCCTGCGTGAGAATCTAAAAGAACTAAAGCTGATTCTAGCCCAAAAGGAAGAGGAGATTCAGGAACTGAGAGAAGCCCAGCAAAGGATGAATCTGGAGGCCTCTCCCCACCTCCACAAAGCCTCCTCAGTGGAAGAGCCATCTCCAAAATTGAATTCTTTAGCACCTGTGCTGCAGCAGGACTTGGAGCGACTACAGATGGTCCTGAGGCAGACAGAAGCCAGGGAGATTGAGTGGAGGGAGAAGGCCCGGGACTTGGCGATGTCCCTGGCCCAGAGCAAGGCCAGTGTCAACAGTCTGCAGGAGGTAGCCATGTTTCTACAAGCCTCTGTTCTGGAGCGGGAATCACAACAGCAGAGATTGCAAGTAAGTGCCTCAGGGGAAGCGAGAGTCAGACAGAACCCGTCCATCTGAGCTTGAGGGCTGCTTGCCACCCTGGGCCTTGTGGCACTCAGAAAGTATAAGAAGCTGAGATCATGAGTACCCCAACCTGAGCTAGTCTGTGAGACACACAGTCCCTGCTTTTGGAGCGGGACTAGTAAATAGAGAGCTGTGCTGCAGTGTGCTTCATGCCTAATGAGGGCACTCTTGTTCCAGGCAGGCTGGAGGGATGCCCAACCTTTCCTTCAAGTATGTCCCAAAAGGCTTCCTGCTAAAAGTGGATGAGATATGCAGCTGGGGTTATGGCTCAGTGTGGAGCGCTTGCCTGACATGTGTGAGGCGCTGGGTTCAATTCTCAGTGCTGCATCTAAATAAACAAATAAATATGAAAGTTCTCAACAACTAAAAAAAATATCTGAAGGGACCAGTCAGGAGCTAGCCAAGCACTGATGGGGGCGGGGGCTTTCTAAGGAAGAGGAAAAAAGAGAAAGAACACAGAGGTTTAGGAGGTTCAGGTTGTCTGGAAGTTAGAGGGGCTGTTGGCAAGAGAAGAGAGGATAGCAGAGACCACAGCATTCAGGGCTTAGAAGTATGGACCTGTCAGCAAGACGCTAAGGACCTGGGTTAGTAGTGGGAAGCACCTGAAGAGCAGGAAAATGACACCATCAGAGATACAGTTCAGGACAATCTCTCAGGCTGCCGTGTGCAGTAACAGCAGATTTGGGGAGACCAGCTAGGAGATTAGTAGAAGTCCTGGGGAGTGGTGGAGACCTAAGATGGTGTGAGTAGAAACAGGTGCTCACAGGTGTTCAGCAATTGACTGACCAAGAGGTGGGAGGAGTAAGAAAGGACAGAAAAAAAAGTCAAAGGCAACACTAGGGTTTCTTCCCACTAAGATGAAGAAAAGCAGGTATGAGGAAGAGGAGTGGAACGAGGAGCACCTGCGGGATATGCAAGGGGAGCTGTCCAGAGGGCGGCTCAGTGAAGTGGTCTGAAGTTGAGACTGAGACTGGGTTAGGGATGGAGAATTTGGAGTCATCAGCAGTTAGGAACAAGTGGGCTCTGGTAGGTGTAATGTTAAGTGACAAAGGAAGTGGATTTCAAATAGGATTTGTGGGGCATAACATTTAACCTCAGGTTTAAATGTCATGCTTTAAGTCATCTTTATACCCCTAACACTGAGCACAAAACCTGCACAGAGTCAACAATTTTTCAGGAAAGCTAGGTTGACAGCTGACAACAGAGGAACATTGTTGCTTTTGTCAAGAGAAATTCAGTCCATTTTTTCATGGAAATTGACTCTACAATCCTCATTCCTTAACTAATCCCCATAGGATCCCCCTTACTCATCTCAAACACACAGTCCCACAAGAACTTGCCTTCTGGGAACTCACAAAATTGTAAAATGGCAATATATAGGGAATTATATTTATGAACTTTGGAGTCAAGTTCCTGCAATATAGGTGAAATACTGCTCAAATTCATTGACTGTGTGGCCCTGGGTAAGTGTCTTCATTTCCCTAACTCTGGGATTTCTTATTAACAAGATAGGGAATTTTAAAAAAATAAATAAATAAGGAATGATAGTATGGAGTAAGACAATACCTACTGAGTGCTTGGGAAGAAAAAACTCAGTAAAACTTCTTTCCTATTTGTAGGTTCATTCTCACAGGCCCAGCATGTAACTGGGCCTGAGGGTACTTGCTAGTCATGCTCTTGGGATACTGAGTATTATTCACTTACTGTATTACTTAGGTCAAGGTACTTTTATCTATCCCCCTTTTAAACACTCAAAGACATTTTTAGATACAACACTTCATTGGAATAGTGCCATCTCCCTCCCTCTTCCTTCCTTCCTTTTTTTTTTAAATTATATTTTTTTAGTTGTAGATGGACGGACTACTTTTATCTATTTATTTTTATGTGGTGCTGAGGATCAAACCCAGTTCCTCACACATGCTCGGCAAGTGCTCTACCACTGAGCCACAACCCCAGCCCCCTTCCTTCCTTTTATACTGAGGTTTGAACCCAAGGATGCTCTACCACTGAGCTACACCCCGGCCCTTTTTATTTGGAAGCAAGATCTTACCAAGTTGCTGAAGCTGGCCTAGAACTTGGCAGTTATCTTGCCTCAGCCGCCTAAGTCATTGGGATTACACATCACCATGCCCAGCAATAGTGCACTATTCTCTTTCATGACCCTTAAAAGGTGGAACTTTTAGCTCTTTTTAGAGTTGAGAAATGGTAGTTAGGTTAACTTGTCCAAAGTCATACGACTGGTAACTGGCCAAGGTGGGTTAGATCTGACAGTCTGACTCTTAAGAGCTGAGGTTATTGACATCAGGGTCAGCTCTTCCTCTCTCACCTACAGCCTGTGCCACCACGCATGTATGCTCATTTCCTCTTGTGAATCTTTTTTCTTGACTGTTTTTTATGAAATACCAGGTGCTGAGAAACTATCTAGTATTAAGTTTCCAGTTTCCCCATTCATCCAAAGGGATTTAACCTCAAGGGTGTGATCCTTGTTTTATAGAGCATATAGTCATTTTATATATGAGGAATTTGGGCTTGAAATGATCTCAAATCTTGACCTGAGTCATACAACCAATAAGTGGTGACATCACATCCAGCTCTGTATGACTCCAGGAGTCCTTGCTGTTTCTAGAACACATCAGTGCCCCAAGTTGTTGCTTGGCTTCATGGGAGACCTGAAATAAGATGGCAGCTCTGGTCCTAGCTCACGTGCAGGCTCTCCAGGAATCCTTGGGAAGATCCTTCTTCACTCTGTTTCTTCATCTGGAAAATGAGGGGTCTAGACTAGAATCATTCAGAGGCTCCAGGAAAACTAAAACTATACCCTGGTGAAGAAGTCAAATGGGTTTTATAAAGAGAGACTGTGGTGAGTCTGGATATGAGACAGTTGTGGTGTGATTTTTGTCTTATACCTCCATATCCCAGGCAGAGCTGGACCTTACCAGACAGGCTCTGGAGGAGGAGCGACTACACAGCCCACACTCAACCAGCAGAGTGGAGCAGGAGCCCAGAGCAGAGCAGAGGGAACAGCCCGGAGAGGTAAGCTGAGGGCTGCTGGGAACCAATGGTCAAAAGAGGGAGCTTCTGTCAGGCTTGTTCCTCTTCCTTACAAATTGGGTCCCTTTAAGCCCAGACCTGCTTAATTGGTACATTTGCTCTTGGTCTGTTCCCCCAACTATTTGTGGGGCTGCCCAGGAGAGATTCACAAGCCTTCCCCACAGGCCTCAGGAATGGAGGCTGAGCCTAATTCTGGAATGGAGCAGCAACAGTCGTGGAGACAAAGGCTTGAAAACCTTCAGCAAGCAGTGGCCCGACTGGAAATTGATCGGAGCAGGCTGCAGTGCCACAACATCCAGCTGCGGACCACCTTGGAGCAGGTCAGTGACTTCTGCCGTCCTCAGCTCCTCCCTTGTGGTTGGGTACACATGCATCTCTACTTCTCATGCAGCTCCCAAAGCAAGGGTTGGTAAACTATAGCCTGTGAGCCCAACCCAGCACACCACCTGCTTCTGAGATAATTTTATTGGGACACAGCCATGCATTGTCTGTGGCCTTGTCCACTACATCAGAGGAGCTGAATAGTTGTGACAGAACTAGAACAGCCCACAAAGCCTAAAATACTTGCCACAGAAAAAGTTTGCTGACCTTTGAGCCAAAGGCCTGAGAAGTAGCCTCCTCCTCCTGCCTCAGGAGCACTTCTTTGCATTCAGGGCTGCCCTAGCACATGCTTTTCCTAGCTCAGGAGTCTCAATGCCCATGGTTGCTGTCCATTTACACTCATCAGGACATCAGGTCTCTGTGAGCATTGTCCCTTATGCTGCTATGGGCCCCTGCACATACTCTGGCCCCAAGCCAAGACTGGTCTGACATTCACATCTTGGCAGGTGGAGCGAGAACGGAGGAAGCTGAAAAGGGATTCCATGCGCACATCTCGGGCAGAGGCCCCAGAGATCAGTGATGCCGCAGCCTCATCACCCACACAGAAGGTGCACCTATTTTCTTCACCTGCACCCTCAGCCACCACAAACTTGGCCCTCTACATTGCATATCCCAGGCACCTTCAGGTGGGAAGGTGGCCACTCCAGCCAATTCAGAGAGCCCCTCCTGACGGTTTTGCCGAACTGGGCACAGCTCAGGCTCTCCTTGCCTTAGAAGGAGGCCCAACACCAGTGGGTTGGGGGAGGCAAGTGTAGTGATCCTGCATTCTGAGGAGCTCAGATCTGCCCACTCCCAGACCAGTACCCCAGACTCAGTGGGAGCAGGGCTATAGTCACACTGGCACAGGATGTTGTATAGTACTTCCCAACCCCCAATGTGCCTGGATGCTTGAACACAATTCTCTTAGACCTCCTTGCAGTACAAGGTTAAGATCCATGGTATTTGCTAGGAACAGAGTCACTTTTTTGGATAAGGTATTTGGAAAAGATTCTCCCTAAATTATCACTCTTTAGTTGAGGTATTGCAGCCTGGCAAGGAGGGACTGTTTCTGGTGAGCATCTCTAGCTCTCCCAGCTCTGGGCACTATGTCTGTCTCCTTTTCATCCTTAGTTCACAGCAAAGGACTGGGCATAGAGCAGATGTTTGGCATGCTTCTATTAAATAAAAGTGCCAAGCCTTTCTAACATCAGGTCTCTGTGAGCATTGTCCCTTATGCTGCTGTGAGCCTGCCTGGCCTCTCCTTGCCCTGGGATATGGTACCCCATAGAGATCTAGGGTTAGGTTTAGGCACTTCTGGCCCACAGCCCTTGCTCATGTCCCAAGACTGTGATGAGGTAGCCAAAGAATACCTATAGAAACCCCAGAGTGGGAAGGTCCATTCCAACCAGAAGGGTGTATCTTCCTTAGGATGGAAGAAGAGGACAGAGCGGTTCCTCAGATGCCAAGTATATAGCTGACCTGCAGAAAGAGGTATGTTTTAGAAGAATCCGTTTTGTAAGTCACACACTTAAATGACAAGGTATCAGTGTCTACTGTGTGCTTGGCCTTTTGAGTACCTCCAACAGGGAGAGGGGAAGTAGTTCCAGCCTTCAGAGAACTTCAGTCTCCCTGGGAGGCAAGAGGAGCCCTGCCCCAACTCCACCTGCCATGTACTTAGGGTGGGAATAGAACAAAGAGCATGTTCCAGACCAATCTCCATTTTCATATTTGGAAAGAAAGAGGGATAAAAAGAGGCCTGAGGAGCAAAGATTCTAAAACAGAATAGAGTGTGGAAAACTAGGCTGGCCCCCTGTACCTTAGCTGCACCCTTACAGGCTGGACTATTGCCAGCACTCCAGGCAGAGGAACATTGTGCATAGGTCAAGCCAAGGCTCACTCTCTCTCAATGCCCAGGAGTAATAAGAAGTATGGAATTTTTATTTCTGGCCTGTATCAGAAATCAGTAGTTACTACTGGTAGGGCCTGACCCTGTAGCTAGACTCCAGCTGTTTCTTTGAATTCTGTTGAACTTATACAAAGCAATACTGAGACAGGGCCCTGGCAGAGTGAGATAAGAGGTACTTCTGGGTTGTAGTATTTAAGGGGGCTCTGACTTTTGACCTGGAGCACCTCTTTAGATTTGCACCCTAGGCCTCACCCTAGTCCTGTACCACCCTGAGATCCCTGTAGCTTCACCTCCTTGCTTGTCTCATTAGACCCGTCTGAAAAAATGAAAGGATTAGCCAGTGATTCTCAACCATGGCTGCGCATTAGGATCACCTGGGGAGCTTTGAAAAATTACCAATACCTGGCCCCACTCCAATCTAATTAAGTTAGAATATTTTAAAAAATATTCCAAAAGGCCTAGTGCACACCTATAATCCCAGCAACTCAAGAGGCTTAGGCCAGAGGATTGCAAAAAAAGTAAATAAGAATTTTTAAAAATAAATAAAAAGGGCTGGGGGATGTAGCTCAGTGGTAAAGTGCCCATGAGTTCAATCCCCAATACCAAAAAAGGAAAAGAAAACCTTCCAAAGGGACACGATGGGACACTCTGCAGTGTGAAAATGTTTTGTGTCTTTGGGATAGTGGTTACATGTAGGTTATGTCATTATCAGACTCATCAAATTATACATTTAAAGTCAGTAAAGCTGATTTAAATTCAGTAAAGCTGGTGAACAGTTTTGTTGTTTTGAAGCTCCCTATTTGCATCATTGGAGCAGTCAGTGTTGTAAATTAGTGGATTCTCTGAGTCCTTGTCCCAGACACCCTAAAGCCTGATTCAGAGGTTCATGTGTGTAAATGAATGCTAGGCCAAGAGCCACAAGAGCACAGAGCAGACAAGATGGACAGCTGCAGGGCCCTCAACTGCTCTCCCTCTTGGTTTTCCTGCCCACCAGGTGGCCGTGCTACGAGCCCAGCTGGCTTTGGAACGGAAGCAGAGGCAGGACTACATCGCCCGCTCTGTGCAGACCAGCCGTGAGCTAGCAGGTCTACACCACAGTTTGTCCCACTCTCTTCTTGCTGTGGCACAGGCCCCTGAAGCTACTGTCCTAGAGGCTGAGACCCGCAAGCTGGATGAGTCTCTGACCCAAAGTCTGACATCTCCAGGGCCAGTCCTGCTAAACCCCAGCCCCAGCACTACCCACACCACCCCCAGGTAGCAGCCACAGCTAGAGCAGGATACAGGCCAGCTTGATGGCATATGGACAGATGACCATAGTGGCTATAGGTTTGCCAAAGGAAAGATCTGCTCTGTTATCCAGCCTGGCTGTCCCAGATTACCTGGCATTCCCAGGAAGAAAATAGAGAACCAAAAGGCTGGAGAGGGCCCCAGCTTACGTGGGAATGAGGCAGATCACATTTGCCTGATAACTTAGACTCACCCAAGGAGTGCCTTGTCCTGGCCAAGGGGCAGCTACTGGCTTACAGCCAGAAGAAACCAGAATAGCCCACACTAGGTCTTCAACAATGATGACAGTGTGTGGGTGTTCTTGTCCATGTTGTGAGCATTCTGTGCATTAACTTCAGGGAGGTTTTGTTTCCCTATTGTCTGCAATTTATTTTCCCAACACCTCACCTCCTCTCTTGCCTTTCCCTTCAACAATAAAACTAGGCTCTGCATTAGTCCTCTGCTGCTATCTCCACTTGTGTAACTGGGCAACAGCTACACATCAAGGGAATTTGGGAAGAATTTGCTAATTCCTGCAAGTAACATGAACTTCCTGCATGTCATGCTCTCTGATCAGGGTTATATACACAAGACAAAAGTCCCTGTCCACATAGAGCCTGGACTCCAATTGATGAGAACAGACTAATACTTGAAACAAGTCAGAGGCAGCTCTATGTACTGACTAGAAGTACATGGGGACTGAGGGAGGGAGGCATGAACTGGCCCTTCAGGAAAGATCAGGAGATGGGATGCTGCGAGTTCATCAGTGAGAAGACTGATCTGGCTATAGCAGAGGGTGGGGACCAAGGTTGGAGGAGGGTAGATTATAGAGGGCTTCCACTTCCAACTCTTGGGCAATGAGGAACCACCAAATGTTTTTAATATAAAATAAGTTCTGGGTTTCAAAAACACTGGGTTAATATGTGGCTACAGTTAGATTCTCTAGAGCTGAGAAGCTCCATCTGGCCTTGTTCCCCCATGACACATGGTTATCTGCATGAATGGCTGTGAGGTGTACCTTCCTGGGCATATCAACTGGAACTAACTCTGGTCCCCTTCCTCTAACTATGCATCAAGCCAGTTCAGAGGATGGACTGTGGCAGAAGTTGTCACATGGACTGAGCCTGATGGACACAGTCTAGACTAAACCTAGCTCACAGGCACAAGACCTATTGTTGGCAACTGCCTACATCATTCACACAGCCCAGAAATGGGGCACCTGGTTCCTTCTGCAGAGACAGGACATAGCCAAGCACAGCTCCCCACATTCACCCTCCTGCCTCTTCATCCTTGGTTATCCCAAATACTTGAGATCCTCACGTTCCCACCACAGCACAGGATTGGCTTAGAAGGGTGTCAGGGTCTGGCTGTGGCCTAGGGATCCACTAGCATAGTTCTTTCTTATCTGAAATCAAGCTTGGTACCTGTGGAGAAGAGCACAAATTACTGACCACTCATCTCAAGGTCCCAGTATAGAATGTACTGTACCTCATTGGAGAGGGAGACCCAAAAGAGAAAGAGGTCAAGGAGAGGGTGCAGCCGAGAGTCCAGGACTGAAGACCCTCCACCAGCCTCTGGAGACAAGGTGGCCTCCAGATCCTCGGAGGCTTTAGGACCCATCTGAAGTGCTGACCAAGCCTGCCATGTTGAGCAGCAGCACATAAAATTAAAAATATATTGTTGTCTACTTTTAACTAAAAAGAATTTTTTTTCTTAAGCAGGAACATGGGGCGGGGAGGGGCTGGGATTGTGGCTCAGTGGTAGAGCACTTACCTAGCACGTGCAAGGCCCTGGGTTTGATCCTCAGCACCACATAAAAATAAATAAAATATAGGTAATTAGGCTGGGGTTGTGGCTCAGTGGTAGCACGCTTGCCTAGCATGTGTGACGCACTGGGTTCAATTCTCAGCACCACATACAAATAAATAAAATAAAGGTCCATCAACAACTAAAAAATATTTTTAAAAATAATTTTAAAATAATAAAGGTATTGTGTCCAACTAAAACATATATATTTTTTTTTTAACATCAGCCACGGGGTAAGCACTGAAGCATCTACCAAGCCTCAAAGCCCCCATTAAAGTCCGCATTCTTTTATTCCCTTTGGACAAAATAGTAAATGGCAGGCTGAGCCAGGCACTGTGTACAGCCGGGAGCTGTGGTCACAGAGTTCCACATCCCACTGCACTGTTGGCCTTCATCTCTCCTCAGCCTTCCACAAACACCTCCTTCCAACACTACCTCTTGCCTGTCTGTCCACCTGTTAAGTCCTGAAGGGTGCTCTGCCTGGAGACTGAGGAGAGATGGGTGAGGTGACATTTAACGTATCCTGTGTCTGCCCTGGGTTGATACCCAGTAGAGTCCTTCATGCTAGCCCAGTTATATCAGGGGCTCATCACCCAAATCACATGTGAGTTCCTGCATGTCTGTTTTGTCCTAAGACTCTTCACCTTGACATTCACCAAAGGCCCAGTTTAGGAAAGAGGGCTTGGCAGCCAAGTGTGATGGGGACAGCAATAAGAAAGGGCAAGAACAGGAACTGAAGCTGGTATGTACATCTTTCTGAGAAGGCCACCATCAATTCCCAGTGAGGATTGTCAAGCAGGAGGGGGGCGGGGAAGAAAAGTCTTAGAATAAAAAATAAAAAGGGTTGGGGATATAGCTAAGTGGTAGAGCATGTAAGCCTTGGGCTCAATCCCAGCATTAAAAATAAATATATAAATAAGCTAATTAATTAACCTAGAAATTGAGTTCCTAATGATATTTCCAGTTTGAATTTAACATCATAGGGTTTTTATTTTACCTAACTGGTTCTGTATTTGGTTCCTAGTAGTATTAGTATATTTATTTAACTTATGACATTTATTCTATGGTTTCAAAAAATAATACCAATGATATATTAAATTTTGAGTGAAGTTTAAGGTTTTTTGTTTTGTTTTGTTTTGAAGTATAGCTAAGTTTACTATAAGAGAAGTAAATTAACACCCTCAATGGAGAGGGTAGGTCATGAAGAGGACAGTGACAACATTCTAAAACTCCCCTTTGTTTCCTAATTTTTATCTGGATCTTAGAGAAGTTTCTAGAGAGTCCTACCAAAGTACAACTTCTCAACTTTTGACTGACCATAGAATTGCCTCGGATATTTAAGTTCCTATTGCACATGATTTTACTCACAGATACTTGAGTAAAACCTAAGGGGGTTAGTTTTGGGGGGTTTTGTTTGTTTGGTTTTTTGTTTCTGTACTGGGGATTGAACCCAAGAGCACTTAACCACTGAGTCACATCCCCAGACTTTTTATATTCTATTTGCTGAGGCTGGCTTTAAACTAACAATCTTCCTGTCTCATTCTCCCCAGGCTCTGGGATTACAGGTGTATTCCACTTCATCTGGCTAGATCTTTTAATTCTAGAGACTGGGAAATCTGAGATCAAGGTGTCTACGTATCAGGTGTCTGGTGACAGTCCTTGTATAGTTCTTTTTATCCTTTAATATCCTGTAAAGGATGCCCTGTAAGGGAACTTGAAATAGTCCTTTTTCTGGTGGTTATTTTATCAATTTGATACACAGTTAGATTCTATTGATTTGTTTTCAGATTTATCTGGTTTTCATTAATTTTGGTTTTTGATAATATATAGTATGAGTCACATGATGATACATTTGCTGTTGAGAATCAGTTATAGAACATAGCCCTTTAATGACACTAGGAATTCAGTGAGAGAAATAAACTAGGGTTTTATTGAGTAGCAGGGTGATCTCCATTGTGTCCACTTGAAGTTAAGTCCCTCTCTGACCCTCCAAGGTCTCTTTGGCTACCTGTCTGCTTCCTGGGGCTTCAGTAGAGCCATCTCATCTGTAGACAGCAACCTTCCCCTCACACTGCAACTTAATGATGACATCGTTTTCTTTGGGGAACTTTCTCATGATGTCATAGCTCAGATATTTATCATCCCAGTAGTGTGTCCATCTATTGTGATGGTCTACTCCAAAGCCAAACAAGGACACCTGGGAGATGGGATAAAAAGGAGATGCCCATGGGTAACAAGCTGGATCCTGTCCTGCCCCCATGCACACTTGCCACTCCTTCAGCAAACACACTCAACACCCAGTGTGCAGCCACCTCTTGGGGCTGGGAGGAGGAAGGAGTTCACTCATCCAGGAGGATAAACTCTGAATACTCAGAGTAACCCTGGAGCCCAGAAAAGAGTAAGTATCAGCTAGCTTTTTCCCAACATGTTGAGGAAAGAGGATTCCCTCCAGATACAGAAGAACATTCCAGGCATGTGAGAAGGCATAATGCAGGTGGTGTCATTAGGGGACCCCAAAAAGCCCACTGTTGGAGTTTGGGACAGAGGAAGCCATAGGTCAGATCATGCATGGTCTTTCTTGAAAGCCAGGCAGAAAACTTAAGGTTAAACAGAGGAATGAAGGTCTTGAGTTCCAGAAGATGTCTTACCTGGTCACAGGTATGCAAGGCATACATCAGAGCCACAAACCCCAACGATGGATACTGACCATAGTTTTCCAGCCAATTTTCCTGGATATACTTAAGGAAGGAGATGCTGATAATCAGAACCTGAGGAAGGTAGAAGAGAGTGCTGACCTGAAGTCTGTCCATGGCCACCCATGTTCCTCCTTCTCTCCCTTTTTCCTTCCTGGGTCGCTCACCTTGTCTTTGGTTACATCAGTGAAATGGACTATCCGAAATCTAAAAAAGGATTAGGTCAGTCATTTGACACAGCAGCCCCCAAGATCAAGTAGGCCTTAGGGGACCCCAACATTCAGCAAGGATCTTTTTGAAGTTCCCGTCACTACAATACAATGGCCATCCCTTCTGACATACCCAGGGTTTCTTGGCTTCCAGGAGAGTTTATAGTCACGTAGTACAGTCATCATCCATCTCAGACCAGATGAATTCAATGGAAGCAGCAGCTGGGGCTCGGGGCTCTCAGTGCTGGCAATTTCAGGCTGCATAATACGTAAGGTGGTGGTATTCCCCACATCCGTCTCAAAGCCTTGGACAGGGGCTTTGTTCATCCTGGAAAGAAGGGGCAGGATGGTTATTTAGAGAAGGAAAAGGGTTTGGCTTAGCCTTTCAGGTTTCCACCTCTTACCCTGTACCTACCTGAGTACCACATCATGTTGGTTAATCCTGAAGCCAAGACCAGAACCTAGTAAGGACCTTGAGTTTCCTACCACTGCACAGGTCTGGCATCCAGACTTCAAATGGTCCAAGGAATGTGCGGGAAAAACATTAGTTAACTGCATACTCTTAACATTCTTCTGTGACCTGACTCTCTGAAGTCCCTAGAGCATAGAAAGGGGGAATTTAGGGACTTAGTCCAGGCTCCAGCTACCTGTAGAAAAAAGTTATGAGTCTATGCCATAAGGCACAGATGACCAGAGCCCCTGTTGGGAGGGCGGATCTGAAAGAGACCAAGAGTATGCACTGACCAGCCACAATCCCAGAGCATCATAGGACATGGAATTTTCTGACATCAGGGGCTCTATTCCCTTTTCAAAGTGTCTGTCAAACCAGTCAGACTCTCCTGGTATGTAGAGGCAGGCAGAGCACTCACGGACTTTAGATAAGCAGCTACACTTTCTGGAAATATTTCTGGAACAGCGGCAGATCCTTAAACGTAAGTTGTCCATAACATCCAGGCTGACCTTCTGGTTCAGGAAAGAAGCCATCATCCACAATGAAAGCATAAAGAGAGCTGTCAGACACAGAGTCCAGTATCGAACCTTCATCTCTGGTTCCAATGGAAGTCCCTAGCAGACAGCAGATTGGCTCTGATACCTGGCACAGGAAAAGAGGAGGGCCTGGGGCCAAAGACATCCCTGGTGTCACTCATGCTGATAGTTTCATCCCATTGCCAAATCTTCCATATCACACCACCCAACACTTGATTCTGGCTTCCCTACCCACCTGCTAATCTCTAAAGAGAGCTACCAGAGCATGAATGAGAGGATGAAAGGGAGACATGACATTTCTATGTCTTGTGGCCTCCCTGAGGATATTGATGCTCAAGGGGGTCTTCCCTGCCAGCCCAGCAATATTAGGGACCTCATCACAGAGAATGCATTGTGACCTCTTCTATGTAGGATCATGATCAAATCCTCCTACTTTACTTTGGCCTTCAGCTCAGAGCCCAAAGGACAAGGAATTTAATTTTAATTGCACCTGAAATCTCAGTGGCTCTGGAGGCTGAGGAAGGAAGGATTGCAGGTTCCAAGCCAGCCTCAGCAAAATAGAGAGGCCCTGAGCAACTTAGTGAGATCCTGTCTCAAATTTTTTTAAAAAATAAAATAAAAAGGGTTGAGGATATATCTCAGTGGTTAAGTGCCCCTGGATTCAATCCCTGCTACCCCCCCAACCAAAAAAAAAAAAAGAAAAAAAGAAATTTGTGTATCTTCAAAGTAACTGGAAGAAAGGTTTTTTGTTTTGTTTTGTTTTGTTTTGGTGGTGCTGAGGATTGAATCCAGGTTCTTTTTTTAATTTTTTTTTTTTTTGGACACAACATCTTTATTTTATTTTATGTGGTGCTGAGGATCGAACTCAGCGCCCCGCACATGCCAGATGAGCACGCTACCACTTGAGCCACATCCCCAGCCCTGAATCCAGGTTCTTGTGTATGTGAGGCAAGCACTGTTCCAACTGAGCTACAACCCCAGCCCGAGAGAATTTTTTAATGTTCTCACCACAAAGAAATAATAAACGTTAGAGATGATGAATATGCTTATTATCCTGATTTGATCATTATACTATATATGTATCAAAATATCACATTGTATTCTATAAATATGTACAATTATTATACATAAATTAAAAACAAAACCTTTTTGGGCCTGTGGTTGTGGCTCAGTGGTAGAGCACTTGCCTAGCACTGAGTTCAATCCTCAGCACCACATTAAAAATAAAGGTATTGTATACATTCTCAACTAAAAAATATATTTAAAAAATAAAAACTTTTGCAAAAATAGTCTTTCTGAATGATGCAATTAAAACAGATTTTTTGCATGTGTTTACATAGTTCTCAAAAAGAAAATAAAAAGTCAACCCTGGGGGCTGGAGATGTGGCTCAAGCGGTAGCGCGCTCGCCTGGCATGCGTGCGGCCCAGGTTCGATCCTCAGCACCACATACCAACAAAGATGTTGTGTCTGCCGAGAACTAAAAAATAAATATTAAAAATTCTCCCTCTCTCACTCTCTCTTTTAAAAAAAAAAAAAAAAGTCAACCCTCGGAGGTTTTTTGTTACTGTAGAGTGCTGCAAAGAATATTAGACATTAGAATATTAGACATTAGAAATATTAGACATATTTTAATATATGTCTTGTTATAAAAATGTGAATTAGCAAGAAATAGAATTGCTAGATCTAAACTTTTTAATAGACACTTTTTTAGTTCTTTTTTTTTTTTTACCATTTTACCAATGAATAACATTTTCTCCCTTATTTAATATAGTTAGACTTTTAAATATTTTAACTATTGAAAATTAAAATGAAAAATGGTATCTAATTTGTGGTCTTGATATTAATTTCCCTGACCACCAATAATGTTGGTGATCAAATGTTTATTGGCCATATGTTTTTTCCTCTCTCAAGATGTCAGACATCAGTTTGTCTTTTGCTCATTCTTTAATGACTGTTTTTTGCTCTTTTGTTTAAAATTTGTTTTTAGTTGTACTTGGTCACATACCTTTATTTTTATTTACTTATTTTTATGTAGTGCTGAGGCTCGAACCCAGCACCTCACACATGTTAGGCGAGTGCTCTACCGCTGAGACACAACCCCAGCCTCTGCTTTTGTCCTTATTTATGAATTTGTCAAATAGTATTGATACTGACTTCTCAGTTATATGTACAGTGATTATCTTCTCTGAATTTTTTTAAACCTTTTTCTTTTTTTAGTTGTCGACAAACCTTTATTTATGTGTGGTGCTGAGATTCGAACCCAGTGCCTCACACATGCCAGGCAAGTGCGCTGCCGCTGAGCAACAATCCCAGTACTCTCTTCTCTGAGTTTTTAGGGCTTTTTTTAAACTTTCAGAGGTCTGGATGAACAAAAGTTTGTACATTTAATATAGTCAAATTTATCAATCTTTTATTTTATAGTCAATCCTTTTGTCTCATGTTTAATCAATCTTTTCTTATCCAAGATCTATAAGATATTTACCTATATTTTCTACTAGTTTCCAAGGTTTATTTCCCTTGAGATTCTTCTGACTCAACCTCCTGAGTAGCTGGAATTACCACCATTGCCTGGCTATTTTTCTTTTTTTGTTTGACAGTTAAGTCCTTAATCCATTTGGGGTTAAATTTTTGTATGTGATATGTGGTAGGGACCAATTTCCTCTTTTCCATATGGATATTTTTTTTTCAGTTCCAGTAGGAAATAATCTCCTCCTCTGAAAATAATGAAACTGATTAATTCAATGTGTTTGATCATTTTGAGAAAAAATTTGCTGCAATCTTAAAATTCCCCAGCATTTGGGCCCAAAGGATTAGGACCTGTAGAGCATTAACTGAGCATCATGTGTAGACAGTGAGCTTGCCTGCATACCCTAGCTGACAGGCGACTTCCAGGCAGAAAACTTTAGATGCTGTACTGAAGGCATTGGGGAACAGAAATTTCAAGTAAGGAAAGTACAAGAACCTCAGAGAACAGAAATACAGCCCAGGAATTTAGAAAATTTAATGCTTGTTATGATTTAGATATGAAGTGCCCCCCAAAAGCTCATGCAAGAGTTTTCAGAGGTGATACAATTAGATCATGACAGGTGTAACCTAATTAGTGGATTAATCCACTGATATGGATTAGCTGGGTGGTAACTGTAGGCAGATAGGGTGTGGCTGGAGAAGCAATGGCAACTGTAGGCAGATAGGTTATGCTTTTGGGGGTTTATATCTTGTCTTTGGTGAGCGGAGCTCTTTCTCTGCTTCTTGGTTGATATGTTCTGAGCTGCTTCCCTCCTCCCTGCTTTTCCACCATGATATTCTGCCCCTCCTCAGGCCAGGAGTTATGGAGTTGGCTGAACTGAACTGAACCTCTGAAACCATGAGCCAAAATAAACTTTTCCTTTTCTAAATCATTTGTGTCAGGTCTTTTGGTCACAGTGATGAAAAAAAGCTGACTAAAACAATGTTTATGTGGGCAGAGGGTCTTCAGACCAGGGAAGACAGAGAATTGGAACTGAGACCCCTAAATGAACTGAGAACCTCAAAATTCTGAACCTTCAGTAAAAAGGTGGGCTAGAAAATACCTTGCCCCCTCACATGGGTAAAGCAAGGAGGCTGGCTGGTTTAACCTAATGATGAAAGAGCCTCCGTCACACACTCTGCATGGAGTTGGGTCTAAATTTACACCTCCTGTACAATCCAGGGGATCAGACAGAGCAATTACCATAAACATGGCCCCTGAGATCTGTTCCTTCCTTCCCAGGCACTGTGCTGCCAGAAACAGAATCAGGCTAGAATTTTATTCAGTACCAGACTGATCTCCATACAATTTCCTCTTGTTCTTTACCCCCTGTAAGTTTCTGCAGTCTCCATGCTGCTGCTGCAATCTAAAGACTCCCCAGCATTCAGTTCCAAAGGAATAGGACCTGTGTGGTCTCGGCTGGGGGCCACATATGAATGGTGAGCTTGTATAGCACACCCTGTCTGGCTGGCAACTTCCATTTCTGCTTCTGTACTCTGCATAGACGGGATCTCTTGGGGGCCAGTGGTCTGCTTGTTATTCTTTCAGCAACAGGATGGCTTTCTTTGCTGTTCTGATTCAAATCCAAACAGGGAGGGCTGATGGATAAGATAGGGATGTATGTGTCAGCAGCCAGAATCTGTCCTTACCCCACCTCCCCTCATTCAACATATAGAGTGCAGGATCTTTGGAGAACAGGAAGGAGAATGAAGCTCATTACTCCAGGGAAAACAGATTCTAGACATGGTAAAATAAACAATATCAAAAAGTCCCCCTGGGGGCTGGGGTTGTAGCTCAGCAACAGAATTCTTGTCTAGCATGTGTGAGGCACTGGGTTCAATTTTCAGCACTGCATATAAATAAATAAAAGTCTATTGACAACTAAGAGAAAAACAAATCAAGCAGGCACTAAAAAAAAAAAAAAAAATCACCCTGAAACCCCAAATGGACCATCAACTAGCTTAACTGCTTCCCAGGACACTGGAGGAGGAGAAGATTCCTCCAGGGAGGTAAGAAAAGGGAATTCCAGGCAGAAGGTACAGCCTATGGGGTAGCCTGAGGTAGCTACTATATTTGGGGGAACCCAAGAAGCCCAATGTGAGCACCTGGGAGAAAAGAGACAAGGAGGTGGGTCAGACTAGGCAGAACGTTGAATATCAGACAGAAAACTTTAGACTCTATGCTGAAGGGAATGGGGAACGGAAATTTTAGGTGATAAAAGTATAATTTCATGTCTAGGCACAGGTACACAAGGCCAGAACAGAGCCATGAGCCTCAGGATTGGATACTGACTGGTTTTCCAGCCAGTTGCCCTCTTTTACCTGAGGGAGAAGGGCGAGGGCTGGCCTGAGCAACCCATAGCCACAACCTTCCATTTCCCTGCTCTTCACATTCAATTATCTCCCACTCCCCTAGGGAACCAGACCATCTTCCAAAATGGAGGTGGTAGAGTTTCAGAAAGCTCCTGAGACTTGGGAAAGTCCTGCAGGTGCCCACAGTAAGCCAGAAGAAACTTTCTCCAGAATCCTTCTGCCTTCCCCTGAAGTGACTTCTCTTCACCACCACACAGACTATCTGTATACCTTGTTGGTCACAGCATTTGAAGTCCCAGATAGTTCAGAAAGTTACAGCAGCTGCTTCCAGGAACCCTGGTCACTGGCATTGCTGGGACAGATGAAAGGTCCTGTGATTTGGTTCCCCATATCTGCCTCAAGGTCCTGCACAGGAGCCTGGTTCATCCTGGGAAAGAAAGTGTAAACTGACAGAACCTAGGATAGACCTGACTGTCACCCTGCTTGCTGCCTTTTCCTCAGCACCCAACTGAAGACCATGCAGTGTTGGTCAATGTTGCTGAGACCAGAGCCCAGTGGGATCTGTGAGTCCTCCACAAAGCACAGATCCAACAGAAATCAAAATGTAAACAAGGGTCTGGGAATCACTTTCTATAGCATCTTCCATACTTTTCCAAGCTTGCTCACTGAGGTTATGTCCTGGTAATAGCAGAAGGAGGAAACTGGTATCAGCCTGGGCCAGATATCAGTGGAAGGAAACAGGCTTGAGTAGGTGAGACTGCAGCCAGAAATCAGGGATTGAGGCTGAAAGGAGGGAAATGCATTAAATTAGGCTGAGGGCAGGGATTTGGGCCAGAAAGAGATAAGCTAGGCCTGGAAGGAAAGGGGATAAATCAGGACCCAGTGCCGACCACTAATTAGCCATCAGAGAACTTTTGTCTTTGTCAGATACCCTGTGATCTTTTCATGACATGCTTCAAACCAGTTCCATTCTCTGACTGTGTGGTGACAGGAGGAGCAGCTGAGGTTCCCAAATAGGCAGCCACACTTCCCGAATTTAAACCAAGAGCAGTTGCGATGCCATGGTATCAGGTACATCCGTTTCTCCTGGGATGATGATTCAGCTGTCAGATCCAGGTAGGAGATCACCAGCCACAAGATGAACACCCAGAAGACCCAAAGGACAAAAATCTTCCAACAGTGCTTCATGTCTGGCCCAGGAAATGGCTCACATGGCAAGCAGTAGACTGGCTTCTGTCACCTGGAGGGATGTGGAACTGAGGCTACAGATAGCACTTGCATTCCTCTGACCTGTTGGCCACCATAATTCCCCGGCCCTCCATCCTCCACCTCTTTCCAACTTCTCATGTCCTACCTCCCCATCCATTTGCTCACCCCAAAGAGAACTCCGAGGGGACCTGAGATGGAAAATGCCAGAACAGAGAGATAACATAAGTTGGTGTCCCAAATGCATCCCACAGAAGGAAGGATTATCTCTCAGTGTCATCAAAGTACACATTGTGACCTCCTTCCTATAACCTGCCTAGAAAAAGTTACCACCCTATCTTCTCTCTAATGCATATTACATTGAGTATAAGACCCACAGGGAGAGAAATGACCATGTCTCTGTCTCTCTCTCTTTGATAGAGCTGGGGATTGAACTCAGGACTAGGCAAGTGCAAGTGTTCTACCACTGACTCATACCTTCAGCCCATGTGTCTCTTCTTTTTCTTTTTTTTTTTTTTTTTTTTGCACAGGGGATTGAACTCAGGAATGCTTTACCACAGAGCTACATCCCCAGTCCTTTTTATTTTTTTTGTTTTAAGACAGGGTCTCCCTAAGTTACCAAACTTGTCCTTGACCGTATGATCCTCCTGCCTCAACCTCCTGTCACTGGGATTACAGGTGTGCACCACCACATCCAGCAATGTCTCTTCTTTCAGTGGACTTCCACTTACATGTCTCAAAATCATCTCACCTGAACAAGTCTGAAGCCAAACTTGTGATTTTCCCTACAAACCAATCCATTCCCAAAATGTCCCTATCTCAATGAATGGTCCCACCATATCCCCTATATGTGTTGGAACCTTAATTCCTCAGTGCTGCAGTGTTGGAATGGTGAACCTAATGGGAGGTGTTTAGGCCACGGAAATACAGCCCTCATGAACAGAATAGTGCTTTTCTCTCAGGAACAGGAATGGGTTAGTTATTGTGGGAGTTCAATCCCTTATTTTCTCTTATGCACATGCTTTCTCTCTTCCAACTTCTACCATGCTATGAAACAACACAAGACCGTCACTGGATGCAACTGCATAATCTGCCCTTCTCTTAGAACCATGAGCCGAAATAAACCTCTTTCCTTTATAAATTATCCAGGTATTTTATTATAGCAACAGAAAATGAACCAAGACACCCAATTACTGAGCCAGGAGAATTGCTTGAGTCCAGGAATTCCAATCCAACCTGGGCCACAGTGATACCCTGGGTCAAAAACAACAGCCAGGGATAGTGGCACATGCCGGTAATCCCGGTGACTCGGAGGCTGAAGCGGGAAGATCGCAAGTTCAAAGCTAAATTCAGCAATTTAGCGAGACCCTGCCTCAAAACAAAAATAAAAAGGACTGGGGAAGTGGCTCTGTGGTTACACGCCCCTGGGTTCAATCCTTGGTACAGAAAAAACAAAAACAAAAAAAACTACGAGGACTGGGAAGTAGTTCAATGGTAGAGCGCTTGCCTAGCGTCCGTAAGTGCCTCGGTTCAATCCCCAGAATCACATAAGGGGAAAAAAAAAAAAAGTAGTTTGACCTAAGAAAAAGCGAGGCGCATTTTACGCATTAGTCATTAAGGCGGTATTACAGTACGAGCTGCAATAGGAAGCGGGAGTTGAGCGCCACACCACTCGAAGGGAAACACTCGGCGCATTTCGGCACAAGGCAAGTTAGGGCGGCTATTGCTGGTTTCTAGCCCGCCGACACCTCCTCCTAGTCCCTCCCGGACCCCACACGTGGTCTCTCCAACGGAGCTACGGACGGAGGGGGCGTGGCGGCATAAGTGGGCGGGACGAGCTGTCAGAACGCGGGCGAGGGGTGGGGTCAGCATGAACATTTGCTGCGCCTGCGTAAGGAAGCGAGGAGGCGTGGCTCCGGCTCCGGGCCGGAAGCAGGAGGCTGCAGAGGCGGGCCGGCTGGCGTCCCCTTTCCGGCCGGTCCCCATGGAGGCGCTGGGGAAGCTGAAGCAGTTCGATGCCTACCCCAAGACTCTGGAGGACTTCCGGGTCAAGACCTGCGGGGGCGCCACGGGTAGGTGGCAGCAGGGCCAAGGTTGCGGGGAGGGGGTGTCCTGGAGCTTGGCCCTGGCGCCTGGACTCAGACCGGCCTGCTTGAGTCTGAGGGAGTGGCACAGAGGCCGTTCTGACCCTCACTCTTCGCCCTGCAGTGACCATCGTCAGTGGCCTTCTCATGCTGCTACTGTTCCTGTCGGAGCTGCAGTATTACCTCACCACTGAGGTAATGGGTGGGGCCTAATAGTGGGCGGGGCTTTGCTTCCGAGGGGTCGGACCTCTATAGGTGGGCGTGGGGAAGGAGAGTCGTGGGGCCAAATCTAACTGAGATAGTGCTTGCCCCAGGTGCATCCTGAGCTCTACGTGGACAAGTCACGGGGAGATAAACTGAAGATCAACATCGATGTACTCTTCCCACACATGCCTTGTGCCTGTAAGTATCTCATCATAGGTGAGGGTTGCAAGTCCCAGGGCTTTCAGGGTGGCTTCCAGATTCACACTTCCAGCCTTAGATTTGTATTGGACCCCAGGACAGCCTCCTTCTCCTAATCCATTTCTGCCCTGAGACAGGCTGTTTTCCCCAAAACCCAGACCTCCACTCCTTTGAGGTCTTAGTACCTTAATTTGACTATCTGCTTTCAGATTTGAGCATCGATGCCATGGATGTGGCTGGGGAACAGCAGCTGGATGTGGAGCACAACCTCTTCAAGCAAAGACTAGACAAGGATGGCATTCCCGTGAGCTCAGAGGCTGAGCGGCATGGTAACCAGGGGGGTACTGGGTCTCAGATCCCAGAACTAGACATACCCAAGCCCCACAAATATGGCAGGCTGTGACATATTAAATAGTTAATATCTGAAAAAGTCAACTGGCTGGCTTAAGGTCTCTTAGCTATTAAGAGTCAGTGAATTGAAATCCAGGCTTCTAATCTCTAGCTAGTTAAGTAGGGTAATTTACCTGGCTATCATTCTCTGCTTATTGTAGTTTGAGTAACAGAAGCTTGAGGATGGGTGTTATGTACAGTTTTCATGGTGGAACTCCTTTAGATAAACCTGAGCTTCTCTTGAGTGTTTGCTTCCCTATCCCATTAGCTGAATTCAGTCCTTAATGCTCTTCCCTCTTTGGAATTCCTGTGGCTTGGTTAGGAGTCTAGGTTCTGCCTGGGTGAGGTCATGGGGAGTCAGACTTGTAATCCCAGTGATTCAGAAGGCTGAGGCAGGAAGATTGCAAGTTCAAGTTTAAGGCCAGCCTCAGTATTTTGCAAGACTTTGTCCCCAAAATAAAAAGGACCGAGGATGTAGCTCAGTGGTAGAGTGCCCCTGGATGCAATCCCCAGTACCCAAAACAAAATGAAAACAAAAAAGAGTTTAGGTTCTTCAGTCATATTGCTGGGTTTAGATCTAACTTGTTTCTTGAAGAAGGTAAGCCTCAGTTACAAAGTGATGATAAACAGTAGTACCCACACATGGAATTAAAAAGATCAAATAAAGTACAGTTGGTTCCCAACTTGTGATAATTCAACTTAAGATTTTTTTGACTTTCTGGTGGTACGAAAGTGTCCCATGCAAACATTCTGTTTTTCATTTTCAGTACAGCATTCAGTGAATTAACTTGAGATAGTCAATACTTTATTACAAAAAAGACATTGCATTAGATGATTTTGCTGAACTGTAGGCTAATGTAAGCATTCTGAGCATGTTTTATGTAGGCTAGGCTAAGCTATGATGTTCTGTAAAATATCAGATATTGAAATGCATTTTCAAATTACCATGTTTTCAACTTATATAATGGTATATTGAATCATAACGTCATCGTACATTAAGGAACACCTATAATATGTGTAAAATGCCTTATACAGAATGGGTGCTCCACTTTCAGCTTCCTTTCCTTTATCAAAGAGGGCTCCCTAAATAAGTGTTGTTGGCCAGCCTCAGTTCCATCTTCATAGAATCATTGTGGGGATGAAATGAGATAATGTATGTAAAGTGTAATGACCCTGTACCCAGTTACCTTTTAGTATTTACCTTTAATGTTTTCTTTTTAGTACAGGGGATCGAACCTGGGAGCACTTAACCACTGAGCCACATCCCCAGTCCTTTCTTTTCTTTTCTTTTTTTTTAAGTTGTGATGGACACAATGCCTTTATTTTGTTTATTTATTTTTATTTGGTGCTGAGGATTGAACCCAGGGCCTCACATATGCTAGGCACTCTACCTCTGAGCCACAACCCCAGCCTCCCAGTCCTTTTTTGTATTTTATTTAGAGACAGGGTCTCACTGAGTTGCTTAGGGCCTGAGTTGCTGCGGCTGGCTTTGAACTCATGATCCTCCTGCTTCAGCTTCCCAAGCCACTGGGATTACAAGTGTGGGCCACTGTGCCCACCTCATGTTCTTACTATTTATTATTTTTATTAAAAGACTTATGTGTATAGAAATGTTTAATGTTGGGGCTGGGGTTGTGACTCAGTAGTAGAGTGCTTATCTAGCACGTGTGAGGCCCTGGGTTTGATCCTCAGCATCACATAAAAATAAATAGATAAATAAATAAATAAATAAAGGTATTATGTCCAACTACAATGAAAAATAAATATTTTAAAAAAGAAATGTTTAATGTCTGATCCAAATGTCTGTACTACGTAAATATCAGATCCTTTCCAAAAAAAAATATTTTTGTAGTTGTAGATGGACAGTATGCCTTTATTTTATTTATTTATTTTTTATGTAGTTCTTAGGATCAAACCTGGTGTTTCACACATGCTAGACAAGCACTCTGCCACTGTGCTACAGCCCTGGCCCTTAGATCCTTTTTTAACTTGAATTATTATCATCCCTCTAGCCAAAGGACCCATGCAGAAACTAGGGCTATAGATGTCAACTTGTCTGCCTTCAGCTGATGCCTCTGCCTCTGCCCTCCCCGTAGAGCTCGGGAAAGTTGAGATGATGGTGTTTGACCCGGATTCCCTGGACCCCGATCGCTGTGAGAGCTGCTATGGTGCTGAGTCAGAAGACATCAAGTGAGCAGGACTCTGGGGGTGGAGAGCAGGCTTCCCATCAGGTGCTGTCTGTTAATCAGCCTCAACCATGGTCAGACTGTAGCAGGTGGGTGGTCGAACCAAGAATCTAGAAGGGGACAGAGTGCATTCCTAAAGTAACTAGTGCTCCGTTAGCAGGCCCTCCCTGGAAACTGCAGACCGAGAGATGAAGCTGAAGAGAACTACTTCTCAGCTTAGAGAAGTAGTTCACAGGTGTTCTCTGGAAGCCAACTACCTGGTTTCCATCCCTGTGGCCTCTGGCCAAACCGTGTCACCTTTCTATGTAAAGGATAATAATAACACCCTCCTGATAGAGAAGTGTTAAAGATTAAATATATATTGTATGTAAAGCATTGAGGTAGAAGACCTTGCCTAGATTATTAAGCCCCCAGTATATGGGAACTGCTGTGGGGCTTCCCAGGTCCTGAGCCTGGAAAGGCTAACTCAGCTATTCTAGGGTGAAACCTAGGAATATATTGCTTTTTTTTTGGTACTGAGGATTGAACCCAGAGGTGCTCTACCACTGAGCTACATACCCCATTCATTTTTATTTTTATTTTGAGACAGGATCTCACTAAGTTGTTTAGGGCCTCACTAAATTGCTGAAGCTGGCTTGGAACTTGTGATCCTCCTGTATCAGCCTCCCGAGTTGCTCAAATCACAGGCATGTACCCCTGTACCCATCTTGGAATATATACTTCAAAGTTATTTTCAGTGGGAGACTGTGGGTCTAGCACGAGGCCCTTGAATTCAGTCTACCTCACTACAAATTTTTTTTTTACCCTCTGTGGTAAAATACATGTGACACAAAATTTGCCATTTTAACCATTTCTAAGTGTACAGCTCATTGCTCTTGAGAACATTCACAGTGTTGTGCAGCCCTCACCACCATCCGTTTCACAACAGTTCATCACCCCAAACAGAATGGGAACATGTATTTTTAACACCTGTTGCCAGTGAGGAAACATTGGAGGATGTTCAGTGGCCAGGGATGAGGCTAGCAGAAGCTTCTCAGCTGCCAGCACTGGTCACGTTCTTCACCCCACGCCCTATCTCCTATAGGTGCTGTAACACCTGTGAAGATGTGCGGGAGGCGTATCGCCGTCGAGGCTGGGCCTTTAAGAACCCAGACACTATTGAGCAGTGCCGGCGAGAGGGCTTCAGCCAGAAGATGCAGGAGCAGAAGAATGAAGGCTGCCAGGTGTATGGCTTCTTAGAAGTCAATAAGGTACTGGGAGGGATCAAGGCACGGCAAGGTAGCTGGGCTTAGCTGTGCTGGGAAAGTTGCTCCATGAAGCAAGGGCCCATGCAGGTCCTCAGCAGGCAAAGAGAGAACACAACTGGAGAATGAGAGAAAATATCCCCTACAGGTTGCCGGAAACTTCCACTTTGCCCCTGGGAAGAGCTTCCAGCAGTCCCATGTACATGGTGAGTGATCCTGCATCACCGGCTGGGGAGGTTTTAGACCCTGGATACCCTTTTGGTGTGTTGGAAGTGCCCCTTACATGCCTCATGTTCTTTTGTCTTTGGTCCAAAGCAGGCTTTTCTTCATCTCAGGACAGCAGTTTGGCACAGTGGTTAAGAGCACAGGCTGAGGAGCCAAACTGCCTGGGTTCAGATGTGAGTTTCAAACCTTACTGGCTGTGTGACTCTGAGAACATTCCTTAATCTTTTTGAACTTCAGTTTCCTTCTTGATAAATTGATGATCATAGTACTTATCCCACAGGGCATTGGTGCAGGTTAAAAATACAGGGGCTAGGGGGCATATGTAGCATAGTGGTGGAGCACTTGCCTATCATGTGCAAGGACCTGTGCAATTAAAAAAAAAAAAAGACTGTAACACAGGGCCTGGCTTGTGGTAGGCAGTTGTTTAAATGGTAGCTCCCAATATCAGAAGACCTGTGTGTGAGGCTCTGGGAAAGCAGAGCAGGGTTAGAATTCAGATTCTTTCACCTTTTTTTTTTTTTTTTAACCATACGATTTATTTATTTATTTATTTTTTAGTCATGTGTGACAACAGAATGTATTTTGACATATAATACATACATAGACTGTGCATACATCAATCATATTGTCTATTCTGCTGCCGTTCCTATCCTCCCTACTCCTCCCCTTAATGTGACACACTTTTTTTTCTTTTTCTCATCACAACATCATATATGTATTCACTTGTTTTTTAATGAAGTTGAATATTTTATTATTTTGTTCCAAGCTGTTGTTTCAGTGTGTAAAAATAGCACCAGTAAATACAATATATTATAAAATTAAGACAGTATTGTTTTTCTGACACTCTATAACATGTACTTTCCTCCATCTCAGTTTTTTCCAATGGAAGATCATTAAATATAATGACCCAAATCCAGGAATGGATGGAAGCAAGTTACAATATTATATTAGGCTTATAAAAAGGTTATCCTTGAATTATATTCTTTTTATAAATAGTTTTTACCACATATAATTTCAGATTCAGCCTAAAGCATACTCTAAAAATCATAAGGAATTGTAAAAAAGATTCATATTGTGTTTATTGACATTTATTGGGAAGTTAAGGGGTATCTTCTTCCAGTAGCAGTGTTGAAAGTAGTTTTTTAAGTTTTCTGTCCACACTAATTTAAGACAGCAGCTGAAGTTATTCCTCACTAGTTTATTTAGGGTACCATTTTTACTTCTCAATAGATTTTATTTTGCTCATTAGGTCATCTAGTTCTGAAGGGTCACTCAGTGTCATCTTTATCAGCCAACCATCTTCATAACAAAATTTGTTCACAAGCCCTGGGTTTTCTGCAAGTGCCTCATTAATTTCAGTTACTTCTGATAGAGGAGAATAGAGTTCACTGGCAGCTTTCACACATTCCAAAGCACCAAACTTATCTCATTTTTTAATTAAAAAATAAAAAATTTTTAATAAAAATTAAAAAATAAAAATAAAAAACATCTCCCAGAGCTTCCTGTGCAAAATCAGCATTCCCACTATTCCAATACCATTTTCTGTAGTAATCCATTCGTTTTCTCAGTGAATTTATGCACGGAGAGCAGAGAGGTCCGCTACGCAGTGTCTGAATGGCATCCGCCCTCACCGGCCAAGTGCAGGGCTGCTCGCCGCAGCTAGCACACTCTCAGCACCATGTTTGCACGGGTCCTCTTCCACATGATATGAGCTGTGTCATGTTTGGGAATTATGGAGCCCTGCTCAGTTTTTCTTCTTCCATCAAGGGAGGCAGTAGTGATGCTAATACCTCCCTCACAGGGATGTCAGATGAATGAGATTTATTCTCATTCTTTATTCATTCATGCAGTCAGTAAATATTTAGTAGTCACCTCCTGTGCTCCGGTTGTTAGTGTTGAGAATGTGAAATGCTAAAAATACAGCAGTCAATAAGAGCCTAGTCCTAGGAACATTCTAGTAAAGAAACAGTAAACAAGTATGAAAAATGTATGGTATGTCAGATGCTATTAAGTAATATAGACCAAAACGAGGCAGGATAAAGATGATCGGTGTGAAAGTTAAGATGGGGCAGGGTGCTCTTTTAATTAAGGTAGTCAAGGAAGACTCATGAATTTACTGTTGAGCAAAACCTGAGGAAGGTGAGGGAGCCATTCCAAGCAAAGAGAACATTAAATGTAAATCCCAAAGGCAAGAATGTGCCTTAAAATGCAAGGTGCAGTCAGGAAGTTAGGGTGACTGGAGCAGAGGATTGTAGTTAGATACTGGGTGAGAGAAGTAAAAGGGCCATGCCATGTAGGGTATGAAGAGGCATTGTAACTGCTGGTTATGGTGATACATGCTTGTAATCCTAGCAGCTTAAGAGGCTGAGGCAGTAGGATCGCAAATTCAGAACCATCCTCGCAACTTAACAAGGCCCTAAGCAACTTAACAAGACCCTGTCTCAAAATAAAAAATAAAAAGGGCCACGGATGTGGCTCAGTGGTTAAGTGCCCCTGGGTTCAATACCTAGTACCAAAAAAAGGTGGTGGCAAGGGGAGCATTATAGGGATTTTGACTTCTATGCTGCATGAGATGGGAAGCCATCTGGCTTGAGTTTTAAAAGGTAAGTAGTACTCTTGGAGAAGATTGTAGGAGAAAGAACAGAATCAGAGGCCAGTGAGAAGGCCATTGCAGTCATTAATCCAGGCAAAAAATAATAAGACTTGGCTCAGAGCAGCGGTAGAGGTGGTAAGAAGTAATTGGGTTCTGTGAATGCATCTGTGTAGATGTTGAAGGTAGAACTGAGAGGAGGTGCTAATGGATGTGATGGATAAAAAAAAGAATTGAGGATGACTCCAGTGTTTTTTGCCTAAGTAGTAGGAAGAATGGAGCTGCCATTTAATGAGCTGAAGAAGACTCAGAGGGACAGGTTTACTTTGGAACTGAGGGGTGTAAAGTAGTATTCTGCTTCTGTCATGGTCAGACTAATAGGATTTGAGTGTCTTTGTAGACACCTAGGATACCAAGACCCCGAATTCAGGGAAAAGGATGGCCTTGGAACACAAACATTTTAGCCATCAGCATACTTAAAGCCTTGAGACTTCATGAATCACCTTGCAGGTGAGGGTAGTTGGGGAAAGGAAGAGCTTGAAGGGTGAGTGCCAGGCCTCCTAAGTTAGAGGCCAAGGGAGGCCAACGGCATCCTTAGAAGCTAAGGGCATCAGGAACCTTAGGAGGAAACTGGGAAGAATCACTGGTGAGGTAGGAATTCAAGGCAGGAGAGTGGCATCCTGCAAACCAAGGGATGGGTGTTTCAAAGACTGTCAGATACTTCTGGATGTCAAGCAAGAACTGAATATGTCATGGATAACGTGGCCATCTCTTGTGGCTTTGACAAAACCATTGGGCACAAGGAGAGATGTGAGGGTTTTTGGAGCAAGTGAGTGTAGATGAGCCTGTTGTGGAATTTGCTCTGAGGGGTGGGGAGTGTGAGCTGTCATGAAGGGACATATGGAGCAAGGGAGGGTTTCTAAGGTGGTTGGTGTACAGAATGATAATTGAAAATTATCAATTAAGGACAGTAGGAATGATGCTCCAGAGATTAGGGATAATCCCTGTAGTGAAGTCCTCAAGGAGGAAGAAGACAAGATTGTAGCGCCTTCAGCATATGCAAAGACCAGATGTGGCATCTGGAAGAAAGCACACTCTAGGCATAGCAGGGTGATAGTAAGGGTGGTGGAAGCACATGGACAGTCTCTTCTGAGTGAATCTTTTTCTTCATGATGTAGAAAGTAAGGTCATCAGCTGAGGATGAGGAGAAAGGGAAGGAGATAGTGATTTGAGAAAGAGGAAAGGTATTAGTGATCATGTTGGGGTGGGAGAGAGCATGCTGGGGGAGGTTGGAGCTGGGTTTCGAAGCATCCCAGGGCCCCCTTGGGGTTGGGCCAAGAGTAGCATGTGAGACCTGTCAGCATAGCTGTCTGGCTCTTGGTAGATGTGTGAGGGTGGGCTTGGAGGAGACAGAGTATTGGTATTACCTAGTGTTTGGTGTTGCCACAGGCCTGTAAAGGCAAGGGATTCAAGTACATGTAAAGAAGGATTAGTGAATGGGCTGGGGCGCGCTCATTAGTAGAGCACTTGCCTAGCATGCGTGAGGCTCTGGGTTCAATCCCCAGCACTGCAAAACAAAACAAAAATTCCTGGTGCAGGACTACAGGACCTAAGCCAGTAAAGGAGGGAAGCCAAGACATGGGAGCAGGAATGGAGAAAAAAGCCGGAAGCCAGGGATGAGGCAGGGGAAGCAAGGGACTGGAGGTCCTTGGTGTAGTTGCAGAGAACTTGAATTCAGGGTACTGGAAGGAAGGAATGGGGAAATAAAAGTTGTTGGTTGGTGTATGGGGTGCTTAAAATTTAAATTGCAAAGGGGTGTTCTTAATGATAAGGTTTGGATAATGGCCATTAGATCTGGTGGCTCAGGCAGGTGAAAGAAGACCAGGAAGAGGGGAATGCTCTGGAACTTGGAGGCCAGGATATTGGAAGTCTCATAGATGTGGTGTGAACATCACAGAAATTGTGATAGGGGTAGCATAAGAGAGGCACAGGCAGTTGCTAAACCACTGAGAAATGTAGGGAGAACTGTCCTAGGAGTTCTATGGAGATTCACAACTAAAACAAGAAGGGATGGGTTGCTAGGAGCTTGAAAGCTATGGGGCTCTAGGTCACATCAAGGGAGAGTGACTGAGGGATAGTAAAGAGCAAGAGAGACCTCTCTTTAGGCCAAAAAGGGAATGGGTATGGGAGACAAAATAGTCACTAACTGAGGTGATTCCATGTAGCTAGTACCTTGAAGAGAGAGTGGGCAAGGGGGTGCAGGAAGACAGGGCATGTAGCTTTGGTGGTGAGCATTTGCCTAGCATGTGTGAGGCCCTGGGTTCCATCCCCAGCACTGCAAAACTAAATTGAAAAAGAGTGAGGGGACTGTGTAGAGGTTGAAGCTGGGTATGCTAATGTCTGAGTACTGGGGACCCAGGGTAGGGTATAGATGGGTTGAGAGTCAGGACCACAAAGGGATATACAAAGCCACCTGGTAAGAAGAGTGCAGGGCATGAGTGAGCACTGAGCTGCTCCAAGTGACTGAGGTAAGCCGGAGGGGTCCTCGGCAATAGCCCTGTAGGTCTGTTAGTCTGTGGGGTGAGGCCAAGCATGGGGAGGGTGGGTGCAAGTGGGTCTGAGGGACCCTGCAGAACTCTGGAGTACCCTTTCTTAGGGGAGGGTGGCTCACTAGGATTGTGGGAAGGTGATCAGTGAGGAGCCGTTGGCACAAGGCCTTGCAAGTACTCAATAGGAGGTGGTGCCTAGAAGGCAGTAGCATTTCTGCTTGTCTGCAGGGGGCTATTGTCAGAGTCATGGACCCCAGGGCAAGGGTTGCCTTAAGCATGGATATTCAGACACAAAGTTGTAGTTGCCAGAAATCTACCTGAATTGAGGCCTGGGAGCTACTTTCTGACATCCTTGTGGATTGGGGAATGGAGTATAATATTACACTATAAAATTCACTGAGTATTTTCCCATCTTTCCTAGTCTTCAGGACAGCCCTTTGCAGAGGACACACAGGTTCAGGAAGCGCAGTGATTTGTCCAAGGTCACACAGCTAGGAAAGTGGCTCATTGGACTCTAGGTCTTTTGTTCTTCCTAGGCCACCATACTTCTCTCCAAGCCATCTTGCTCTCTTCTGTGGCCAGGGAAGGGCTCCCTTGAGGAAACAGAAAGAGACTTGTTAGCTGAGGCCAGACCTTGTTGCTGAGGCAGGAATATTCTAGTCTTCACCACTTATCTTGTTCCATAGTTCTCACTGTGAAGCTCTGAATTTGTGTTCTCTTCCTCCCTCTCTCTCTCTCCTTCCCTCCCCCATGCTGCAGTACATGCTGTGGAGAGTAAGTGGCCCTGTCCTCCAGGGAGGCCAAGCCCCACTTCTGAGGCAGCCTGTCCTCCTAAGAAGGGGGGAGGTTTGGATGGGTCTGGGATTGGGGCCTTCTCTGGCCTGCCTGCTGGGTGACTATAAAAAGCACTAGGACATATCTTTGAGGGTATGATTCCTTGCAGCAGGAGGGATTGGGGGTTAGAGGGCAGGAAGAACTTGTTCTGGAACAGTTGGTACAGGGTGCCCATGGGATTCCCTTTGGGGAGCTTGGAGGGGAATCATGGAAAGAGCTTAGCATTCTCAGGTCCCACCTCACTTTGGGGTTCAGTAATTTGCCATCAGTCTAGTTCATGAGAGACTAGTCAGTGGGTTTTGTTTCCTGAGTCATAACTGGGCCTTAGCAGCGAAGGCCTCGAGTTCCTGTGTTTGTCAGGGAAGAAACAGGGTCTGTGTTCTTATGGCCCCTGAAGAAGGTGCAGACTCACACAGGCCCAGGGTAGACCCTTTCTGTGTCCTTAAACAGGACCAGGAGGTGCCAAGCTGGGTTAGGGGTCAAAGAGCATCAGGCAGGTCATACTCCAGAGGGAGGAGGGAGGAGGCTTGAATAAGGACTGAGTGGGCTGGGAGACCAGTTTGCTCCCCTGAATGACCCTTTCTCCCTTCTCTCCTAGTCCATGACTTGCAGAGCTTTGGCCTTGACAACGTATGTACCAGGGGACACCATGGGGGTTGGGGGGTGGGGAGACTGGCTGCGGCCTTCTTTTCTCTGAGGCAGGCACGCATCTAGAGAACAATATTCCCTGTTGGTGGGATCCTGTTTGTGGGTCTCAGGGTTGAATGAGAGTGAGACACTGAGATCTGAGCAGGCCAGGGGCAGGGAAGAGGGTGGACAGGAGCATCCTAAACTGAGGGAGCCTCAAGACAAAGTTAGGAGGGTGTGTGGTGCTTATAAGGTACTGCAAGGGCAGCTGTGGGCGGGGAGACTGGGGGAGTCCTTGGGACCAGAGCACACAGGACTTAGAGGCCACACTGAGGTGTCTGGTCTTTCCCCTAACAGGGAAGCTGTCAGCCTTCCTAAAGCAGGGTAACATATCAGATTTGCATTTTTAAAAGATCTCTCTTGTGGCTGAGATACAGGAAGGGAGCTCACCTGAAGATCAGTGGCCTCCAGTTCAGGCCTTCATGGCTTAAGGCCTCCAGGAAAAGTTTGCACCTGCCATGCAGAGTCAATGCCTGGTCTGAGTGTGCCCACATGTGAGTGAAGCCAGTACCCTAGACTTGAACCCTGGGAGCCTGTGTGGACTGTGGGAAGAAAGGGTTCTTAGGTAGGAAATGGGAGATGTCTGTCTCAGAAAGGTTTCTTTCCTTAAAGCCATAGCTTCTCCCAGACAGAGCCCTCCTTCCCTTCATCCCTACTTTCCCCATCTGTACAGACAGACCCAGGCATCCCTGTCTGCTAGTGTAAATACAGAGCTTGGTATGGAGTGCGGACTGTCAGGGACTCAGGCACTGATGTTGCTTGCAGATCAACATGACCCACTACATCCAGCATCTATCATTCGGGCAGGACTACCCAGGCATTGTCAACCCCCTGGACCACACCAACGTCACTGCACCCCAAGGTACTAACCTGGGAGGTAGTCCCCTGCCACCAAGCTCTGCCTAGAACACATGCCCAATGCTTTCTTCTCCCTGCAGCTTCCATGATGTTCCAGTACTTTGTGAAGGTGGTACCCACAGTGTACATGAAAGTAGATGGGGAGGTGAGTCTGTGGGAGTTCAGATGTCATTCTCCTGCTTGGTGCCAAGCATTGAGATCCTTCATTTAGCTCCTTCACCCTGGAAAGTCAGGAGATCCTCTTATCCCCATATGGTGGATGAAAAACTGAGACTCAGAGGGCAGGTGACTTGCCCTCATAGACAGAGTTCAGGCCTGAGCACTGCTGGGTTTCAAAGCACTTGCCCTTTTTACCACCTAGACTGCCTCCATCCATTCCTCCAGTGCCTGCTGTCCCTCTGGAGTCTGTCCTGGGCTGGGGGTTGGCCAGGCCAAGCCTTATGAGGCCCTGGTCCATTCCTGCTGTGACCTGTGGAGCAGCCTCTCTATAAAGTGGTAAAATGCAAGGGGCTGAGGAGCAAGGAAGTCAGTCCCAGCTTTAGGATTGACCTTGAGAGTTTTTTCTCATCCCTGGGCCTCCACAAGATATAGCTGGGATGGGTAAACTGTAAAGAGCTGGTGGCCAGAGTAGAAATTGGGATGGCAAGACAGGACCAGGAGTCTGGCTAGTCCCTGTGCCTTACAGTGTTGGTTGCCCATGTGGCACCTCATTTTCTCCCTGTGTGTAGTCAAGGGAGGGGCAGGAGCGGGAGGGTTGGGAGCCAGATTGTAGACCCAGCTCTGGCTCTGGCTCCCTTCCCACCCCAGGTGCTGAGGACAAATCAGTTCTCTGTGACCAGACATGAGAAGGTCGCGAATGGGCTTCTGGGTGACCAGGGGCTCCCTGGAGTCTTCGTGCTGTACGAGCTCTCACCTATGATGGTGAAGCTGACAGAGAAGCACAGGTGAGGGTAGGGGATGGGAGTGGCCAGGCCTGGGCCTGCGGGGCCTGTGGGAGTGCCCACTGAGTCCACCTACTCCCTCTACCAGGTCCTTCACCCACTTCCTGACAGGCGTGTGTGCCATCATTGGGGGCATGTTCACAGGTAGGAAGTCCCAGGGAATCTGGGGTTTGGGGTCACGGAGTATGAATTCTGAGTGCCCCAGGTTTGGGTTGGGGAGAAGGTGCACTTTAAGAGCCAAAGGAGATGCTGGCTTTGGCCAATAAAGTGACAAAGCCCACAAGGTTGAGGCAAGGGTCCAGCTAGGCCAGAGCAGCTTTTGTCTCTCCCAGTGGCTGGACTCATCGATTCACTCATCTACCACTCAGCCCGAGCCATCCAGAAGAAAATTGACCTAGGGAAGACGACGTAGTCATTCTCTACCCAATTGATTATTCCTCCCTCTTTCTCCTGTTTCTCCGGCCTGTGATCATAGCCGCCAGTCTCTCCCACCCACACAGCCCTCACCTAATATTCATCCCCATCCCCAGGTTGATAAATATTGATTGTGATAGTATTTGCTTGGTCTCCGTGTGATTTTTGGGTCTGGCTGTAACCTGGGACTGGTCCCTCATTTTAACTATGTCATGACTGACAACTCGAGGCTCAGATGCCCTCTGGGAGCCCCCACATGGGCACATCCTGGCTAATAGGGTTTATTCACATCAGATTGATGTGTATTCCACAGCCCTGTCCTCAGTCCTTCCTCTGTGATCAGATGGACCTTGCCAGGGTGAGTGTCCTTGGAGCCACCATGGTCCCCAGGCTTGTGACCCCAAAACCACTAGGCTCAGTGTGGGTTGAGGTTTGCCACATCTTGACAGCTAAAGCTGGGGCTTCTTCCTACAACCCTGAATTTAGCCACCTGATCCTATCATGCTCACGTGTTCTGGGCCAAGGCCCATGAGGGCTCTTGGCCCAGAGAAAAGTCCATCCAGGTCCATTTAGGAAGTGAGGAGCAGAGGTGGCAGTGGCTATTTGGCTATCTTGGAACAGGACCAGCACCAGACCCCTAAGGCTTCGCATTAGAACCCTTTCAACACGTGGAGAACTGTGGCCCAGAGACTTTCCCACAGTCCAGGGACCCAGCGATGGTAACCACCAGTCAGTTCATCAGATCATGTATTGGGGAGTTTCAATGTAAGACTGTAGCAAGGCGAAGCAGAAAACAAGGGCAAACAATGGTCTTTTAATCAGCTTTTTCATTGCTGTGACTAATAGACCTGACAAGAACAGTTTTATTGGGGGCTCATGATTTCAGAGGTCTCAGTTCATAGACAGCTAGCTCCATTCCTCAGGGTTCGAGGTGAGACTGAACATCATGGCAGAAGAGTGTAGTGAAGGGAAGTAGTTCACATAATGATCAGGAAGCAGAGACTCCACTTGCCAGATATAAAATATGTACTCCAAATGCACACCCTAGTGACCCACCTCCTCCAGCCATACCCTACCTGCCTTTAATTACCACTCAGTTATCCCATCAGGGGATTAATTCACTGGGTTAAGCCTCTCATAACCTTCTTGCATTGCCTCATACATGAGCTTTTGGGGGACACCTCACATTCAAACCATAACAAATGGTAATGACAAAATTTCTGGGGTCTGGCCTAATATCCAAATGATGTAATCATCCAGGAACTGTGGGTCATGTCGGACATGATTTGATTGGGCATGATTTAATCCTCCTTGTGGACACGAAGTCTCATCTATAAATAGGAGATGACCACACCAGCTATAGTCAGCCAGTTTTGGGGGGCACCCTTGTTAACAGGATTGTAAACTTCCTTTGGGATCCCCTGTCTACCATCTTATGTGGTTTATGAAGAGAGTTGGTCTCCCACCCTAATCTCCCAGGGAGGATCACAATGTGTATATCCCACTCCCTACCTGCAGTCAGCGACCCAGGGTAAGTTAGGCCCACGGGACCACTTTCTTTCCTTCTAGTTTGATACAGGGAGACTTGAGGTCACTGCAGCAACCCGCAACCGTTCTTAAGGGAAAATTTGACTGCAAATGAGCTATCCCCCAGGGTATGGCAGAGCTGGGGGGTGGGCAGAGACAACCAGTTTTGGTGGTGTCATTTGAGCCCTGTTGACAAGCTGTCCCTGAAGCTAGCCAGTCAAACTAGTAAGTAAATTCTATTTTTGCTTAAGCCAGGCATGCTTAGTCTAAGGGTTGGTATAGAATAAAGAAACTAATGAAACAGAGCGCTTAGATGCCATGGAATGCAGAAACCAGAAGATTAGGTGAATGGGACCCAACCAGGGAGGAACAGCAGCAGCAAGCAGTCTTCAGGGCCCCCTTGCCCTGAGCCTCCTGCCAGATCCCGTTCTGACAGGACATGGGTAGTCTTCATCCCTCTGCATTCTAGAAAACCCTCAGCACCTGAGGTCACCCAAGAACATTTCTGTCCTGTCACCTGCAGGAACCAGCCTTGCACAGCACATAATCGAGGGCCCATGGATGTGATAAAGTTTATTGAAAGCACTGAACCCTGGGAGAGCTCATATGGGCAGGAAGGATTCCCGGAGCGGAAGTTAAAGGGCTGCTACGGTGAGATGAGTGTCCCAGGTCAGTTAGTCTGAGGGTTTGTGGAGGGGGCTGAAGATGACCTCGCTGATCTGGCCGGGGATGGTGTAGAAGACCAGAAGAAGGAAGACGGTGAGGAGCGCCAGCACGAGCAGCAGCACCAGGATGCGCCAGTATCGGCGCAGGATGAAGAAGACAAAGGTCTTCAGTGGGTTCACGAACCAGTTGAAGGAGGTTTTGGGGCGGCTATTGAAGAAAGGGTGGAGTCAGGATGACCAGGAAGCCCCTGCAGGTGGCCCCCACCGCCCTCTTTCCGACTCTGGCCGCCTGGCTCCCACTCACTTGGGCTTCTCCAAGGGCTCTGGCTCCTTCCTCCCCTTGCCCACTGGCCTCTTCTCAGCCTCCTCCACTGTCAGCAGTTCAAACTCTGCCTCCACCTTCCCCTAGGAAAAAAAAATACTCCTGCATCATTGGGAGAGAGGCCGAACCCTCAGCCAGGCCTGGGTCACTGCCCTGATGCACCCACTGTAAGGATGTGGACATTGCCGCCCGTGTCGGTGAACTCCAGGTCTTCGGGCCGGCCCTTCCTCCTCTTCTGCTTCCGCCTCTTCTTTCTGGCCTGAGCCTCCCGATCCTCACGCTCTAGGTCCTCTGCCTCCCGCAGCTTCACTACAGGCCACCAGCCCCGCAGGCGGCGACAGCGGAACAGATTGCACCTTGGGCCAGCCCCATCTTGGGCCAACCGCACTGAGCAGTGCTCAGGGTCCCGGGCTCCCCGCACCATGTCTGGCAGTTGCAGCTCCAGCGATCCTGCAGGAGCAGAGCCCCTGGGTTAGCAGGAGACTCAAGTGTAACTGGATTAGGGATGAGGCAGCAGCATACTAGGCTGGAAGTTGGGGCATCAAAAGGTGGGATATGGTGGTCAGGTCCACAGCTTTGGATCACAGTTCAACTACCATCCTGTAGTCAGATCCCAGCAGAAGAGGGCCATGGACTGGGATCAGATTACCAAAGCAAGAACCATGGGGTTGTAGTCCGGGGACTTTAGCTAGGGTCATATCAGAGGATTGAGGCAGGGACTATGGGTACTGCAGTCAGAACTTATTGTGGTCAGGGCTTAATGGACTCAGTAATTAGGCCATAAAACAAAAGTTCAGTTCTGGGGTCTGAAATCCCAGGACTCAGGGCTGGGTTCAAATAGGGAACCAGGGGAGAAGGGTGGTAAGGTGGGGGGAGGGGTGGGCAAGAGCAAGGAGGGCAGAAATCAGGGGTAGGGCCTGAGGCTGTGGAAGGCTGAGCAATACCTAGGAAGTCGTTGGCTGAGATGCGGTCATAGTCCCAGACCTGCAGGACCAGCACTGCCGGCTGCCGGAACTCAGCTTCCTCCAGAGCAAAGGGTCCAGGACGACGCCGGACGCTCACCTCCCTCTCCGTGGGCAGGTAGTCAAAGCGGAACACGAAGCGCCAGTTGAAGTTCCCCTCCCCAGTTAGGGAGTTGAAGTGAACATCTGTCTCCTGTTTATCATGCTCCAGCCCCTTCACCCAGCTGGAGCCAGGGGAAGGGACAGGTTAGGGTAGCTGGGCATCCAGGGTGGGGCTACTCCCAGAACTCAGCTCCTCATCCAGCTCTAGGCACACAGAGGGCCTGGGGACAGAGCACTGTACTCAGCCAGTACAATAGCTATGTGCAATCCCCACCTTGGGCACAGCCATTTGGACTTCCCTGTCTGCACACCTACCTTTTCACATAGATGTCACTTGACATCTCTCCAGTGAGTGGATTCACATCATCCAGAACCACATCTTCTGTATTCCAGATGACAACTCTCAGCTCATAGCTGGGGGATGTATTGGAGGCCAGTTTTCAGACTCTTTTAAAACCTTTTAAAAGGTTCTAGGAGGGACTGCAGGAAGTAGGAAGGACCTGGACCAGGGCAACTGACATTCACTGGGCATCTGGTGTGTGCCTGGCTGGGTAATGAGGATGCCTGTGGTTCTGTGAAGGCACAGCCTAGTTACCACTGACTACCCCAGCCAGCCATAGCCAATAGCACCAGGAATGCTCTCCTGACCCAAGACAATGCAAGGAGGCTCTTCTTCCTATAAATTTGGAGTCCAGTCCCTGACACTATGTTGGGCAGTGTGGCATCAAATGCAGAGTTGAAACGACTGCAAACCAAAATGATGTGCAAGTTGAAGCTTTCGGGTGCAGAAAAGTGGTGAGTAAGCACAGCAGACAAAGCCAGGTGCAGAGAAAATTTGGAAGAATGGGAGACAGTGGGAATGAGAGCCTGAAGTCCCAAGGGGCAGAGGAAGGGCTGCAACATTCTGGATCCTGCCTTCCTGTGGTCCTGTCTGGGTCTGTCATGGTGTTGCCTGGATAGTTGTTCTCTCCTGACCAGCATCAATTTCCCCTTGTTTGTTGACAGCACCCTGATTTTCTGCTGGTGACTCCCACCCCAGCCCTACTGTCAATCTATGTGATTCTGGTCCTGGCTCCAGGCCATGGGACATCACACAGGACTGGCCAATTGGTGTATTACCCTCCCTGATCACAATAATAGCTTCCAGGGGTAGAATTTGACCCAAGCTGGTCTAATGAGAGGTGGCTCTAGGCTTTTTCTCTAACTTGGAAGAGATTAGTTTCTGCTCAAATGGCCTAGCTCTTAAGAGATAAGCCTGCAACCATCAGAAGCCACCTTGCCTTCAGATTGCCAAAGGTTCCCTTAATATGGCATCAAGGAAAGCAGATCCCAGAGGCAGAAAGTAACATATTGCTGACAACATTGATCATCTGGATCCAGCCCTGTCTGAATTGGCTTTATCTGATTCAGAGCTCCTCTCAGGACCATGGTGGGGCACGCCTGTAATCCCAGCATCTACTGAGGCAAGAGGATGGAAAGTTCAAAGGCTGGGGATATAGCTCAGTTGGTAGAGTTCTTGCCTCACATGCACAAGGCAAGGCCCTGGGTTCGATCCTCAACACCACCAATAAAAAAAAAAAAAAAGTAAAGTGACAGACACCTAACTACTTACAATGGCTTATAGGACAAAAGGTCAATTAATGACTCACCTACAAAAAAAAAAAAAAAAACCCTGTGGTCAACAGCCTCCACCTGCTTCAGAGAGGTTTTGGATTTTCAAAGGACCCTGGTATGAATAGATCAAGTTGTGCCTCCCCCACCCTTTGGGAGGAGGGACCATAACTTTCTCACCTGATTGGCTTCCGAGGCTTGATATCAACTGCAGGTGGAGCAGGCACATCGCTGGGGAAGATATCAATCCACATGTGAAGTGATCCCTGGGAGCACAGGACCAGGTTGGAGGGTATTGCTAGGGACCCCACCTCCTCTAACAGCCTATGGCACAGAGCTGTGCCTTACTCCAAGTGGATTGGGGGGGGCAGTCAGACAGAAGGCAGATTCTGGGGTGCAGGATGAAGGTGGAGCCTGAAGTGGGGGTTCCAGGTCAAGGTCAAGTTGGGGGTTAGGAGTTCAAGGATGAAGTCCCAGAAGTGAAAGACTGAAATCAGAAGTAGGATATGTTGTTCCAAAGGTCCAGATCTTAGTGATCTGGAGTAGAGGCTGCATTGCCCAGATCTGAACCTTGGTGGCCCAGGGGTGGAGATCCTGCAGGATCAGAGTCAGAGATGGGGTCCAGGGATCCAGGATGGAGGTCCAAGACTCCAAGACTGAAGTAGGGATGCTGGTGACCAGCATCAGGAGCCAGAGTCAAGAGGCAGTGGAAGTGCCCAGGTAAAGGTCTTGGGGAAAGGGTGAATCAAGTGGAAATCCTGAAATTCTGGGAGTCCTATAGTCTTGGGAATGCTGGCACCCCCTCACCTGCAGCAGTCCTGGGCTGCGGGGATGGTAGAGGGGCCGTGTTTCCACATGCTCAGGCACGAGCTGGATGCCAAGCCCCGGCATCTCCTGCCAACGCCGTAGTACAAGCAATGCCTGGGCCTCCTCAGAGGCTTCACTTGCCACCTTGGGACCACTGCCACCTGGAACAAGAGTTGTGTGAGCTTGGGCTCTGCACAGTTCCCTACTGTCCTCCCTTCTTCCCCCAGCCTTCCACAGCACTAAGCTGGGGCCACGCTGCACTGGATGGAGCCCAGGATGGGACGGCAGGACCACAGAGCACAAATCGTGTATGTGTAGAGCGGGGGATAGCAGGGGGACAAGGGCACAGGAGAGGCTGTAGCCTTTGCTCAGATCCTTTGTAGAGAACAGACCACTGGTTATTTATGAGGCATGAACTCAATTCCACAGCCACATGCCATTGGATGGATGCTCTGTGTTCTGGGAAGTTGATGAACTGTGGCTCTGTGGGGTCCATTTAAAGACCAATGTACTTCATCCTAAATCAACTAAATTAATATTCTCTGCCCGCTGCCTTCAGCAGGCTTTGGGGGAACACACTAGATTGGTACCTGGTGCCCCTATTCCTTGTTCTACCTCCATCTTGCTCCCTTTGGCCTGTCCAGCAGAGAGGGGCTGGTACCTGGAGGCAGAGTCTCGGGCGGTGTCAGAAAGACTTTGCTGCCCACCTTGACAGCTCCAGCTCGGTATTCAGGAGCAGGGAGGCCACAGCGTTGGCACAGCCCTGCTAGGATCTGTGAAGGCCGGAATGCATCGCGCCAGGCATTGTACCCATCCCTGAGACAGGAAAGGAAGATGCCTTAGCTGGAGCCAGCACATGGACACGGTTGGGCACAGGAATAGGAATGAGGACCCTTGAAGGATCCAGGTTTGGAACCCAAACTGGGTTCTAGCTCAGTGACGGAGCACTTGCCTAGCATGTATGAGGCACTGGGTTCGATCCTCAGCACCATATAAAAATAAATAAATAAAATAAAGGTATTGTGTCCATCTACAACTAAAAAACAGATTATTTTTTTAAAAGAAGGACCCCAATGGGAGACAGCTCAGTCTTCATCTACGATTAAGATGAAAATCAAAGACGTCAAGGTGCTTCTATGAAAGAGATGCTGATATGTCTGTTTAGCAGATGAGGAAACTGAGGCTCAAAGAGGTATTAAGTTACAGGACACCAACACCCAAGCCCAAGTCTTGGCCACTGAACTATGTCTTGGAGGGGTTGGGCAGTTCCCATTCTATGAAGTCCTAGGATTTGAGGTGAATGGGAATGTAAATTTGAACATTTTGGTCAGAGATTTAGAACAGCTCCTGAGGGCCCTGTGAGACTCACACGTCATACTGGGAAGCCAGCCCACAGTTTGCTCTGTGGTGGCTATAGAATCGATTCTCCAGATCAATGTGGGTCTCCCCGATGAGGTCATCAGAACCCACGAGGTCATGATCAAACACAGCCACGGTCAATTCTGGCTCAGCTGGGAGAGAGATGCTTAGCTCCAGGACCCTGGCCAGGAGGGAAAGTGGCTAATGACACCTCTGTGCCCTCATAAGTAGTCTGGAGTGTGGGTGTCCCTTCCCATGCCATCATCAACCAGCTACTGGGTGAGAGCCCTTGGGCCACAGGTTGGATGGCCAAGGTGCTTGCCCATTCCCAGCCCCAGGGCCCAGCCTCACTCTCCAAAGATGGGGTTGAGCTGCTTGGGGATGTAGCGCTCCTTGGTGTCTTGCCGCTCCTTGCCAGTGCTCACTACCACATAGGGGTCTGCTTTGCCATTGGGGTCTGCAGGAGCCAGATTGGTAGCCTAGAGGGAGAGGATGAAGTGGAATTGAAATAAGCATCACTGTCATAGCCCAAACTCTTATTGGACCTAACCTCAGAATAAGTGTAAACAGAAAGTGGCCAAGAAGAGATCTGAGAGCTATGACAAGATGATTTACCTTTTCAATTTGGTTATGAAATACTGAAGACACAAACAGCTATAATGAAAAATATAATGAAACAGGATATACTTGGGAAGGTGCATTTGGAACTCAACTATTCAACTGGTAACTTTCCATACTGACAGATTTTTGTTTCATGATGAGCATATTTTACTTTTTAAATTAAGTATTTTAACTAAATTTTTACAACAATACATTGAGCTTGTGCATGCTCGGCTTAATAGATAAGACATTACCAATAAACCGAAAGCCCCTAAATAGGCTTACCTGATTTAGTCCCTTCTCATCCCTGAAGTCACCTGAACACTGTCTCTCTTTCTTTCTTTCTTTTTTTTTTTTTTTTTGGCACTGGAGATTGAACTCAGGGGCATTCAATCACTGAGCCCCACATCCCCAGCCCTGATTTGTATTTATTTAGAGACAGGGTCTCACTGAGTTGCTTAGCACCTGGCTTTCTGCTGAGGCTGCCCTTGAACTCATGATCCTCCTGTCTCAGCCTCCCAAGCCGCTGGGATTACAGGCGTGCGCCAATGCTCCCGGCTCACCTGAACTCTTAGGTTAATCACTCTCAGGTGTGTTTATACTTTTATTCCATATATGTGTATCCCAATATGATATATATGCATATATACATATACATATGTGTGTGTATGTATATATATATATATATATATATATTACTTAGCACGTTTTAAAAATGTGCGTTTTAAACTTACACTGAGGTTGGCTTTTTTTTTACATTTTTTTTAAGAGAGAGAATTTTAATATTTATTTTTTAGTTCTCGGCGGACACAACATCTTTGTTTGTATGTGGTGCTGAGGAGTGAACCCGGGCCGCACGCATGCCAGGTGAGCGCGCTACCGCTTGAGCCACATCCCCAGCCCCACACTGAGGTTTTTTAAAAAAAATTTTTTTAAATATTTATTTTTTTAGGTGTAGTTGGACACAATGCCTTTATTTTATTTACTTGTTTTTATGTGGTGCTGAGATCGAACCCAGGGCCTCGCACGTGCTAGGCGAGCGCTCTGTCGCTGAGCTACAACTCCAGCCCTACACTGAGGTTTTAATTATTAATATTTCACTTTTAATTTTTTCTCCAAAGGTTTTCTTTATTTGTTTTGTGGTGCTGGGATTGAACCTAGGGCCTTGCACATGGTCTACCACTGTACTGCACCCCCAGATCCTCAAATTTCTATCTGGTCCTTCAAATTTGCTGTTTACTTTTGATAGTCTTCTTGTACCTTACTCATTTTAAATTCATTCTTGTTTTTCCTTAAATACTTCATACCTAGTAATTTTATATTCTCAATCTCTTTATTCCGATATCTGTGACCCTGGGCTCTGAATCTGTTGTTTTTGCTAATTCTCACTCATGGTGATTTGTGTCTTGGTATTCGTGTTCTTATCATGATTCTTATTTGGGTTAGCTCATTCTACGAGCCTAATTTGATCTTCCAGAGAGGGTTTGCTTTTGCTTCTGCCAGTTTCCTGAACAAACTGCCAGCCTGCAACCACTTTCAATTCAAATCCTCCAACTGGGATTTGGCAATGACGTGGAGTGTGGAACTTGTGTCCCCAAACTGCAAGACAGTGGTCATAAATGCTCAGGAGAGATTTTCCCCTCTAGCCAGTGCCAAAATTAAGACAGGCAAGTGCCCTTAGTGTCCCTTCTTACTGGCAGGTTCATGTTTTTTCATCCTTATGTTGAGGGGGTAGCCTTTAAGGTGCTCACCTCAGAGGGGCCCTTCTGCCCAATTCTTCACCCTAGGAAATCCCTGGGCCTTCTCTCCTGCCTGTCCTGACTGCATGGCCATCCACAGGGACGTTCAAGGTCAGCAGTCTCTGGCAGGTGAAAGCCTCCTTTCGCATTCAGTTTGCCCCCTAAGTTTCTTAACACCATGTTCTCATTTTCCATTGTTTTTGTAAGCTTGTTTTTGTTTTGTTGGTACTGGAGATTAAACCCAGGGGTGCTTCACCACTGAGCCACATACTCAGCCTTTTTTATTTTTTATTTTGAGACAGGTTCTTGCTAAATTGCTCAGGGTCTTGCCAAGTTGCTGAGGCTGGCCTCCAACTTGCCATCCCCCTGCCTCAATATTCCAAGTCACTGGAATTATAGGCGCACACCACCACACCCAATTCACATTCCATATCCTTTAAAAAAAATTATAGTTGTAGATGGATAGCATGCCTTTATCTTTAAAAAAAAATTATTTTCTTTAGGTGTAGATGGACACAACACAATGCCTTTATTTGTATGTGGTGCTGAGGATCAAACCCGGGTCCCGCCCGTGCTAGGTGAGTGCTCTACCGCTGAGCCACAATCCCAGCCCCAACATGCCTTTATCTTATTTGTTTATTTTTATGAGGTGCTAAAGATTGAACCTAATGCCTCACACATGCTAGGCAAGCGCTCTGCCACTTGGAACTACGGCCCCAGCCCCAATTTCTGTATTCTTGATGCTCTGACATCTGGGGTTTACTGATGTTAAATTATTCTCCAACGTTGTTATAATAATATCTATTCAGTGGCAGGCAGAATAATGTCCCCCCACAAAGATATCTCCATATTAATCCCCTAGACTTTGAATGTGTTAGGTTACATCTCAAGAGGGACTTTGCAGGTTAGGGATCATGAGATTACCAGTGTCGGTCCAATGGGATCACAAAGGTCCATATATGTGAAAGAAAGAGATAGGAGAGTCAGGGAGATCTGAGGATGCTCTAATGTTGGCTTTGAGGATGGAGGATGAGACCATGAGCCAAGACACACAGGTGTACTCTAGAGGCTTTCCTGAAGCAATGAACAGATCCTCCCCTGGAGCTGTGTTCTTTATAATGTCAAAGGGTACAAACAGCCCAAATATCTGTGGACTGGCAAATGGATAAACAAAGTGTAGCATGGGCACAGAGCGAAACATCAAGTTGTAAAAAGAAATGAAGTGCTGAGACATGCTACGACACTGTGAACTTTGAAAATTTACACTGAGGGCAAGAATCCAGTTATAAGTGAGGCTGGGATTGTGGCTCAGAGGCAGAGCTCTTGCCTCACATATACAAGGCACTGGGTTCAATCCTCAGCACCACATAAAAATAAACAAATAAATAAAGGTATTGTCTCCATCTACAACGAAAAAAAATTTTAAAAAAAAGAATCCAGTTACAAAAGACCACAAACTGCATGACTGCATTTATAGAAAATGCCCAGAACAGATACTTACATGAAAACAGGAAGTACCTTAGTGATGGCTTAGAGTTGGAGAGAATGGGGAGTTTGAGGAGGTGACAACTAAAAATTACAGAGCTTTTTTTTTTTTTTTCAATTTTTATTTTTTGGTACTGGGGATTGAACCCAGGGGTGCTTACCCACTGAGCCACATCCCCAGCCCTTTTTCTATTTTATATATAGAGAGGGTCTCACTGAGTTGCTTAAAGCTTTTCTAAATTGCTGAGCCTGGCCTTGAACTCATGATCCTCCTGCCTCAGCCTCTAGAGCCACTGGGATTACAGGTGTGTGCCACCAGGTTCAACCAGGGCTTCTTTTTGAGGTGTTGAACATGTTTTAAAATTGATTGTGTCCGTAATTGCATGATTTGAGAATAGATTTAAAAACAATTGAACTGTGCACTTTAGATAGGCAAACTGGATGGTATGTGAATTAAATCTCAATCAGGGCTGAGGTTGTCGCTCAGTGGGGTACAGTCCTTGCCTCACATGTGTGAGGCCCTGGATTCGATTCTCAATACTGAATATAAATAAATGAATAAAATAAAGGTCCATCAGCAACTAAATTTTTTTTAAATCTTAATAAAGTTGTTACAAAAACATAAAATATCAAATCATTCAGCATATGACACAGGTCCCCTCTTCACATTTCATCCTTCCTTTCTAGAGGTAAAAGCTACCACCTTGATCTTTATAATAATCATGCTCTTGCTTTTCTTGTAATTGTATACCTACAGTTTAGCTTTGCCTAGTTCCTACTGCCCTGATCTCTTTCTTTCTACCTCTTTCCACTTAAATTTTTTTTTGTAGTTGTAAATGAACATAATGCCTTTATTTTTTATTTGTTTATTTTCACGTGGTATGAAAGATTGAACCCAGTGCCTCACGAGTGCTCAGCAAGCACTCTGCCACTGAGATGCAGCCCTAGCCCCTTCCCTCACCTTCTTTAGGAACCAGTCTCTTTAGTTTCTGGTTAATCTTTCCTATATTTTTTTTTTCAGAGTAGAAATTAGAAGTTTATTAAAGGAGAGCAGAAATGACTTCTCCCGGAGGAAGAAGGGGACCCAGGAGGTGGAATCCCTCTTTCCTATATTTTTGTTGCACACATATTTTCCCGTATCCTCTTCTTTCTTAAATAGAGAATAGTATCCTATACGTACTCTTTTGCATTCTGCTATTTTGACCTTACAGAAGATTCTGGAAATTACCCCATAGAGATGGTTCATATTCTTTTTTCACAGCTGCCTAGTACTACATGGTGTGGATGTGTCATAGTTAATTTACACACTCTTCTGTGCATGGGCATTAATAAGATTTCATTTTTAATAATCTTAAATTTTTAGAAATGTTATTTTGTTATTCCCACAAATTGCTCTGTCACTTTTTTTTTTTTGAGAGAGAGAGAGAGAGAGAGAGAGAGAGAGAGAGAGAGAATTTTTTAATATTTATTTTTTAGTTTTCGGTGGGCACATCTTTGTTTGTATGTGGTGCTGAGGATCAAACCCGGGCCACACGCATGCCAGGAGAGCATGCTACCGCTTGAGCCACATCCCGAGCCCCTGCTCTGTGACTTTTTTTTTTTTTTAAATATTTGTTTTTTAGTTGTAGATGCATACAGTGACTTTATTTTATTTATTTGTTTTTATGTGGTGTTGAGGATTGAACCCAGTGCCTCACACGTGCTAGGCGAGCGCTCTACCACTGAGCCACAACCCCAATCCTGCTCTGTCACTTTTGATGGTCTCTTATTTTCTGCTTGCGAAATACTTTAAACAAGTGTTTTACATTCTAATATTGGAAAATTCTAACATCCAAAGTTTTCAACTTTCTAATTCTCCTTTGTGTTGTTTCTTCTGATGATTTTTTCTGATAGATTGTTTTCTTCCATATTTTATAATTTTTGTATTGTGAATCCACATTTGGACATTTAAATCTATGGAAACTATGAAGCTGTGTTTGGGATCACTTTGTGCCAATCAGTTTGAATTTTCTAGACTAAAACGATCATTTAAATTCATGTTTTAACAATGTGAGGGGAGAGCTGTGATAAATTCTCAAGGAAGACTTTTTTTTTCTATTTTCCCACCTGGAACAGAGGCTGAGATGGCCTGTTGACTTTACAAGCTCCTTTCCGGTGGCACGGCTTTTGAGATCCTGCTTCATGCCAGGGTCTCGGTTCTGGTCCCCCACCTTGCACAGGCTACAAGAACCCAAGGCCCAGGGTCCAGGTGTGGACAACCCTCTCAGGACCACCAGAGCTTCACGGCTAGTCTTCCATCCAGGATTCCCATTGCTTCTTCACTATCCTTTCTTATGAGCTTAGTATTCATGTAGGCCTTTTAATTTTAAATTTAAATTTAAAATCTTTTTTGCAGTGCTAGGGATGGAACCTAGGATCTCAGCACCCAGGTGAAGACTACCACAGACCACACCCCAACCCACAACCTTAGCATTCACTTCAAAGACTGTGTGTCTAGCATTTGTAGATGGACTACAAAAAGAATTTATCTCAGACCATCTGGTCTGCCAGTTGCTCAAAGCAGAAAGTCAAGGTGACTTCCAAGACCAAGTCAAAATCCTAGAGTCTTAGATGATGGTAGAATATCTCTTTGAATGCTTAGTCAGAACCCAAAACAGATAAAACTACAGCATCTGCTCTGGTGACAGGGAGTGAGGTGACACAGCAACCCACTCATTCCTTGTTACTCCCTGAGGATACCTTTCAGAAAAATTTAGGGGCCTGCTGACCTCTGCATGAAAACCACAGCAACACAAGTAGCTACAGGGTATTTGGTAATAACTATTCTGAAGCTCAAGATTCAGAGCTACACTCCCAGGCCATTGGACCAGAACTGGGAACCAGCGTCAGGAGCCCTACACTCTAAATTCTAGCTCTACAATAAACAAGTTTTGTAACCCTGGAGAGTCTCCTAATTTTGTGTCTAAGATTTCCTGTCTAAAAAATGAAGACATGTAAGGTGCAGTGGCACAGGCCTGTAATCCCAGCTGCTTGGGAGGCTGAGGCAGGAGGATTACAAATTCAAAGCCAGCCTCAGCAAAAGCGAGGCGCCAAGCAACTTTTCTCTGCTGGTGTTGGAGACACTCACCTTTACAACATACACTCTGACCAGGAGCTTGATGGGCCGATTCTGTGGGATGCCCCGGGAGATCTGGGGCTCAGCATATGGCACTGCCTCTGACTCAGGATAAATGAGAAAGGAGCCCTGGAGTAGAGAGAGACCGAGAAGGCCCTGGTAAGAAAGTTTTCTTCCTGAATCCCTGTCTGTGCTCCCTGGTCCCCCTTTCCTTCCCCAAACATGCCTTGAACTTGCCCACAAGATGTCCAGACCCTTCTTCCCCTGCATCTCCATCCTGGCCCCCTTGCCCTCGGTAGAGGGGAAACACATTCAGCCAGTCTTCAAAGTGGTGAAACTCCTCCTCCAGGGAGCTGGTGTAGATCTGAAAGGGGAGGGCCTCAGAGACAGCCTGGCAACCAGAACCCAGGGACTCCCCCCGTCCCAACACCAGTCACCTTTAGGGTGGCGATTGCTCTTTTCTGAGATACAGAGCCTTTGACATCAGCCTCACCCTGGTCCTTGGCCTCCCCCTCCACAGAAATGAGGTTGACCCCATCTGGAAACAGCAGAAGTGTCTCAGGTCAGGAATATCTGGTGGGGTAGGGGTGGGGGGAGGGACAGATGGAGCAAAAGCGAAAACCTCAATCACTTACCGGAATCCCCAGGCTCATCCATTTCATCCTCATCAAGACTGGGCTGAAATCAAAGTGCAATTCAGACTTTTCTCTACCCTCTTCACTCCTTAGTCTACTCCTTTTCTGGGATAGTAAGGGGGGAAACTTGGTTCAAGTTCCAGCTGTGTTAAGGCGCTTCATTTTGGGGGTGGCGGGTACCAGGGATTGAACTCAGGAGCACTCAACCACTGAGCCAACCCCCAGCCTTTTTTTTTTTTTGTATTTAGAGACAGGGTCTCACTGAGTTGCTTAGCACTTGGCACTTGGCTGAGGCTGGCTTTGAAGGCTTGATCCTCCTGCCTCAGCCTCCTGAGCCACTGGGATAACAGGTGTATGCCACTGTACCCGGCAAGACACTTCTTTTTCAAAACTTATAATTATTATCTACTCCTGCACTATCAACACAGTTACCAGCAGCCACATGGTGCTACTAAGCATATGAAATGTGGCTAGTGTAAGCTGAGATGTGCTGAAGTATAAAATACACAGCAGGTTTTAAAGACTTGCTACAACATGAGAATGTAAAATAGCTCATTTTAATTTTTTTTTCCAGTACCAGGGATTGAACAGGGGTGCTTAACTACTGAGACACATGCCCGATCCTTTTTATTTTTATTTTGAGACAGAGTCACACTGAGTTGCTTAGGACCTCCCTAAGTTGCTGAGGCTGGCTCTGAACTTGCCATCCTCCTGCCTCAGCCTCCTGAGCCGCTGGGGTTACAGGTGTGTTCCACCATGCCCAGCTTCACCTGTTTCCTTTTATAGGGAAACACCTGTTTCCTTTTCCTGTTCCTTTATTGTAATGTGATAAGTATAAAAGTTAAGATTACATATATGTCAGATACTAGGGATATAGTTCCGTGGTAGAGTGCTTGCCTGGCATGCACGAGGCTCTGAGTTCAATCCTTAGTTCTGCAATAAATAAATACAAAACAAACAGGGCTGGGGATGTAGCTCAGCAGTAGAGCTCCCTGGGTTCTATTCCCAGTACCTGGGGGGAAAATGATTATATATATATGACTTGCATTATATTTCTATTGGACAACAAAGCTCTAGATAATGAAGCTATAATAATCCCATCTTCTAAGATTGTGGTAAAGAAAAGATGACTGTAATAAGGAGCTCTAAAAAAACTATAGAGCTCCATGTTTGCTAAAATCATTCCTTTTTTTTTTTTTTTTTTTTTTTTTTGGTGCTGGAGCTTGAAGCCAGGGCCTCACACATACTAGGCAAGTGTCCTCCAGTTTTTTTTTTTTGGGGGGTGGGTATTCATGGGGATTGAACTCAGGGGCACTGGACCACTGAGCCACATCCCCAGCCCTATTTTGTATTTTATCTACAGACGAGGTCTCACTGAGTTGCTTAGTGCCTTGCTTTGGCTGAGGCTGGCTTTGAACGTGCAATCCTCCTAGGTAAGTGTACCCCATTGCTCCATTGCCCAGGCTGGCCTTGACCCTACAATCCTCCTGCCTCAGCCTCCCAAGTAGCTGCAACCCAGCTCCCATCCTGGGACCCTCCCTGTCCCACCTGCCCCTGGAGCTCCTGCAGTGAAGCGTAGTACTTGGACCACCAGTCGAGCTCTTCAGGATCCGGGATGTCCTCCTCCAGCTCCGGGCCTAGATTCAGGAGGCCTCCTAGGGGGAGCTTCTTCAGGGGAGCCTGAGGGAGAGAGGCCCCAGTCACTCCAACCCAGCACCATCCAAGCCCTGCCAGCCCCTTCTCCTCCCTTCTCCAGCTGCTATCACCTTCAGGAGCCGTGTGGATCTCCCAGAATCAGCCAAAAGGGAATCCAGGGCCTTCTGTCCTGAAAGCCAGGAAGTGGCACCACAGGAAGTCAGACAAGTAGAAGTCACATCAGTGCTCCATTGGAGGTCCCAGGGGCCATCTCTACCAGGAACCAGGGGGGTTCTGTCTCTCAGTCCTAGCAGAGGGCTCCTTACCTTGAAGTTCCTTGGGTACCAGGTCTCCCGCCTCCTCCTCCTCTCCCTCCTCCTCAGAGGGATCCTCATGACCCTGAAGTATGAACCGCAGCATGTGGGGAACAATGTGGGACCCCACAAGGACTGTGCGGCCAAAGGCCCGGCGCTCAATCACCAGGATGCTGAGAGGGGGCTGCAGGTAAGGCTGCTCTGGCAAGTCCTGGGGAAGGGAAAGAGGAACTGTGTCTCCAGAGAACTGGGAAAAGGGAAAAGCAGCCCAGAGGCAGGCAAGAAAGAAGCAGGTCCACACCTGACCCCCAGGCCCAGCTCTACCACAGCCCAACCACATCATCTCGGTTAAGTCACTGCTTTCTGACCCTGTGACCCATGTGAAAAAGCAACACAATCCTGGCTCAAAAGACTGTTGTAAATTGGGAGTAGTGGTCACTTCTGTGATCGCAGGCAAGATGATTGCAAGTTCAAGGCCAGACTGGGCAACTTAGAGAAACCCTGTCTCAAAATATAATAAAAAGGGCCAGACATGGTGGTGCACACCTGTAATTCCAGTGGCTCCAAAGACTAAAGTAGGAGGATCACAAGTTCAAAGCCAGCCTCAGCAAAATTAGTGAGGCCCTAAGCAACTCAGCGAGACCCTGTCTCCAATAAAATTCCAAAAAGGACTGGGGGTGTGGCTCAGTGGTTAAGTGCCCTTGGGTTCAATCCCTGGCACAAAAAAAAAAAAAAAAAGGAGAGAGAGAAAAAAAGAAAAAAATGTATATATACATATATGTATAGTAAAAAAGGGCTGGAGAATAGAGTGCTTGCCTAATGTGCAGAATCCTAAATCCAATCACAGTATCACAAAAGAAAGAAAAGAAAAGAAAAAGACTATTTGGGCTGGGGATGTGGCTCAAGCGGTAGCGCACTCGCCTGGCATGCGTGCAGCCCGGGTTCAATCCTCAGCACCACATACCAACAAAGATGTTGTGTCTGCCGAGAACTGAAAAATAAATATTAAAATTCTCTCTCTCTCTCTCTCTCTCTCTCTCTCTCTCTAAAAAAAAAAAAGAAAAAGACTATTGTAAATATCACATGACATAATAGATATAAAAATACTTTCTGATAACACTACAAAGTGCTATTAGAAATACAGGGTTGTTGGGCTGGGCCTGTGGCTCAGTGGTAGAGCACCCCCCTAGCTCAGGCGGGACCCGGGTTCGATCCTCAGCACCACATAAAAATAAAGGCATTGTGTTGTGTCCATCTACACCTAAAAAGTAAATAAATATTTTAAATAAAAGAAATACAGGGTTGCTGTTGTTATTCTTATGTAAAGTACCAGTGCTTAATTTGCTAATATAGATTGAGAACCATTAAATCAAATATGGCCTTTAACCCAGTAATTCTATATCTATCATTGGATCCTAAGGGAGAAAAAGACGCTAATTACAGTACTGGATGTCTGACTTTATTTTTTACATATATGACAATTATAGCACAAAGAAAAGATGAAAGAATGGAGCTCCACTGGAAAAAAATTCTATATTTTACTGGAATTAAATTATTAATCTGAAATAGATTGTGAAAAATCAATATGTACATTGTTACCTCTAGAGCAACTACTAAATAAAAATCAATAAAGCAATTAAAGCAGTATACAAAGGAATATCTACTTAATGCAAGAGAAGGCAGTAAAGAAGCCCCCAAAACACAAAGCATAGAAAACAAATTACAAAATAGTGGATGTAAGTAAATCGTACCAATAACAATAATAATGTTATTATATTAAACATGCCAATAAAAAATATAGAACTTGACAACTGAATGGGAAAAAAAAGATGCAACTCCATGCTAAGAGATACTCTCGAGATTCAGACACATGTAGGTTGAAAGTGAAAAAATGGACAAAGATAAATCATGCAAACAGCAACCATAGACACCTGGAGTTGCTATATTATCAGAGAAAATATACCTTAAGACAAAAGTTTTTACTAGAGACAAAGAGGCTTGTTTTACAATGGTGTATGTTAATTAGAATATATCACAATTATAATCACATATGCACCTAACAACAGAACTTTAAAACACAATAAGTAAAAAGTGACAGATGGATCAGGGATGTAGCTCAGTGGTAGAGCACTGGTCTAGCATATGTAGTGTTCTAGGTTTGATCCTCAGCAAACAAACAACAACAACAACAAAAAGGTAAAATTGAAGGTAGAAATAGACAATCCAACAATAGTAGTCAGAGACTTCAATACCCTATTCTCAATAATGGATATAACAATTAGACAGAAAGCTATCAAGAGGTTTTTTTTTTTTTTTTTTTTTTTTTTGGTATTAGGGATTGAACTCAGGGGCACTTGACCACTGAGCACATCCCCAGCCCTATTTTGTATTTTATTTAGAGACAGGGCTCACTGTGTTGCTTAGTGCTTCACTTTTGCTGAGGCTGGCCTTGAACTCACAATCCTCCTGTCTCAGCCTCCTGAGGCACTTTGGATTACAGGTGTGCACCACAGGTGTGCACTTCCATGCCTGGTCAAGAGGTTCTAATAACATTATCAAGTAAAACTCAACACAACTGATATCTACAGAATACCACGCAACAACAGAAAAATGCACATCTTCTCAAGTGCATAGTGGAAAGAGGAATGTGTGTTTCCCAGTTTGTACCATGAAGTATGAAATGAGAGGAAACACCTTGCTGTGGTCTGAAGGTATGTGTTTCTCCAAAATTCATACATTCAATCTTAACCAAACTAATGGCATTAAGGTAGGGCCTTCGGGAGATATTAGGTCATGGGGGCAGAGTCTTCCTGAATGGGATTAGGACCCTTATGAAAAAGTCCTGAGGGAGTCCCTTCCTATTTTTGCCATCCCACCGTGACACTACACACTGAAGGTGCTATTTATGAAGAGCAGGCTCTCTTTAGACACCAAATCTGCTGGTGCCTTGACCTTGGACTTCTCAGTCTCTAAAACGGTTTTGTTTTTGGCTCTGAGGATTAAACCCAGGGGTGCTGAACCAACCCACTGAGCCACATCCCAGCCCTTTCTGCTTTCTATTTTCACATAGGGTCTCAATAAGTTGCTTAGGGCCTCACTAAATTGCTGAGGCTGTCCTCTAACTTGGGATTCTCATCCCTTAGCCTCCCGAGTCACTGGGATTACAGGTATGTGCTACCTTGCCTGATCAGCCTCTAGAACAGTGACAAATTTTTCTTGTTTATTAATTATTTAGTCTAAAGTATACGGGAGTGCAGCCAAAATGACTGAGCCACATCCCCAGCTTTATTTTGTGTTTTACTTAGAGACAGGGCCTCATTGAGTTGCTTAGCAAGCAATCGCTGTTGCCGAGACTAGCTTTGAACTCAATCCTCCTGCCTCATCCTCTGAGCCGCTGTAATTGGGTGGCCTGTCCCTGCCACCCAACGTGCACCCAGTGCTCAGGGGCTCGACCAGGGGTGTCAGATCCTGGGGCTCCACATCACTGGAGCCTCTTTTGCTTTTGTACCCATTTTACACATAGAAAAACTGAAGCTCAGGAGGTAAAACAAGTGATTTGGTAAGATCTTAAGTGGCACTGTCAGAATTTGACTCCAAAACCCATAGAATGGTAATGGCATATTATACAATGTGTTTTTCTTCTCAGCCCTGTTTGTCCACTCATTCAAAAGAGCCAAGAGAGCAGCAGATTAATCCAGAGATCAGCAAACCACAGCCCATAGACCAAGTCTGGCCCACTGCCAGTTTTTATAAAATTTCCTCAGAACACAGTCAAACTCATTCATTTGCATGTTATCTACGGTTGTTTTCATGCAGCAATGGCAGAGTTGACTGGTTGCAGCTGAGACTGATGGCCCACAAAGGCTAAAATAGTTATCTGGCCCTTTATAGAGAACTTGCTGAGCCGGGTACCATGGCACATGCCTGCAATCCCAGAGACTTGGGAGGCTAAGGCAGGAAGATTATAAATTTGAGGCCGGCCTGGGTGATTTAGGGAGACCCTGTCTCAAAAAATGAAAAGGGGCTGGGAATGTAGCTCAGCAATAAAGCTCCTGGGGGTTCAATTCAGTCCTCAAGAATACACACACACTCTCTCTCTCTCTCTCTCTCTCTCTCTCTCTCTCTCTCTCTCTCTCACACACACACACACACACACACACACACACGTAAGTCTTCTGTTTGGATCTAAGATAACCAGGTGGAAATTCACCGCCCACTGCCCTCTTTCACTTCTCTGCCCCAAATTCCTTGTCCCCAGCCCACGGCTCACCACTGTCAGATGTGTGACAAGCTCAGTGAAATTGGGGTTCTCACGGTAGCTGGCCAGGACCTCAGATTCCACACGTCGCCCAGCCACTTCCAGCACGACCTGGGGCTGCTCCACCTCAAACAGGTGCACACGACCGAGGCCCCTGAGACCCCAGAATAGCACCTAGGGTCAGGAAGTGGGAGAGTGAGCACCTGACAAGAGGACGCCCACGTGAGGCGGGCAGGAAGACGTTGTGCCTGGTGCTACCTCAACACGGAACTCCCTGAGCACTGGGCGCACGTTGGGTGGCAGGGACAGGCGTCCGGAAAGGGGCTCCACCAGGGGTGTCAGATCCCGGGGCTCCACATCACTGGGCACTGAGGGCTGCAGAGGAAAAGAGGTCAGAGGTCAAAGAGGAATCAGGCCAAAGGAGAGAAAGCCTGGGCTTGGGGAGGGGAGGCCGAGAGCCCCTGGTGCAGTGCAGTGCCCAGGAGCCAGCAAGGCTGGGAGAGGGAGTGGCTCTTGGAAAGCAGCGTATATAGGGGGCAGGTGGGTAGGACGGGATGGCACCAGAAGACCACAGCCAGGGCGCTCTGGGGTTGAAGGCCTGGCGAGGTGAACCCACAGTACGAGCACTCGTGATGTTCCCAATGGGTGACCCCACGACAGACCTCCAGCCTGTATTCTCTGGAGGGTATTCTCAGGGGCACTCACTGAGCCACATCCCTAGCTCTTTTTATATTTTATTTAGAGAGACCTTGCTAAGTTGCTGAGGCTGGCTTTGAACTCGTGATCTCTTGCCTTAGCCTCCCCATCCGCTGGGATTATACCCATGTTTTATATCCCCTGGGGCTCGATGAATAACAAGATAGGCCCACAGCTTGTGCCAGGTGGGCCTCCGTACTCTGACCTCAAGTCCGCCATGGTAGTCCAGTTCAATGAGTTCAAAGGTGGCAATGAGCTCTCCAGCTGCCCGGGGTCCCTTCCTCACGGGGAAGAACTGCAGCTCAGGGTGCTGGTATGGCTCCTCCACCAGCTTTACCCTGGGGGCAGCCAGTGCCCTGCCCAGGAACACTGGGGGGCCCTGGGTGAGGGGCAGGGTGATAAAAACAAAAGATGCTCAGACGAGGGACATCAAGAAGCAGGGGCAGACAGGAGCCCAGGTGGGGGCCGCATGCACTCACAAGCTTATTGTGATCAAAGACACTGACGACCACTAACGGAGGCTCCTCCTGCAAGTGCTCCCGCCTCCCGTCCACGATCAGCTGGTCAAATACCAAGAGTTCATCCCACAGGGGGCTCAGCGTCTGCTCCAGAACCTTGGGGGCCATGGAGAGAAGGGGGCAGTGGCAGGTGTCAGCAGGCAGCTCCCCACATGTGTGCCAGGTGGGCATTCCTGCTCTAAAATGGTACTTTCTATTTTTGTGCTTCAGCTTGTATTCTCTGGAGGGTATTCTCAGGGGTACTTAACCACTGAGCCACAATCCCTAGCTCTTTTTATTTATTTATTTATTTAATATTTCATGAAAGAATCGGGATAGATGAAGACCAACATCCTCCACTGGGGTCGGGCTGCCCCTCCCAGCCCTGGCTCTCCCTGCTGTAATCTGCTACCTTCAGAACCTATCCTAAAGTTCACCCCAGGAAATGACTCCTTTCCCCTGAGACCTCGGGTTCTCCACCACCAGCTACAACAGCGTGGTCCTATCCACTGTTCTGCCCTGAAAAGTGGGCAGAGACTTAGGGCCATAGGGAAAAGCACAGTCCCACTCCACCTTGTGCCCCAAGATCCTCCAGCCATACCCCAGCCTGGCCCTTACCCGTGTGGTCTGGCACTGGGTAGAGATGAGGACTCTAGCAAAGGGGTCAGAGAGGCCACTGTCATCTGCTGCCAACACGCCTCGGGCCTGGTATAGGTGAGCACGGAGCTGGAAGTAGCTGAAGTCTGGGGTGTGGGAAAGGAAGGTGCCATGCCCATTCAGGCGACCCCTCCCATGACTCATGAGCTCCCACCTTGGGCAAATAATGAGGTGAGCCCTGTGCCTGCCCCGCCCAGCCTTGCACTCACCATCCCGGTACAGGCTGTGGGGCAACCCCACAGAGGGCTCAGGCAGCAGGTCTGGGGGCAGCTCGGAGGTGCAGGCCTTGGCTTGCTTGCCCAGCCCCAGCCACAGGAAGAGCTCCAGCTTGGCACAGACCTCCCCAGGGCCTGCCCCTGGTGCCTGTGTGGGAAGGAGGCATGTTGGAGCCTCAGAGGCCTTCTCTTCTTACCCCAGCTAGGCCCAACAATCCTGTGGCTCCAAGGCACACCCTGCTCTTTCAGTCAAACTGTGCCCAAGTTCCACACTGGCTTCTCCCCATCCTCTGGGTTTTAGATTCAAGGTTGTTTCCGTAGAGATGTCCCTGGCCATCTTATCTGAGCAGGTTTTCCCCACCCCCTTGGTCTCTGTAACATCTTTCTTGGCAATTCCTACAGGTTGTGACTATTCTTCTTACTCATTTATAGATGTATGGTCTCCCTTACGAAACCCCACCCTCCAAAAAGATGAGGAACATGGCAAGGGCTGCATCCCCAGGGCTACAACAGAGTCTGGAACAGAGGAGGACTTCAGTCCAAAAAACAGTTCCTGTTGCCTCCACTTTTGCACTCCACTTCATGCCCTGTACCCCATACCCTGTCCCTACACCTCCTAGCTAATGCTGTCACTTCCCCAAAACTCCAGCCCCAAAGCTACACTCTGACCTCTGCTCTCCCTCTTTTGTTCCCTCCATCCTCAATATATTCCCTGTCCCCAGTTCCAAGAGTCACAACAATTCACTATTAGAGATCCCTTTTGATATCTTGTCTAGGGATGCCTCATTTAGAAATGTTTTGCCTGAATATCAATTACCCTTATAAAAGACTGACTAATCTCTCTCTCTCTCTCTCTCTCTCTCTCTCTCTCTCTCTCTCTCTCTCTCTCATCACTCTGCCATGTATCAGAGCCTGGTCAGCAAAAGAGCCAGTGCAGGCCAAGGGCTAACAACTTTGCTGTTTATTTCATTTCTAAGCTGACCTGGGCAAAGCTATGATCTCCTTTTGGCTTTTGGGGCAAATGAAAAGAGGTCAGGGTCCTCTGGCTGGGAACCACAGGCCTCCACTCTTGAGGCCCCACCTTCCCTGAGCCACACCCCACTCTCCCCAGCACCCTCACCCCAGGGCCCCCCTCACTGTGAGCAGCAGACTCTGGATCTTCCCACAGTCCCGGCCTCGCTCCTCCTCCACCACAGAGAACAGCACATCCTGGGCAGGGATCCGGGCACAGGCCACACGGCGGCGCCCACTGAGCATCCAGACCAGCACATCAGGGAGGGGCGGCTGTGGCTGCCATTGGAGAACAGGGTCATCCAGGCATCTGCAGCTGAGACCACCTGCTCCCACAGCTTGGGCTAGACAGACAAACCAAATATCCATCCCAGCCCTGACCTCCCCTGAACCCCAGATCCATGTGGCCATGTGCCCCTGACGTCTCCTCTCAGATGCCTCATAGAACACCTGAGACTCAAAGTTCAACCTCAGTTCTTCTTTTTAAATTGTAATAAAGTTACATATAACAAAAAAAAAATATATCACCAAAAGCATTTTAAGTGTAAGGTCAGTGGCATTCACACTGCTGTGCAGCCACCACTGCCATCCATCTCTAGAACTCTTTTTTTTTTATTTTGGCGGGGGATGGGGGGTACCAGGAATTGAACTCAGAGTCACTCGGCCACTGAGCCACATCCCCAGTCCTATTTTGTATTTTATTTACAGATAGGGTCTCACTGAGTTGCTTAGAGCCTCGCCATTGCTGAGGCTGGCTTTGAAGTCTTGATCCTCCTGCCTCAGCCTCCTGAGCTTCTGGGATCACAGGCGTGCGCCACCGCACCTTGCAAAACAGAACTCTGTTCCCACTAAACACTAACTCTTCCTTCCCCCACTTCATCCAGGCCCCAGCTACCACCCTTCTACTTTCTGTATCTATGAATTGGACTATTCCACGTGCTTTGTACGAGTGGATTCCTCAGCATTTGGTCCTTTTGTGCCTGACTTATCTCACTTAGAACAATGACCTAAAGGTTCAACCATGTTGGAGCATGTGTCAATCTGATATCTTTACCTTTCCCTCCTCCTGAGTTTGATCCTTACCCAGTTTCCCCACCAGATGTCCATTTGCATCAGTTAAATACTGATGCAGATGTCAGTTTTCTCTAACATCCAATCACCAAGTCCGACCATTGTCCCCCTTCTCTCCTGTCCTTATCATCCTACTTCAAGACCATCCACAGTCAATGGCAACAGTTCCTACTAAGTCTTCCTGCTTTCAGTGTTTCCTCCCAACCCATTTTCTACTATGAAAAACCATTTTCCCCTTCCTCTGGGTTTTAGTCAGTGTTGTTTCTGCAGAGAACTCCTGCCTGGAGGTTCTCCCCCTCCCTCTTAGCCTCTGGAACATCTTTCATGGCAATTCCTATAGGTCACAACCAATTTTCTTATTCATTTACAGATGTATAATTCCTCTCTTACTAAAACACAAGCCCCAAAAGGTGAAGAACATCAGAAGGGCTGGATCCCCTTGGCTTAATACAGAGCATGGAACATAGTAGAACTTCAAATATCACAAAAAATTGCTAGAACTGCTTGATAGGAAGCCCAAACCTGACTCTCTCCCTCCCCTATTCAAAGCCATCATCCCACAATTCCATTTTGAGTAATATCACGAGCTAGAAATTAAGATCTTCCTCTCACTAAAAACAGTGAAAGTGTCTGAGTAAAATATTTATAAATATTTTATTAAAAGTCCCCAATGATCAGACAAACCTCTACATGAAAGTGGGAACGCAAGGAGGTTAGCAGAGAATTTAAGCCATTTTTGCTACAAGGGTATTGGCCAAACCTGGCAAACCTGAGCTTCTCATGACCTGACGGTGAGAAAAAGTAAAATAAAATAATAAAATAAAATAAAATCTCAGATCTCACTCAGGACAAGAGTCTAATAGGAGATCTCTCCCATCTCTGGAATCCAGGATCCCCACCACCACCAAAAAACAAAAACAATCAAACAAAACATGTGCCTTCGGGATAAAAAGTAACCCATAAATAAACTTGGCCACTTTTCATTACCCAGGATCTATAGGAAAAGTTGCCTGGTTGAGTGAAGTGATGAAATTGTTCCCAAAAAGAAAAACCACAAGCTGACTTTTTACTGTGTCTAGGTGCTGCTGGATATCACGTTTTAGTTTAAAGTTATCTAAATCAGAAGCAAAGTCAAATGCTTTCCAGAAAAAAAAAAATGAACCTTTATTCCAAGACTCAAAGAATTCCTACAAATGATATTTTAAGGGAACACCATTATCTGGATAGGAGTGGATGGTCTTGAAGTAGGATGGTAAGGACAGGAGAGAAGGGGGACAATGGTCGGACTTGGTGATTGGATGTTAGAGAAAACTGACATCTGCATCAGTATTTAACTGATGCAAATGGACATCTGGTGGGGAAACTGGGTAAGGATCAAACTCAGAAGCAGGGAAAGGTAAAGACATCAGACTGACAGATTTAGCAAATCCTAGTCAAAAGCCAGTAAGCCAGAAGGAAACAGAAACAGAGAGTAATACCAGACCCACCCCCTACAAAACAACAATAACACCTAAAAAACTATTATTGGAAGCATTATAAAAACAACTGTGCTTGTTTTACTAAATAAAACAAAAGACAAACTTAACTGAGAATAAGAAACTGTAAAAAATAATATAGAAGATGTGAAAAAATAGGATTTACAGAAATGAAAAGTGGAATGATTGAAATAATAAAAATCAATAGAGGTACTTACATAGTCTTCTAATGTTGAATTAAGAAACAAAACAACCCAATGGGAAGAAGAATTTTTTTCAACAAATGGCTCTGGAAGATCTGAATGTCTATATTTTTTAAATAGAATTTTGACCTTTATCTTACTTGAACACAAAAAATAGTTTGAGAACAGAGAGCTAAACTTAAAATCTAAAACATAGGCTTTTAGAGAAAAGCAGAGGAGGACACCATTGTAGATTAGAAGTAGACAAAGGTGCCTTACACATGCATCAGGAGGATGACAAAAAGAAAAATTAGATAAATCATACTTCATGCAAACTTTAAAATTTGGTCACCAAAAAACACCATTAAGAAAATGAATCATAGGCTGGGGTTGTGGCTCAGCGGTAGAGCGCTCACCTGGCATGTGTGGGGGGCTGGGTTTGATCCTCAGCAACACATAAAAATAAAAAATAAAGGTATTGTGTCCAACTCCAACTAAAACAAAGTATTTTTAAATAAAGGAAAGAAAATGAATCAGGGAGTCATATCAAGGATATGTTGGGGGATTTTTTGTTTTGGGTTTTTTGTTGTTGTTGTTGTTGCTATTGTTTGGTGCCAGGGATTGAACCCAGAGATGCTCAACCACTGAGCTATATTCCAGCCGATTTTTTAATATTTTATTTTGAGACAGGGTTTTGCTAAGTTGCTTAGGACTTTGCTAAGTTGCTTAGGACTTTGCTAAGTTGCTGAGGCTGGCTTTGAACTTGTGGTCCTCCTGCCTCATGATATGTTTTTAAACTATACAATTCGATAATTTAAAACCAAACAGTTCAATTTTGAAGACTGGAAAAGCCATGAAAACCCCTTCATAAAAATATATGAATGGCAAATGGTCACATGAAAATGTTCAACATCACTGAGTGCTAGGAAAGTACAAATTAAAACTGCAATGAGTTGCCATCATACACCCATCAAAATTCAAAATTTAAAAAAAAAAGGGCACTGTTTTTTATTTTATCTATTTTTTTTTAAAGAGAGAGTGAGAGAGGATAGAGAGGGAGAGAGAGAGAGAGAGAGAGAGAGAGAGA